ATGTTTTTACTGCTCGTATATTCGGTATTGAGTTCGTGCGATAATATGTAACGAGTTTTTTTACTAGTATTTATTTGAAGGAGATTGTTTTGACTCTGGGTAAATATTGTGTAAGTAATTTGTTGTGGAACCGCACTGCCCGTTTGAAATGAAACAAGTTAAAGACAACCGTGTGTGGATCGAATGATCTCAATTTGAAATAATAATAACAAAAAGGTGAAATCAAATATACAACACACTTTCTATGAATGTCGCCCTAGACGCATATAGATATTATTCTGTGTTCTCACAGACGCGGAAATACTATATTATACATGATCTCTTGCCAAAAGCACTTAAGCGAAGAATAACTAGGAGCGATATCTTAGACACGCACTTTGCCAAAAATCCATGTTAAACAAGTCGTGCAATATCTTCAAGTTGACGCATTGAAACTCCAAACGAGGAGAAGAGGATATTTTGTAACGACGTCATGTTTTGATATACTTAACCTCGTATTTAACCCCGCGTCGTCATATATATAGGTGCATCACTGTACAAATTTGACCGGTGAGAAAATAAGGCACTTTATTAACCTTTGAACATAACACATCAACGTTGCATGAGTTCTGCGTGTTTATTCTATTTCATCACCTCGCACCACGCTGGACAAAGAAATAACGTAACTTGTATCCGAGAAATGTGCTCAATCTTGTACACCTTTTAAAGCTTTTACGAGATTTTTTAACAGGAAATGTGCCATGAGTTTGGTATCTTGGATGGATGTATTGCCCAATTCTAATTGTCTAAAAGTTAGAACGCGACGGGAACTCTTGCACAAAGAGTGTGTGCATGGGGTATGTTGGGATTAGGGTCACGAGACGCATATCTGAGGCTTTAATTTGTGCACTAAAATTAATATAAAATGCCATTTTGCGGCCCTATACTGCATGTGACGCCTTGCAGGCCTTAAACTGGCTCGCCCTGTTCTTCATTTTCCCCAATATTTCTCATTTTTTGTTTTTGCATATTGTCTTGGGTAAAATGATTGAAATGTAAGTCTACTGCATATCGCAAACGGCAGGATCTTTTGGTTCATTTCTGAAAGTCTAAGCTAGATCATCCCTACGGCAAATACCTGAAACTACATGAATGGCTCGCCCTGCACGAAGCATTTAGGACAAGTGTGCATGTATGGTAGCTACAAAAAGTCAAGATTCAAACCATAAATATTCTTTTAACGTCGACGGACAGATTATATTCATTTCAAAATACTACAGCCGTCAAAGTATAATAAACTTCTTAGAGATAATTTAAGCCTTCTTTAAGATGAATCAAAATAAAATGTTGCCATTGTTATGTAATCATTTAAACACATACACATGCATGATAGTCAAGTGATAATTGGAAATGCATTGTCACATTCGATCAGTTTAATAGAAAATAAATTGCAGAATGTGCTCAAAATACTTTCTGAATGTTCAACTTGGGTTATAACCTACCGCCCCAAGAGCACAATGGTTCGTTGAAATGCTAACTGTGATGGTTAATGACTCAAAATGAAAATATCAATATATATATATGTCATCTGGCCGCCAGCCAAGCGATATCGTCTTGTCCCTCCCATGTCTCCCATAACAAGGGTGGCGGGCCAGTTTTTTTCTTTCACAAACACAACTTTATATATAATACTAAACACAGCTGCATTGATTAAACCAGATCCAGTATAAACGCCGCTGCCAGAGTTGATGAAAACGCGAGTAATTAAAGTTTGTATAGGAGAATTTGTCAATTCCTATTTCTCTATGTGCACATAAACACAGGAATTTGTCGGTGCGATTTTTCGTTTTGTTCGAGTCACCCGACTAATCGCTGCACGGATATCGCCCTTTAGGAGAGTTTATGGCAATCAATTTTTTATCTTCGTAGGTGTTTGACCCAAGCTAAATTGCATGAAATTTTGAAACATATTCCTGTTTGTCAATAATCATTTGGAAGTTGGAAAATTCTAAATGAGTTACCAAAAATAGACTAAAAGAATGTTGCAAACCAAATATTGTAGAAAAGGAATCATAACAGATTTAGTAGACAATTAAACGTGCGTGTTGCATGGTAGAATCATATAGTAGAATCAACATTAAGTTGTGTTATTTAGTTGCACGAGAATTATTTCCGTATGTGCGCTGAGATGCCTTTTAAGCCTCGCAATGTCCCCGTTTCTTCATAAGCAATTGAATATTTCATCAAGTCTTAATTATGAAACATGAGGTCTTTCTAGATACATAAAAAACATTGCAGATGTGACGATTTGATGAAAGCTAAAGTATCTTGGTTTGGTTATAAGCTTTTACCGCAAACCACAGTCGATTTATACCATTTGTGATTTGAATTCAGTTTTAGTCTCAATTAACTCATTTAACCGCTAAAATTTAAAGAATGCTGTTTAACAATTGAAAAAAATATATATAAAACCTTTGTTAAATATATAAAAAAAAAGCCCAATTCGGCAATTGGCTCTGTAGATGTATATTGCCAAAATGCAAACGACGAGTTTAGTTACCGAATAGTGTTGACGTCTTGAATTTTGATTGATCATCAACATACGGGCTGAATCGTCGAAACACGACGGTGTTCAATGTGAATAGTTTTCTTTGCAATCATTAAAAGACATTATTTTTTCATGCGTCGCACAAAGATATGGAAAAATAGCTTGGCGTCCGTATTGTAATTTGATACGAAGTTGACCGTATAAACTATATATAATGTATTATTATCTTTTGATTTTATTTCGTTTAGACCGTCCATATACGTATACTTATATAAGATAGTTCGTAAGAAAATATTTTGTGGCTACATGTATATATATGATTTAGCTAAGTAAATATGCATGCATTAAAATGATTGAAAACTAATCTTGTTTTAAAACCATCCATCAGCATGCAAACAACTCTCACCGAAAATAAAAAAAAAACATTCTTTTTTACTTTAACTAAAATTGAAACGATTAAAGTGATTTTATTGTTCATTTTTAAATAGGTTTGTTTAAACCGATTAGCTAAATATATTATGCATGATAATAACTTATAGACGTTTTACCATGAGATCTAAATAGGAAATAACATAGAACCGATTGTTCCATGTTATGTATTCGTCGGTAAAATTCTACGAATTCAATTTGGCGAAGAAATATGAGAAATGCAGCTCATGCATTGACATGTAAGAATTTCCCAACATTCTATAAGAATCTCTCAATGAAATTTAATTGGGTGTGTTGCAATCGTGCAGAAGCTAATATCATTTAGAACTATAGTTGTGCAGTATCATATTTTTAATCAAGCAGTTTAGCCAACACGCATTGGTAATTTCTATTTGCTTTGGCATTTGATCGCATTTCAAGCCGACAATGCTTTTTATGGATAAAATGAGTGACTTTTTGGTGAGTCTATGACCTCGAGTACGAAAATGGAATTTTGGAATACCAAAATATATACATACAGCCTAACTCCGCTACTTAATAATTAATATCATCAGATTTTGTTGTGGCTTAAAAGTTAAAAAATTGAGACTGGGTTAATCGCATTTGACTGTTTTTTGGACATACTATAAAATATTAGAGCTCTTCTAATGGTAGGCTTAGTTATTAAAGTCATTTCATGCGCCCAGGCGAGCCGCGCCATATATAGAAATTTTGCAGACTATATAGCTGATTATTGTTTTCCCCTAACAATTACTTGGGTTGTAAATATTAGTATAATGCGGCTTTTTTATTTGTCTTGAAAATTGGGCATATCGAAAATTAGCACAGCTTAAATTGGAGATCGATTTTTTTATTTGCTTGGTTGATTGCGAATGATTTCTAAAGTCGCAGGTTTAGCGTTCAAGTTGATCGGTTGTTTGGATATGGATATGAACACAGGAATATGTGTCCCACACACGCGCGTAACTGAGATCGGTTTGATCAGAATGCCCCCATGCATTAACCCGTATTGTATGTAGATAATGTATCTTCTTTTCACCTGCGAGGGACATGTTGGATGGCCGAAGCAAAGTCTACACAATTAATCGTACCCGATTCTTATATATGAAAAAGATTGGTGACGCCACTCTGTCCGTTTATCAGTTTACAACGAGATTTAAAATGTGTCATCTTTACACGCATTTATTCGAACACATACGCCAGCATACGAATCGTTTGCAACTAATCGCATCGTGTAGATCGGCCTTTAAAATAGCTTCTATATATATACGTTTCTATAATCCCTTGTGGAAAGAGAAAAGTACAGCATACGTATATATAGATGAGCTAAAACAATAAACATAATTGTCTTGCATGATTAAGCGCTTAGGCCTCGATCGATACCTCTAGTTTAGGAATTATAGGATGTTTTGATTAAACACCAGATTACGTGTACTTTTGCATGGATAATTTATCAGGCTTCATTACGGTAACTTTAAGATATTTTGAAGTTAAATTCTTATTCGAAGAGAGTATATGGAGCTAAATTTCACCTGTTTTACAGGAAATATGTATGATATATCTGTTTCATTTACAGTCGGATCTTACTCTTTAAAATCTTGTCACATTCCTGTCCTTGTCATAGGAACATTGCCTGACTATATGACCTGTAGCATTTTAATTGCGACACTTCATCTGTTGAGGGCCCCTCATATATTGGCCTGATCATTTTGTAACCAGAAAACACGGTGGGAAAATGCAATTTTTGAAGTTCACTTTGTTTTGAAATACCTCATATAGCTACTTGTATTGAATTTTTTATAAAATTGGTAACAAAGTGTATACAACCAGAGATAAATATAACTTTAAATATAACCTTTTTTCACGGCCAGAAGCTAGCTAGAGTCACTTTGTTGTAAGAAGGACTGTTTGCATATCAATTTACAGTTTTTTCAATATTTCAGGATATTCTCCACCAAATATTTTAAAATATATAATCAGCTTTTCAGCTTACCTGTATATTTGGAATTTGACGCAATACTAACTGTTGCTGTTCTATTTCTAGTCCATATAAAAGACTTACGAATTGTCCGAGTTCAACAAAGACCGTTTGACAAGAAATATGAATACATTTTTGAGGTATTGTCAATTATCAGTGAAAATGATTTTAGGCTCGCCTCATCGCGTGCCACAACTCACAATGCCCAGCCCAACCCGAAGAATTTCCTCTCAGATCAGAATCTTGTTATGTGACTATCCAATTAAGCCAGTTGAAGTGAGCAATTTTTTGTAGGGCAGATTTAGGCTATTTCCTAAGTACACTTACTTTTTATAATAAGTTCAAGAAATCTCCTGTTTCGAGGTTTCTAGTTTTAAAACAGTCCATCGATGCGTGATCCCGTTGCGTGTTCGATTGCCCGATCAAAAAAACTTTGTTTACCTCCACAACAAGCGATATTTCAACTTTGTTGATTTTCTGCGTCGGACATGCACATCCCATTAAGGGCCACGGCTGTGTTAAGTTAGAACGATTATAAAGAGTGCTTCATGTATACTGACGACCTCTGAAATACCAAAAGGAGCGGATAATTTGATTTTGCGATTCGTATATCGCTTAGAGAATAGTCAAAAAACGGTTAAAAAATTGATATTGGCAATCGTTCAATTTAAACTGGTGAGTGGAATTGTCTTAATATCCTAATTTTCCAAAAAATTCTGTAAAAAATCATGAGTACTAACATATAAAGTCTTTAGTATCTTAGTTTTTTTATATAATAATTGCTGTTTTATTCCGGTTTTTATTCAAAAAATTTTTTTGTATAACCTCAGATAATTTTTTTTCGCCACTTATTATAGATAACCTGTTTGTTTGTGCCCGTTTGACCTATTCTAGAATACATCGCAATATCCAATTCCGATTAAAACTTTCCGGTCAAAATTTTAAATCGAGCGTCATTCTTCATAGCTCAATTGGTGTGAACGAGGTTTTTGGCAAGAAAACAAAACATATCAAGTCTAAACTTGCCCTAAAATGGCACACAACCACCAATAAGGCGGTAATCCGATTACGCGTAAATTCTAAACTGATCGCATTTCGAAGCGGATCAATATAGCATTGTAAATTCCACCAACAGATTTCTTTATATATATTTATTTTTGAATGCTGTACTCGATCAGAGATCTTGCCTTTTATTTCCAACGTGAACAATGCGTCGCATGCAGCCTCTACGGTTGTACGTGCAACTGATTTAACTAGACCTCCTCTTGACAAAAAACGATCAAAGGCATGCTTGGAAATTTTTCGCTGAAGGGCCCTCAAAATGTTGCCCTTAATCCCTTTTTCCTCATTTCTTCTTTGATTTATGTATCCTCTTATACAGTATCGACCTCCGTATCTCCATTGGGTCTACAGTGTCAATTTTATTAATCTAGAGTAAGGACTACCACTGTTTTGAGAATAGGGCATCCCATTTATAAACCTATAACAAGGGAACCATTGAGGTCAAACTTCCAAGGTCGTAATTTGACTTCAATTAACCAATGACGCCTTTCCAATTAATGCCATAGTTGTTTTTGACAGTTTACATCACCGGACAGGCTAATAATTCGGGATAAAAAGACACTATATAGCACTTCTAAGACGTCTATGCTCATATTTTGGTCGTTAATTCCTGCTCTAAATAGGATATAGAGCCTGCATGCTGATATCCAAGATCACCATGGAGTTTGCATGCAAATGATGCTAAAGGGGCCATTGCCATATATTGAAAATTTTGGTCAAAAAACTGATTGCCTGGGGAACCAAATTCGTGTTCAAGATGTTGCGTTAATAAATATATTTTAAGTTTTTCGTTGTTTGAACTGTGGCTTCAATAGTTTTTTGTTACCAAGGAAATTACTTTGGCACAATTGTAAATTGATTGTGAAGGCCCGTTTACACTTGCAATTTTTGCTGCGATTTTATGTGCGTTTTTCTTCTTTTGATAGATGTGAGCGAGTGAATTATTGACTGATGTTCAAATAAGAGCTCTTATTGATCAGTGCATTCGTAACTAATTACTCATTCACATCTATCAAAAGAGGAAAATCGCTCATTAAATCGCAGCAAAAATCGCCTTAAGGTAAAAGGGCCTTAAGATTTTGCGTGTAAATGCAGGAACGATATACAAAATATATGAAATAACTTGCCTTATAGCGTAGGAATTACCACTGTGGTTTTAAGTGAACGCGATTCATCAATGCCCAGCATGGGGTGCCTTGTGTGTGGCGAGAACACCCGAAATCTTTTTTTGCCCTCTATATTTGCGTTTTCAAATTCACCCTGGATCTTTTCTCTAATATATTCAACTCACTGGGATTCGTGTTTCGTTTCTAGGTGACGTGGTCAAATGGAAAATTGGTAAGAATTCATCGCGCTTATGGAGAATTATTCGACTTTCAGTGCAAGGTAAATAGTAAAAAAATGCTCATTTTTTTAATGATAACGGCCTTTTTGAAGGGCTAATTATTTACGATCATTCTGTCATTCAGCTTCGCCGACGTTACTCCAAAGAAATTAGCAAAATGACGGAAAGAAAAGTGATTCCCTATCTCCCAGGTAGGTCGATTTAGTTCTGTCGTCTTTCTGTCATCAACCTCACTAACCTGATTGACATGTGGTCAATAAGTTTGAGCATCGATTTTGGTTACATTTTTCTGCAAACATCTGCCAAATGATGTAGGATTACTACTTTGAACCAGACAGACGAGTTGGGCGGTAGCTGCTATATTTTTTTGTGATTAGATAGACGAATTCTCGTCATTTTTTTTACATAGCAGACAAGCTAAGCTCCCTTCCTCTCCTTTGACACCTCATTCCAACTAAGGGAGTTGCTTAGCCCCCTCTGAGAATTTCTGAGAGATTGCATAATGTAAATGTAAATTCTTAAGGAGAGTATGTCAGTTCCTAAAATCGTTCCTGTATATGCTCGTTGTTCCTGCGCTGTTGTACTAAGCGCCCTTTCTTGCCTTTCTAAATTTTTATTACAGCTGGCAGTGTGTTGATAAACATTCAGCGATTACTTCCATCATAGTTTTGTTATAATAGTATACTATATTTCCATACATTTCACATCTTTCTCTCTTTTCAGCCCGTAGACCGATCAAATTCTGCAAAGGAAATCAAATTTTACCAGATATAACGCACTATGTGAGGTAAGTATGTAAAAATAGTTGCTTGCCGTCTACTGCATGGGAGTCGAAAATGGGAAATGTTTGATTTGTTTGTGAAACACAGTGGATATACAGCAGATGGATATACAGTATAACGTCTTCACGACTGCACGCAGTTTTATAAACCTATCTCCATTTCTGCAGAGAATTTACAAAGTTGCCAGAAAAGTTGCTGCACAGCGAACCGGTGGAAAACTTCTTCAGCGATGGAACGGAAAAGAAAATGGACGAGAAACCACAGGCTTCCAAAACGAAACCAAACTCCACCAATGAGAAGATTGATCACACAAACGTCGCGAATAAGCAACATACCGATATGTCACGTGTCGGTGTGGATGTGAAAACGGAAAAAGGAGCTGGACCGATAAGGAATCATTCACCTAAAGGTTAGAATTGTATATAAATGTCTATATTTGCCTGTTCACGACAGTAACTATAAATTTCGCTGTATATAAACGATTATAAGTGTTTTCGTGTTATTAATTGCTTGCATTAATATGCTCGTATGGTTTTTTTACTTACCACACTTGAAAGCTTATACACCTTTAGTACCACAAATTAAATGCTGTTAGGGTAATATATAAAATCTTTCTTGCTCCTTATTATAATTGCAAGTATTGTCTTAGAGTTTTCAGAACCCTAGCTAGAAACGTACTTGGGGGGTAGGTGTACATTCATTATTCGTGTCCCACTGGTATGTAAACATTAATATATCAATATACACTCCCTACCATGCAATAAGCGGTCTAGCTACGTCCCTGGAATTATCCCAATAGTTCTCGCAACTGACACCTACTCCTGTATTAAAAAAGCTCCCTTACACTCATTGAGTGTGACATACAAATTTTATTATTACTGATCAATGAGAAAATTTTTTCTTAATCATTGGAAACATTCATGGTAAAACACTGAAAATCAAGTTCTTGTTCGAGTGGAAATACCTCTATAAACGCTATGAGAAGATTAAGATCGCTCACTCACTGAGTTTGAGTGTGAGTGAGCTTTTAGAATACAAGCGATAGTAGTGCAATAAAATCGTATCATTATAATCAACAATCTCATAAACTACATAATTCTCTAAAATAGAAACACAAGCGCACATAGAATTCTTGCACGATATTCACCCTCTCACATTCATGTTTTATTCTTCTTTTTAGGAAAATTTCCAACTTCTTGTCCCGGAAAAAAATTCAACAACAATGCAAGACGACCTCCTCTTAGCCCAAAGGGTAATACTAACAGTATGTTTTTCATTTTGAAGCCAGTTATAGAAGGTTAGGAGTTTATGATGATTAATAACAGATTAAAAAGGGTATTTTTTCTAGTCGCAGTAAAAGGTGGTACAATTAGCACTTTGCCGGAGAAATATGTTTTTAATAACTAAGGTGTTGCGTGTTTTTTCTATGCAGCAAAAGAAGCCACTAAACCAAAAGCTATCATCCATCATCAGCCGAAAACCATTTTGAAGCCACCAAACGCGTCATCTCCTAAATCGTCAACACACACGGGTAATGACGAGAACAAAAAAGATGCCCTTGCAACGCTTAATGAAGAACATTTATCGACAGAAAATTCAAAAAGAACTATCGCCGAGAGTACGCCTCCCAAAACAGGTTGTGATCACGATTCCAGCAGCGAAGATGCGTTTACAAATTGTTCGGTAACAACAAACGATTTACATACGGAAAAACATATAGATTCACGGACGTCAAATGAATGTAACGTAATGGAAAAAACACAACAACAGTCACCTCATCCGTCTCCTCAACAAGCGACGTCATCCGGTGAAATGCAGCGATCAACTGCTTTGTCATCGTCGCCATTAACGAACGTGACGACATCACCATTAGTGATAACCACGGCAGAAAATATTCTTTCTACATATACTTCAACGTCATCGTCAAGAACAACGACATCACCGTTAAATACTTCGCCTGAAGTATCGGTCGTCACTTCAACGCCTCCGATTACGATACTTACGTCATCGGAAACCACGCCATCGATTGTGTCGTCTTCCACAGACACTTCACCGCCACCGATGTCGTTAGAATCAGCGACAAAGACACCATCGGCTGCGCTATTGCCAGTGACGTCAAACGTAATGTCGTCATTATCGATGCTGTCACTCACTACATCATTCGTTTCAAATATGGCGTCATCTACAACCTCATCGCCTTCTTCAGATATGATTACGTCATTCGTCGCACCTACTTCAACTCGTACACCACCTGAATCACCCCTGACCGTATCCGTCCCAGTCTCCTCGCCATCTTTCGTTTCAACATTTTCAACGTCTAGACAATTATCCAGCGATGGTTCGTTCGCCTCGACGAGCTCTCCAATCGTTCAAAGAACGTCTGAGGGAAGTGACTTGAATGTTTCTTTCGATCAACATCATTCCAACGGTTCAACGTGTTTATCGTCAGGAGGATTTAGATCGTCCGATCCGCAATTATGTACGTGTGATCCGTTTGATCACCAAGATTTGCCTGAAGACCAGGTAGTGAAAATAAAAATGTTATCTAACTTTACCTTTAAAAAATCCTATGAAGAAATAGCAATTGTAGAGCTTTCTCGTGATGTCGTCAAAACCGGACAGCCTGATGTTACCTTATGTTTGATTGGCTCCGTAAAACTACGAGCCAGTTAAATTTCGTGTAGCATCATCATTTTCGCGCTTGACTTCATTATGGGAAAGGTCTAGACACATTGGATATCAATTGTATTGTTTTCTTGTGCAGGGATTTGATCTGTGCGATGATGAAATGGAAGCAGTTAAATTAGAAAGAAATATGGAAATACAGAGATCAACGACTGCCATTGATCGCTCAAGGTACCATTAATCATCGGCATTATTTGAAGTATTCATCTTTTTCGTATAAAATGAATTGGCATTACAACGATGAAGTAAAATATGAATACAAATACCTTATAAGATAATTTTAGGATAAATTTTGGTAAAAATATGTTAAATGTTGATATAGTCTAGCATCCGGAAACACAACAGTTTGAAAAAAGGGCATTTGACCTAATCTCATGCATATCTAAATTCCTGTTCCCTTCCGATTCCAAAGGTACCATTGCCATTGTTTTAACTGCCCCAAAGTACAGCTTACATCATTGTAGTTTACACAGTATATCACTTTACATTACAGGTTAACTCCAGTTTCTGTCAAGAATGGATACACGAGGCACCATCACCACAATGTATCGCAACACGGTCTACTCATAGTTCCTAATGGCTATCACCACATACCAACAGACACTAGTCTACATTACAATGGTTACGGCTGCCATCTGGCAGAACAAAATAACGAACAAATGTTTTACGAAGACACTTTCGTGACGGACGCTGCGAAAACGAACGATAAAAATTGTAACTATATTTTTCAAAATGGCGGATCCGAACAAACGCTGGATTTCAATTCAAACACGCCTTACCAATGCAAGTACACGGTAAGTGAAACTTATAAACTGTAAGTTCGCAACTTTGGTGTATAGAGATAAGAGATTCGATTCATCGGAAGTATTAATCTATTTCCAGTAAGTATTTTAATTGGAAATATCGTAAAAGGAACTAGTAAAATTGTGCACACGTTGCATTGTACGCTGATAAGTCATATTGTCAACAATGTTAAAAGAACAGTGTGTGTGCTTGCTGGCTAACGGGGATATTTTCTTTTAGCCCCATTTAAACGGATTTTCAAAACTTTCCTGTTACAACTGTGGAGAACGTGGCCATCTTGGGAATCAGTGCACCGCACCAGAATTAGAAGAATCCATAATCTCTTGAGGGCCAGCCTCGTGCAGAACCGAAGAACTCCGAACGTGGAAAAAAGCCAAACAAATCCGTGGAACATCGGCGAAAACGGAGGTAATATTTCCATTTTCAGTAAATCCTAAATGCACAAATTTTGCCTTGAGATTCGGTTAGGATTAGAGTAAATTTAGGATTAGGGGCTGAACTCAAATCAACTACTAAAACCTAATCTAATACCTAACCCCTATACCCAACTCTAACCCTAACCTAACCTTAAAGGTAAAGTCGTGTATTTCGGATATACTTAATGTGGAATTATTACCGGAAATAAAATGGAAAACACAAAGAGGACGGTTAGAAGGTTTACTTAGGATAATATCTCGTTAAATATCCTAAAATTCTCGCCAGACTCAATGCAACGTGGTTTATATAAACCAGGCCAATAATGCCGAAATTATTTACCGCATTTGAAGTTTTAGATCCAGAGTGAACCTTAGCATTACAAAGGGAACGGAAAAGAGGACTTTTTAAACAATGCTGAATCGAGTAACAGACACAGTTTGGAGAATTTTTTGTTAGAATTTTTAAACATTATTTGTAGTACAGTTCAGGGATTCAGTGGTATGATTGGGAAATTAATTGATTATGCCAGAGAAGGTAAAGATAATGGAATCAACATGAACAAAATGATAAATCAAGCATTTTGGCCAAGGCCTAATTGCTTCACTGACATGCAGTCGTTATGAACAGCAATCTCAAAGAAACGGGCCTCAAATAGTGGGTTAATCAGGTTACCTGTTAATTAAGAAGGCCATTGCAGCGTTTTTTCCCGCGCGATGGATTCAATCCCGTATTGGTGGGGCCTGTTTCAATTTTAAAATCCCTGATAAAACGAATGCGAATTCTTTTGAAACATATTCACTCATGCATGGCCTAAGGTGTAAAAACATAAGACATATTTGGTAGAAATTTTTCACGCACTCTATCGATTTTAGAAATATACAAGAAACCGTCAAAAACATTGTTAATTTTAGCCGTAGCTGAAATGTACGAATTCCACAAGCTAGTTTACAATTATAACCGAACGTTCTCTTAATATATGGCGTCGTAATATAGAAAAAATCATTTAACTTATTTATGTAAATTATGCATTACCATTTTAGTTCTATATATATAAGTTCGTTAGATTGTGAAATTGGATCTATAGAAAGTTTGAATTTCAATATAGAAAATTATTTTATTGAATGCAAATACATATATATTATAAGGAATTTAAGATGTATGACAAGAAAGTAAATAAAATCGTTAATTATACTACAAGGTTGACGATGTATGGGCATTTTTCTCTTGGTACATAATTGCAGTAATTCTTACGGTGGCCAACAATGGACACGACTTCACACTATTCGAAGCAGGTATACTCTCTTTAAGCCAGGCCTGTTCCACATTGACCTACTTCGTAGAAATAGAACTGCTCCATAGAAATGGGCCTGCTCCATAGACATAGGCCTATTCCATACTGAAATATAGTATATTGGGTCCAGTAGGTCCAGTATACCGGAATATATTGTACAACCTTGTAATATCGTCGAACATACCGGAATATGGTATTTTCAACTTTGATTTGTCGAATATACTGGAATATAGTATATTCAAGATTGGTAAGGTCGAATATACCAGTATATTGTTAGTATATGTATAATCAACGTTGGTAAGGTCGAATGTATCGAAATACTGTATAATCAATCTTAGTGAGTTCGAATATACCAGAATATGGTATATTCGAGCCTGGTAAGCCTGGTCGAATGGTCGAATGGTGGGTTGAAGCCTCTCGAGTTCGCCGGAAATCGACTAATTCAACCATGGTCGAGTTCGCCGAAAAACGACTAATTCGGCCATGGTCGAGTTCGCCGGAAAACGACTAATTCGACCATGGTCGAGTTCGCCGGAAAACGACTAATTCGACCATGGTCGAGTTTGCCGGAAAACGACTAATTCGACCATGGTCGAGTTCGCCGGAAAACGACTAATTCGACCATGGTCGAGTTCGCCGGAAAACGACTAATTCGACCATGATCGAGTTCGCCGGAAAACGACTAATTCGACCATGGTCGAGTTCGCCGGAAAACGACTAATTTGACCATGGTCGAGTTCGCCGGAAAACGACTAATTCGACTATGGTCGAGTTCGCCGGAAAACGACTAATTCGACCATGGTCGAGTTCGCCGGAAAACGACTAATTCGACCATGGTCGAGTTCGCCGGAAAACGACTAATTCGACCATGGTCGAGTTCGCCGGAAAACGACTAATTCGACCACGGTCGAGTTCGCCGGAAAACGACTAATTCGACCATGGTCGAGTTCGCCGAAAAACGAATAATTCGACCATGGTCGAGTTCGCCGGAAAACGACTAATACGACCATGGTCGAGTTCGCCGGAAAACGACTAATTCGACCATGGTCGAATTCGCCCAAAAACGACTAATTCGACCATGGTCGAGTTCGCCGAAAAACGACTAATTCGACCACGGTCGAGTTCGCCGGAAAACAACTAATTCGACCATGGTCGAGTTGGCCGGAAAACGACTAATACGACCATGGTCGAGTTCGCCGGAAAAGACTAATTCGACCATGGTCGAGTTCGCCGGAAAACGACTAATACGACCATGGTCGAGTTCGCCGGAAAACGACTAATTCGACCACGCTCGAGTTCGCCGGAAAACGACTAATTCGACCATGGTCGAGTTCGCCGGAAAATGACTAATTCGACGAAGGTCGAGTTCGCCGGAAAACGACTAATTCGACCATGGTCGAGTTCGCCGGAAAACGACTAATTCGACCATGGTCGAGTTCGCCGGAAAACGACTAATTCGACCATGGTCGAGTTCGCCGGAAAACGACTAATTCAACCATGGTCGAGTTCGCCGGAAAACGACTAATTCGACCACGGTCGAGTTCGCCGGAAAAAGACTAATTCGACCATGGTCGAGTTCGCCGGAAAACGACTAATACGACCATGGTCGAGTTCGCCGGAAAACGACTAATTCGACCATGGTCGAGTTCGCCGGAAAAAGACTAATTCGACCATGGTCGAGTTCGCCGGAAAACGACTAATACGACCATGGTCGAATTCGCCGGAAAACGACTAATTCGACCATGGTCGAGTTCGCCGGAAAAAGACTAATTCGACCATGATCGAGTTCGCCGGAAAACGACTAATACGACCATGGTCGAGTTCGCCGGAAAACGACTAATACGACCATGGTCGAATTCGCCGGAAAACGACTAATTCGACCATGGTCGAGTAATGAAGCCTAAAGGCTGGTTTCCACTCAGGAAAATTCTCCTTTGGATCGGACCGGACAGGAAAGTTTTCATTGTATTTTCGCCGCCTGAGAACTCACCGACAAAGGAAATTTTCCTGTCCGTTCCGATCCAAAGGAGATTTTTCCTGAGTGGAAACTAGCCTTAAGAAGTGCTAATGGTTACAGAACGGTTACAGGTTACTAAATGAGATGTAATATGAAGTTTTTTGGCGTCGTAAATATCCGCTGATCAACACAGAAATCTCAAATTTTGAATTTTGTCAAGATGGCGTACGATCAAAAGAGTGATTTGATTGAAATTTTAGTAGCAGATTCAGCAGCTTTTTTAAAGAATGTTCCGTTGCAAAAGATGGCAAAGAATATTTACACCATCAACGAAGTTGTTGGTGAAATAAAGAGTCCTGCAGTTCGCCAGAGATTGGCGGTTTTACCTTATGAAATATCCTTTCGTTTACCATCCAGTGACTCGTTACACGTGGGTAAGAGTAATTATTGGTAATTGGTAATGAATCACTTCAGTTGCTGACTATCCACTCATAAGCCTTCTTTTCAGATTAGCGGGTTTGGTAGCGATAAAAGCTCTTGCATAGGTAGTATTAGATTCAGGAAATGTGATTCATGCCAAACAGTCTCAAAATGCACTATGTCATCTAAACGATACTATACTAATAATGATAATGATACTACACAGTAGGTATGCATAATTTTTGTCAGTTCATTTATAACAATGCTTATTACAAAGTTATTGTCTGTCTGTCACTCAATACTTTGTCTATTATGAGAAAATTTTGTGTGGTGAAACTTGAAAATATAATTCAAGTAGTGTACACTGTACAATGCATTGGAATTATTCATCTTCCCTGTTTACATTTGAACTTTAATTACAATTATTGAATTGTTCCATAAATTGCAACAATGTTCAATTTTTATATGACACCTCTAGATAAGTAATTTGTATATTTAATATAAATTATAGTATCTGAGTTTGCAAAGAAGACTGGAGATTTTCAAAGTCTTTCTCTTGTTGACCTGAAAGTTTTGGCCCTGACATATCAGTTACATAAAGAAAAATGTGGGATTGACGGCCTAAGATCAGAGCCAACAAAACAGGTACTTTGTCAACTTCATACTGCAATGAATAGCCACTATTTCTACTGTAGTCTATTTATAGTCATTTGTCACAAACTTCACAACTTGGTGAGCTAGAACCTTACACACTGTAGATGACGTCACAAACATTGTTTTCAAACTATAAAATTGAACAAACAAACATTTGCAATTTAACGCTCAATTTGCATTGTGTTATAATTACCTTTGTATTGCAGAGGTTACAATGTTTCTAATAACAACCTCTGAGATAAAAACTAGCTGTACTACAATTGGGCAGATTTATAGATCTTGAATATGAAGTAATATAAAAATAAATAATCTTCTAACAAATGTTCGGTTACCCATTAGTAATTACCCCACATACTATTAATTTGATGCATAAGCATGCAGTAGGCTATGTATTTTGTTTATGCAGACAGCATATATATACTGGACTATTATGTATAATAATATTGAATTATTATTATGTAATAAGCTGTGTCAATTAAAACAGGTGGAAGTGGTTAACAAAAGTGTACAAGGCAATGTTCCTGGGTTTTATGTTAAAAACGAGGTAGGAATATTTATTTAATGCATTTTACAATTCTAAATTTAACCTGCCTTACTGATAGTAATAAGAAAATGATTGCTAGGAAAGTACATGACAAACATCATTAACAATTCAACGGTTCTCACCATTTATGTGGTTCTTTGTAAGCCACTTTTATACATTTCACTTTCAATAATAGAATGGAATTTTACCCCCTTCATCAACTATAATGTCGTAAAAGTTTAGAAAGAATAATATATTGTCTAGAACCACCAGGAAACTGCTGAAGATTGTAAAGAAGAATTGTCAACAGATGCCAAGGAAGTAAATTTAGTCAAAGATATGAAGCAATGCTCATTTGATAACGAGGTTGCTAAAGAAGAGAAAGTTGTTGACAAGAATATAGTTGAAAATAAACTGGAGAATATAAAAAATATAACTGATAATGTGGTTGATCAAAAAGAGAATGTAAATAAAAATGAGGTGGATGTACAGAAAGATGAAGATGAGCATAATGGTGATACCAATGATAATAATGAAGAGCAATCAATTGATAATGATGATGATCAAACTGAACTTGATGGTCATGATAACTCCGAGGATCACCATAGCAACAGTGACGACAGCTATGATGACGACGATGATGATGACGATGGTGGGGATTGGATCACACCGGAAAATATAGGTCAAGTGAAAGCTGATTACGGTATTTCGGAAGCACAATCTAAACCTGTAAATATTTCAGTTGGTTGTCTGACTACAGACTTCGCCATGCAGGTAAAATTCCGCTATATTATTTCAGGGCTTTTGTAACCCCTTTTTTCACTCGCAATTAAGATTCGTTTACAGAATGATTATTCGTTTTCAAAATATTGTTAATATGTCCAAACATTTGGATTTGGTGTAATCTAAATGTTACCCTTCTCGATTCGGGTTTTAAATATCCCTTAATTTAAAATATATGTATTACATACGTAACCTATGGATAACACTACATCTGATGAAGAGTAAGTTTTTACGATTGCAGGAAATTTAAACTCAGGTTGAATATTCCAAAGATAAAGCGCAGCCAATTTTGTCATTGTGTGATAGATGTTTCAGTGGTTTTTACATGGAGCGAGTTATCCCGGCTAGGCGAGGTGATTTAAGCCTTTGGCTTTGATGTGATGCGCTTTCTACCTCGCCTAGGAGGGACAACCCTATGGAGCATATCAAAAGGCTCTAAATCGTGCATGTCTTTTCGTTACAGAACGTTCTCATTCAGATGGGCTTACATGTTATATCAGTGGAAGGAATGTTGATTAAGGAGGCTCGAAGCTATGTCCTTAAGTGTTACTCCTGTTTTAAGTATGTACATTATATTTGCTTGTGCGAACTTTTGGTTATCCGTTGTGAAACATTGTTAACATTGTTAAATGTTCATCTTTTCCCAGAGTCACATCTCAGATGCAACGGATGTTTTGCCCCAAGTGTGGCAATCGTACATTGGTAAAAGTATCCGTCAGCGTCAATGAAGAAGGCGTCACGCGTTACCACATGCCGAAAAGAAACAGACCTTTCAATATCAGAGGAAAGAAAGTAAGCCTGTACTTTTGCGTTGCCTGCACAATCATTTCATTTATACATTATTTAACTGTGTTACCTCTCGCTTTTTCATGGTTTTTCGCGCGTATGGACATTTTCATATGCATGTGTGTTAAGCGTGTATGTTGGGAGAAGCATATCTTCCTTGAGTTGTTTTCCACGTCCCCTGAAAATACACGTATTTACATCCTGCATAGAAAGTCCGGCTTCCACAATGAAAAGTAAAGTTACTCAAATTATTTATATATATAGTCAAGAATATTCTTCCAACAAACTGATTTGAATCGTACACTCATCAAAGCATTCAAAATAGATTACATTGATTGGATTTCATTCATCAGCCAATCTTCTCAAAGCAGCATGGGAAGGCTAGCCCTGTACCACTCTTAACACAAACCCCCCCCCCAATTTCCTCACCACAACCCGGCCTCGAACATTCTCATCAAGTACTCTTTATTGAATTTCACAGCATCCTCTGCCGTTACCAAAAGGGGGCAGGCACAACAATAATCCGTTGTTGTTCGAGGACCAGCTCATAAGTCAGCGACGTCTACCGAAATCGAAGGATAAAGTGAACGTATTGGACGAAGACTACGTCGCTCGTTCTTCGCCATTCACCGTAAACGATACGACGAGCCGAGCCTTCAATTTAGGATTTCATGTTCGCGGACAGAACAAAAGGAATCCGAACGAAGCGAGAAAAAAAACAAGACGAAAGAAATAGCGTTGCATTTTCTTCTGAGACGGAGGGTATGACGATAATATTCGTAGCTTGTTAATGCTTTTACATAATAGCTATACACGCGCTATTTATGATCCAGTCTTTAATCCGATTGGTTGAATCCCTTGCGGAATATCAGCTTTATATTCTCTCGCCCCTCCGGCAGGAATCAAACCTACATCCTGTGCGTTGCCTGTGCACTGCTTTGGCCCCTGAGCAACGAAGAAAACTGCCAATAGTGTACGTGAAATTCGTGTATATAAAAGGTAATGGGGATACATAGAGGAAAGCTCTCTTATGTATTATTTACCTTTACCTAATTTCACATGAAACAATTAGATCATCGAAAATTAAGTGAATATAATTAAAATGATTTTTATAGAAAATAAAATATATTTCGCTCATACATATGAAATTGTACCGGACTATATGATAAAACAATTACACCACTCGCTCTCAAACTTTGAGCTTTACTATCAAATCATAAAATTAAGCTAATGGAATAATGTTAAACATGCACAAAATCGTCCTACATCGTATGATAAAATGTCCCTTATCTGCTACTGCAGATAATATAAGAATATAAGAGTGAACATGCTGAGGCAGAATTTGCCAGTCGGTATATTTCCATGAGAACTATTTGGGTTTAAAATTGATAAGGATATGGTAGAACTTTTTGCAGGATGGACGGTGACGTTCCGTTTATCTGGCTTTACATATCTAAAGGATATGTTGTAACTATCTCCAGGTAGCACGGTAACTTTCCGTTTCTTGGAAAATGTGCCTCCGAATTTCAAATAAATTGAATAGTTTCCAGGGATAACAGCGTGCACATAGAAACCACTTCCGTTGGGGTACGCTAAACAACGAGAGGATGTAAGTGTTAGATCCATTCATCCACCCTTTCAGTAGCGACGTCGTAACATCTTACTTGTGAAAGTCCTGTTGTCACTTGCGAGTACAATGACCTCGACCATTTCGGGTTTGCTTGCATTTACATGACCGCTTATTGTACCACAAGAAGAATTATTATCTAAAATATTGAAATTACTACCTATTAAATGTGGTGTCAACAACATCATTCCTCCTTGTCCCCGTCATTTCCCCCTGCTAAAATTGATATACTCATTCGGAAGTACTTTGCGTAGCATTGAGCCTTGAGAGTTGGGGTTGGCCCTCTCTTCGTTAAACACCACCCCTCACGACATTACCCCGCAGTCTCAAACACTGTTTAACTTTATGTGCAGCATACCTACCGTCATTCTTGACGAGTACAAAATTTACAATCTTGACCACTCCGTCCACCTGCACGGATTTCGTTGCTTTCTTGTATCCCTTTGCTAATACTTGAATGGTATAATTACCTTTAACCAACAATCTCCAGTAATCGCCAAGCTTAGCTAGAAACAATAAATGGTTGAACATAAAATTAGAGTATCTACTAGTACTAAAGTGAATCAATGACCCTATTTTTTCCCAATACGTGCTTATGAAAATTAGGAGAATAAAACATTTTAACTAGAAAACGTCTGCAACTGGTTTGTTCATGACAAAAAATTATATGCAGAAACTTTCTGGTTCGACAATGGCATTATATGAACCTCTTCCCGCCCTTGTGGGCTCGCTAATCCCATATATAGACACAATAGCCATATTTGGAGTGCTGCATGAAACATGCTGTTTGCTTTCGAATTCGCTCCACCGGCTTTCTTTTTAAACTTGACGACAGAGAAAAAGGTCTTAAAGATGAAAAGGTAAACTTGAATATATGTTTTTCATGTAAGATTGTCAAAATCTATGGTATTTTTACGTAGCTTTGCAGTAGCAAACCGTGTCATACTGTATTTCCGTGTTTTCATACCAAAATTCCGACGAAAAATCGCCTGATTTGCAAGGATTTTGCCCATAAGACAACCTTTTGCAATAAACATTCTGATGTGTATTTATCGGTATCATTCGCTGGGACACCGTTTTTAAAAATCTTTTGGTCCCCAGCGCGAAAAGAAATCCTTTTCCATATATGATAAAAATGATAATAATTTTGTGTATAATCGTTTAAAGTTCATGCAATGAAACCGTCATAAACGTTTTCATTCTTGGAATTGATATTATTAAACGATGTTAAATGGCATGGAAAGCTCTTTTAGTGTATTTCAGGTGTCCAAACAATACCACTTTAAAATGTTTTGATTGCCAACAGTCCAAAAGATTTACTAGCACTTTTTTAAGGAAATTTTAAAACTTCAATTTGAGTATATTTAAAGGACCGAAACCTGATGAGTGATGTGAAAGTGATGTGAAAGCCTAATAATAGTAGATCTTTTTCTGAGGTAAAGCTCAAAAAATACTCAAAAAATGTAGTTTTCAGTGTGACCATATATGCAAATTTTGGAACCAAAGCTGCTCAAATCTAGTTTGACTACCTCTTTCTGGTATAAATTTGGTATTATCAAAATCAGATGGGGCTGTTTGTGTGCATAGAACACAATACGGTATTAAAATTAAATTGCCAGATCTGGCCTCAAGTCAGGCTCATTGCAAAATGAGCATGACAACCATTATCAATCCCTGCTGCCTTTCAAATTAATTATTTACCACTAAAAATATATTTCTCTCTTTGGTCCACTTTGATTTCCGCACCAGCAATACCGTTACCACAACGATCTGAAACAACACCTTTAATTCCTTTGTGGACCTCCTTAATTAGAGCAATTAAAGCTGGCTTGTGATCTTGCCATTCCTTTTGAAGTTCACTTGCCTTTGGGTATTTACAACAGCTCATTTCCACCAACACCTCGAAACAATTGCTAATTTAATCATGAATCAAAAAAAAAACAACAGTCCAATGCTGAATTTTTCTATGAGTAGATAAATATTAATCTTGGGGCGAAACACGTATTCACCTTCAACATTAGCACTATATATAAACTTACCTTGTCAAATAGTTATAGTCTTGCATGCCACCTTGTACTGCATACCAGTCAGCACCATTAGTGATACCATCTTTAAAACTGTCCAATGGAAAATCTTTACATTTCGGGCTCCCTTTATGCATAGTTGGATGTGCATAAGAATACGATTTCGACACCTGTCGAAAAACATCGTCATCCGGTGCTTTGCTATATATGTGTAATCTTGGATCTCCTTTGACACTGTCATATGGGTAATTGACAACCATGGTGCCACCATGTAGATTACCTGAGAGGACAAAGGGCTGTGATGAGATCCATTTCATGACAGCTTTGGTTTCCTTCTCTAGTGCAAGGCAACGCCCCTTTGTCCTTGGGTTTAGTAAATCAGGAAAGTTTCTATTAAGGTCACACTGATTTTTGTTTTGACGACCAACAAGGTTGCTGCAAACACCCTCGAGTGAGATCTCCCAGCCATCTGGATTCATACTTGGTAAGATATGAATGCGTGTTGAGTCGACTAGGCTTTTAACAACGTCATTTGAGTTGTACTGGCTCGACAAATAATAAGCAAGGTGGAGTAGAACCTCTCGACCGAGAACCTCGTTTCCATGCATGTTACCAATATATTTAAACTCAGGTTCGCCCTTCTCATGTCTTTCAGGGTGGTCAGATATTACCAACACCCACAGTTCACGGTTCTCAACAGATTTGCCAATTGTGTATAAGTTTGTGATATCTGGCCATTGCTGATTAATTTCTTTGAGGATGTTTGTCATTTCATGATAGTTGTGATGTTTGTGTTTAATAATAAAACTCTGACTAATGCCAAAGTATGTGATTATCATCATTTGAAGCAGCATGCTGATTGTGGTGGATATTTTTGCTTTGAAATGCATCATTTAGTGTTACTGTCTGGCAAGCCAAAAACTAGAAAATGTAAAATTTTACACAATTTATCTAGTTATCTTTATAATCTTTTCAAAAAACAGTCTAAAGTAATGTGCAAGGCTGCTTAGGTAACTAGAGGTTCTAAATAATTTAAGCCTCTGAGAGGGCAGTAAGATGTTGATAAGAAATTCACTGTTGCCATACCTCCCAATTCTCAAAATCTGTGGAATATAGCAAATTCATGTTCTAAGCTCAATGTAGTTTTGGGCCCTGTGTAAAAGGGTAACCTTCAAGAAATATAGGATTCCATGAACTATGGCTAAGCACTATTCAAACCCTGCTTTAGGTATGGATATTGCTTTTGTAAAGTAATATAGCAGGGGGTGGATGCTAGGCAATTGTCATAAACAATGAGTGATGTAGCCCTTAATTCTAACGAATCTATGTTTTTTAAACTGTTAACCACTAATACCAAATTGCTGGTATCTAGTATATCATAATATATGGTTTGATTGGGTTCTTAATAAGTCAGAGTTCAAATTAATACTAGGGGTGAATATTATTATTTTGAGAAATTGAGTAACATCGGGAAAGGATCTTGTTTTGTTACTTAAAAAAAAAATGAGCAAAAGGAAGATGGATCCCTGGACAATTAGCATTGACATTGCGCGTAATTCTGATGAATTTGTTGCACGGAAGGCCAATAAAAGTATATCTGAAGTCTACCCAAAATTACAGAATATGACAGATACGTACTTACCATTTACCAACTAACATTTATGCACGGTAGTGTTGGTCAACAAGACAGCAAATATACCCTAATGGTACCTCCTAGACATTTGTAGCAGTTCAACTGGAATATTTCCGCATCAGGAAAGCTTATGTAGAGGAATAGCGTGATATTTGATCACCGAACATCTGGGATTAATAAATTACAAAACGCTTTTAGAACAATTGGAATTTTCGCCGTGCCGTGCAAAGTTTTATTAGATAGACATATCTGTCATTGAGTGTTCCATCAAATTAACATCTCGTATGTGCAATTTTAGCGTTGAAGTATATATTTTCTCAGCGTCATGGTGGCCATGTATAAAAAAATTCACTTATTTTGGGGCCACTTGCAAAATTTGTATGCATAATTCATAAAAAATGTTGATCCCTCTCGGAGGGGGGGGACACTTTCAATTTTTAACACCGTACGGAAGTGTCAATGGCGTTTCTGTCGATTTAATGAATAATCGAAACGCCTAGTCCTGTGGCTAGGTGGGACGGTGGGAGTGAGTATCTCGATGAATATAAACATGTCATGGGCTGACGGGAAAAAGTTGGGCGAATTAGCAGCTGGGTTTTCAGAATTCACCAGAATGATTGAGCCGGCGTCTCATAAAGTGGATTGAGAGGTTGAGTGGTTGACAATTTATGTAGTTAGTCGATTCTGTTGTTAAAACTCTTAGGCATTCAGTACTAGTTCACTGACAGATGGCAATAGCTAACAACAGCCTAATTCCACTTCAGTCTACTACTTTTGAGTTTTGGCATGATCTGGAAAATCATACGACTCCGCCTCTTTAGCGAAGCATGACATTGTAATTTGTTGTCGTTTTATTTTTTGTTCCACTGAATACCATCTTACTATGAATACATTTCTTTAATTTAAATATTTATGTAAATACGTTCACAGCTGTATTATAAGGATAGGCACTGCCTAGTTGTGGCTGTGGTCTGGAAATAATCCAATGATTTCCTAAGAATCAAGGATCCATTGCCGGGTGTTGTCATTTTCCGACGGAAAAAGCATTTTGTGTCGAAAATCCTAGCTCGGTGTAAAATCCGGCTTAAAGATCTTCTGGTATACATCATTCATCAAATCAAGTTAAATTGAATATGCAATTTAAAAAGAACTTGTGTAGATCATTATCAAATCAAGCCAACATTATGCAATTTTTTGGTATTTTCTTGGCTTTGTGCGAACGTTTCAGGTTCGGCTTACTTGGCGTATCAAACTCCGAATTTTCAAAACCTTTGAGGGAAATAAGAAATTAAAGATATCTAGGCCGCCAATGGCTATGTTCGGTGACACGCATCGACATGTTGCCTGAGGAGTTAAATTTCATCCTGCGTTGTGTTTCACTGACCTGTTTATCCCCTCAATTTGTTTTGATCTCAAAAAAGTAGCAATTAGTATGCCAGGTGGAAAGCGCAATTTTAGAATGAAAATTAAATGGCCGACAATTGATTAAGGTTCAAGGTCGATACCTTGGAGATACAAAAAGCAACAAACTTTCCGAAAAAAATAGAATCATCTTAAACGAATTAAAGAAAGAATTAATTGAAACATGCAAGACGAGCTATTACAGTGCTATAGCTCGTCCTCTTTTAACTAATCTCTTGAATTCGTAGATGACTTTATTTTTCTAAATTGTTTCTTGTGTTTTCTTATATATTTAATATATTCTTATACAAATTGGTCTGTTTGGTTTTATCCGGAGTTTTACTGACATCGGTCCTTGCAACCAGTTGTTGCATATTGTTAAAAGTCTAAGTACGGATTTAGCCATTTCAGATGATGAGAGAAGAGTCTAGGTGAAAGTATTAGGTATATTTACAATGATGATATCTATCATCCTTTATTTCCATATACGGAAATAAAAAAAAACAAGTGTGAAAAAATTCGTTTGTAACATTTCATAATTCATCATCTCTACATAATATATCGCTGACTAGAATTAGAATTCTCGGTCGACGAGGGTCTTCACCAATCACCACGTAGTGAAGTTACTCACACTTTTATGGTGATTTTCTGGCAGTACACTGTACACAGCCAATTAATGAAAAAAATCTAAAACGATAGTCATTATCGCCTAGAAACGTCTCTCGACATACCTTGGCCTTGGTCCTTGCCCTTCGACTGGTCTTTGCGCTTAATGGTCACCTTGAATAGCTCTTTAAATCATAATTTTGGGTGTAAGATGATAGAGAGTGATTAACAGCATATTTAGTGATGACAACCTTTCGGCTGAGTTGCATGAAAATATCCATTATTATAGAGAGCAACAAATTCGATTTTGGTAAAAATGTAAAAAATATTTACATAATATACTAGGGCCAGTTGTATAAAATCCTTTAACTTCATAGTTAAATCCTAGTTAACTCAGAAATACGCAACTCTGATTGGTCAATTCTGTCCTTAAGCTAATCAAATTAACACTAAATTTTTTGGCACTAACATTCGCCCTTCCTCTAAGAGGATTAACTTATCTTATACTAAATATTCAATATAGTTAGTACTTTATTATTTTTTTCTAAAAATTGCTTATAAAGAGTTTGCGGCCATTACGCATTAAATAAAAAATCCCTATCCTTCAAGATGAAACACAAACAAACTTTAACAAAGTAAATTGCCATCGCAATCCCAAAAAGTCTCTATGTCGTTGGGAATATTAGATTTTTCTAATTCTCCCCCCCCCCGTTTGGCACGTGGGTAAGGCAAGATGGCCTCCATTTGGTGGCATGGTTGCTTTATATGCCTTTTAACATCGCTTGTTGTGGGAAGGGAAGAGTTTCACGAGGAATTATACATTAAGCCGTTTCCAAGCGGTGATGTATTAACTTATTTTCAGTTCACGACTTTGTGGAGTGAAGATATTCGTGATAAAAATTCATGTAAGTGTCGAAAGGGGTGAATGTATAAAATATTTTAATTCATAATAGACTGACTGCTTAATTGTGCATGATTTACATGTACCTAGAACCCTAAGTTCCTCAACTAAGTTCCTATGGGCTGTATTAAAATAGAATTCATTGGCATAAAAACCACTAAACCCGGTTGCAAAACATGTGTCATATTCGCTAGGTATAGGTGGGAGTGATCTGGAATGATCTGTTGAGGGTGGACAAATGATCTGATAGGAGCTGCCAGTGTGCCAAATATGTAATTTTTTTATGATAGCATGCAACAAGTCTGGGAACACATGCAATTTTGAAAGAATTGCTCAGAAATACCTGTTTGTGGGCTATGCCCTCTGTTTTTTTGACATCATTTCATCTGTATTAGATTAGGCTAATGTGGTGTGCTTTTTTCTCTGTTGTTTTAGTTTCACATTATAATCTATTTCCAAAGTCATTGGGTCAAATTGTAACAAAATACTCTGTAGAGGAGTTGCACTTATCATTAACACAAGGATTTTGGAATGCATACTTATGGGATAATGCAATGCAACCTGCCTCACCTGGGGCAGAACTTGCTGTTTGGTTTCAAGACAAAGTTCTGCTAAGGTATGGTTGTTTGAATGAATCATGGTTGTTAGATATCCAGTGAAGATAACCCAGACTACTAAACAAGTACTAAGCAAGGTTTATGCTAGAAAATATAATAAGCTGCTTTCAAGTATACATGTGTATACAGAGTTCATTCAATTAATATATAATGGATATCATTTCTTTAGTTTTCATGTTTTAGTGGATATTGTGTTTTTGAGAATTAGCTGCATTCTATATGTTTTCAGGGTTGATAAAGAATGGAGTGGCCTTACAAATGCTCTATCTGGTCAGTTTTGTGCTTCATTAAATTTCATCAAACCAGAGAATACTGCATCTCCAAACATATCATTTCGAAGACGTGGACTGACATCTTCCATATATAATGATTCCCAAACATTGCGATATGCATCTTTGCCTGGGGAAATTGTTTGCACTGAAAATTTAACACCTTGGAAGAAATTACTGCCTTGCAATTCCAAGGTACAAGATTTGAAATTTTCTATGTCAATTAATATGGGACATATCTTCTTATAATGATATACAATGGTACAATTTACCTATTTGTTCTAGGAGTCATAGTTCCGACATTCAAAATCAGTAATTTTCAGTTGTGATGGTGTAGTGTTGTTGCTTATACAAGCCTAAATCCTAGTTTACAAGATATTTTTCTCATGTATTAGCTATAATAACTTTAATACCTCATCCTGTGTCATAGAATGCTCTGGTAAGATTAGACTTTAATATGAGCACCATAGATTATGTTTTTCTTAGAAAAGTCTGTTTTGAACTTGCACCTATTACATATATCTGTTATAAACATATTGTATTTTGTTTTAGTCTGGATTATCAAGCTTACTGAACTCTTTGCTCATATACAAAGTGAAATACCACTCCATGTCCATACACCTTCGAACAATATGTGAGGTGCGTTTTACCACATGATTTTTAAAATGTCAATCATTGTTGCCCCCCCTGAATTCAGGTTGAAATAGACCTTTCTCATTATGACATAAAAAGCGGAAAATCTGGTGCTGCAAAAAATATCATTCACTCTGCAAAACTAATCAGCTATAATCAAACTTGGTGTAACATCAGGCATTACATTTTTGACATAATTATATGTTAAGGGGCCTACTAGTACACGTCAAAAACGCTCAAGTTGTTCCCGGTTGATGAGAACAGGCCTCAACCATGTTGTGCTGCACCCCATGAACAATGTTGTTCCACCTTGTTATGCTTCACAATACTGGAACATGTTGTTGACAACGTTGTTGAGGCCTTTTCTCATCAACCGGGAACAACTTGAGCTTTTTTTGCTGTGTAACACCGCCTGACTAGTTAACCAACCTGGAGTTAAAGAGGTAGTATATGCCCCACATTCTTTTGAGTTTTGGAAGACAAATTAAGAGAAATTGGAAGATGAATTTTTAAGTTTACAAAATAATTTTATATCATTTTAATGCAGGATGCTGATTGTCAACTTCCATTATTGGAGTTACAACAAACTATGTCCATTGTAACGGATCCAGTAGTGAGAAGTGGCAGTAATGGTTTGTACTCAGTCTGTTGATGTTTTTAAACTATAATTAGAAATACAACCATCTTTTACGATCTCCAAATCAAGTGCTAAAAGATTAAAGATATTCGCATTAAGATGCATCAAACTAGAATTTTATCTCAACTTTGTAGATTGGTCGCTTCGCAAATTATTTGGCCATCCTTTGAGGTCGTCCTGTCCTTTAGCAACTACGAGTCAAGTTTTCATAGATGTTACTGAAAACGATGTAGGTATATATATTCTTCGTACAGTAGCTGATTGTATTATGCGTGTTGTTGTTTCAAGGGGAATGAAAACTAATGGATAGATCGACCGAAAAGTTCTAACACATGGGCTCCTTCGTGCATCGTGAAATTTATGTCGTTATATTTTTTCTTTTAAGACTGACAATAACTTTTCATTGAAACCAAAACCAACACGTTTTATCTCAAAATCAGATGAAGAACTAAACCGACAGTTCGCAGTTTACAACTTGAAAGGAACAGGTAAAGATTTGCCTTTACTATTTTGTATGATGCACAATCATTTCAGTGAATTGACTGTTCTGATCAATTTACATACGAAAGAAACATATTTTAAGACGCTTATTGTGTAAATACAGTAGATACAGTACGTACAGTAGCTATACTCTATGTTAGAAAGGCTTTCTTCATTGTCATGACATTCCGAAGCGCAGAGTCTCTCTTGAGCACGACAGACACGTAGGCACTCTTCCAATCGCGTGGCAAAATGTATCCACACAAGGCAGATATACTAATAGAATAAGTGAAAGTTATGTTAACTGTACGTCTTATAATCTTTGTTAACCTTTACTTCAGGCAAAGTTCCCAAATTGCTTACCTCTGATAGCGGATTTAATCCAACACTGAAATGGCAAAAAAGGTCTAAACAAGGTATGTTTCAAAATATGTGTTTTGAAATTCCTCTTCAACTAGTAACATTAGGGAGACATTCATTCCCTTCAATTTATCTTATAAAAGGTCCTTCTCTTTGTAGCGAAACCGCCGTCTTTCTTTGTCCATCGTTTTTTGACAGGTATTGTACGAAGGCTTTAACCATATACTACCAACAAATCTACCTGAATGGATTGTTCAATTAAACGTTGAATCCCTCCTCATTGTACTGTAGACAACTGCATACGGTTCTCTACAATTATTTTTTTAAAATTGTTGTGGGTCGACGATTATTAAGCTTAAAATGATCATACATAGAAAGCGTAATACAATAATTGAAATTAAGTGCGAAGTATGAGCATGCGTTTGCAATGCAGTTCGCTTCTAAATCTCCAGAATCAAAAATCACATGCAGATGTGTGTGTTGTTTCAGGTTATGGAGAAGAACATGCTGGAATACAGTGTGAGATGAGAAATCACCACAAGATGGCGTCTATCAAGATCGTTTATTTCCAAATACTACCCTGGCATTTCAGGGTATATCTGCATACGTTACGTGTTCGCATAAACGATGTGAATATTAAACCAGGCAAGTGGAAATTCTATCAGGCATTCTTCAACCTACTCATTGTATACCAATCTGAAGTAATATAATTTGTTATACTTTTTGTTTTCAGAATATATCGATTTTGTGCCCTCCAGAGATCGTGAGAGGCCAACAAAATTGGAGATCGTTCTGACTGTGCCTCCAGATTCAATTGTGACTGTAAAAATGGAGTTCGATCGAGTTTTTTTGAAGTGGACAGAACATCCACCTGACGCACATCATGGATTCTATTTACCGTAAGTAGCATAAAAATGGGCATAACATAAAATGGAATAGTTGGAACGAGACATACTTCATAACAAGGTCTGAAAAAGTAGAAAAGGTGCAATGATAAACTCCCTAAAGACCATGCAGAATCTACTGGCAGCAAAAACGCGATCAAAACCTTTCAAAAGGTAATGATAAATGGTAAATAGGCACGTGTATTAAAATAAATCCATACGATCTTTTGTTTAGGTCGGGTGTTATTACAGCTAAATTAGTACCAAATGGAGACTCGAACAGATCAGGACTTTCAACAGACTATGGATCGCTTCTGTCACAGTAAGCAAATATTACACTATAGTTTTAGGCGAAACAACCACATTGTATTAGGGTTAAAGTCACTAACCTGTTTTTTTAAATAGTGAAATTACAGTAAACTGTTTGCAAACATTTTCATTGGCAAACAATCATACATTTTTCGTTCATTGAAACATTCTCATCTTTAAAACTCCACAGGTCATTACAAAGTACCAAAACTGATGACAATTTAATTCGAATCTACACGGAAGTCCTACTTGTATCCTTGCCTACTCCTGATTTTAGCATGCCTTATAACGTAATCTGTTTAACTTGCACCGTCGTGGCCATTGCTTTTGGCTCATTATACAACCTGTCCACAAAACGTTTGCAAGAAGTTCCTCCGGGAGAACCAACCACATTGCTTGGTAAAATCAAGCAAAAACTATCTCGGCTCAAGGAGAGAATAATTCCTTCCACAAAATCGGGAAATAAACCGAAGAAGGAGAAGAAAAATGATTAGTTGAGCTATTGTAAAACCCACCGTCCGAAATGTTTCGGTTAAACAAACCGACAAGAATTGACAAGGCGCCTAGTGTAAATTGGTCAAAAGATGATATCTCTGACCAATATCTAGAAACTAACAGGGTTGTTGTATAAAATCTATACACCTACCTGTGTGTATTATTGACACTTATGTTGTTTTTAAAACACAAGTGTTGTTAAACCTTTAATTTAAATTTCACTCTTATGGCGTTGCGATATGGATTTTTCTGATAGCCATCAGAGTGTTGAAAATAACACGTATTTTTTAACTACGATAGCAGGCGAAAGAAGATAACATAATGTATTATTATGATTTATTCAGTACTCTATTCGTCGTTCGTTATCATAGTTCGGCTTTACTTTGGTTTGCTATGTTTCAGAAAAGTTCGAAACAATTTCTAATTAATCATGAGATCTCACCTTCTATATTGTCCCGTTAAACATATAATACCTTAATAGGTATAATATAGACATGAAATCAAAATTATATAGAATAATTTTTATATGAAAATTAAGATGATCTGCTTACAATCCCCAGATCAATCATTTTTACATTACCAACAATTGTTTTGGTTGTATTTGCATGGTATCGAATGTCACCATCGTGAATTGGTTCCATTGTTCCTGGGCGATCCTTTTTGATATCGTCGGCGTTGACCTGGACTTTTTTACCGAGCAAAATGATTTCTTCACTGTTTGCTGTTTCCATGATATTTTTTGCGAAATTAAGTGACCCGTTCACTTTCTCATGATAGGAATTCATCTCGTCACGTTGTTTCACAAGTTTCTCGTTTACCCCGCTATTCTGTGTGTCGACCCGACCGAGCAAGACCTCTACTTTTGATTTTACTTTTTGGGTTAAAGCTTGCGTGACTTCCAGTTCTTGTTTCTGAATCATTTCCTTGGCGCTTTTGGCGTTAGCTTGTAGATTTTGAGTGGCGTGACCTATTTTTTGTAGGCCAATTTCAACTTCCCTGGACGTCTGTTGTAACATGCTGGCAGTTGCTATTAAAGCTTTCTTGTGCTCCTCAGCCACTACATCAGTTGGTCAATAGCTATGCTCAGGTCTCGGATGATTCATTAGAACGCAAGTAATACAAACCAATTCCTCGCATATGTCGCAATAAAACTCGAATGATTTACTTCCGTGTCCTGGCTTTAGGCAACGTAGTTTTCCGTTTGCTTTGCTTTGGTTCTCTGGTTTTTCCAAATCCTCCAAGGTCATAACAACATGGTTTCTGAAGTCTGGCCATTTATTGTGTGTTGTTAAGCACGTCTCGCATAGATATTGCTCGCATTCAATACATCTGCTTGTGACTGACTCTTGAGCTTTGCAAGGCCCGCAAACAAGAGCTGCTTGCTTTTGAGTTTGTTGTTGTATGGCCGGCAGTATTTTTAACAGGTTGTTGATGAAAAAATTTGGCGGAATACCTTCCATGCTATCACTTTTCAGTTCAAACTGGGTTCTGCACTTAGGACAATCGTAGAAATACTGGGCTCTTAAGCTTCGACGAAGCGGCCGTTGGGTTTTCTCACGTTGAACTTCGATAAATTTCGCGAGACATATTTTGCAGAATGAATGAAAGCAAGGAAGTGTCTTCGGTTCATCCAAAATTTCTCTACAAATGTCGCACGTCAGAAGTTCTTCCATTTGTTTGGCCGGAGCAGAATCTGGTGCAGAGGCCATGCCTAGCCTATATTGCCTGGCAGATTGGTTTGTTACACAACCCGCACAGTGCACACGTTGTTAAAGATTGTAATAAAATGAGAGCCGGTTTTCCCTATGTTATTGCTAAATACCGTCTAATCTTTGCTTAGTTTACCCGGCGTAGGATCACCACTAAGAATTCATCCCATACCTTATGTTTACGGCCTTTCTGAAGCTTTTATTCCTGCATGGCCTGACGATTCGTCATTATATAAAATTTATATCGTATACGACTATACATAAGCGGACAATTTATGTGCTTAAATGCAATCGTGTTTTGTTTGAAACCTTACACCCCTATTTTGCCATGAAACACCTTAGCCTAATATTCCATTGCCACTACTTCCTGTTTCATATGAGACGAGGCACAGAGTTTAGGCCCTGTTCATATGAGCCGGGCTGGCCCGCTTTGCCGGGCTAGCTCGCTTTGCCGGGCTGGTTTATTTTCTTATTCACATGAAGCGGGCTAGCCCGGTAGCGTTACATCATTTGTTGATGCTTCACAAATCGAAAAATGTTGTTTGCATTGATTACAGCGGTTTTGGGCAGATATATTTCGTTAATTTTTGAAATGTATTGTGTTCTTTTGGTTTGCAAATACATATAAAATGGCGAAATGATGCTATGAAGGTATATTTGTAGAGAAAGCGATCGACGATTTTCAGCCCGGTTTACCGGGCTAGCCCGCCTAGTGCGTTCATATGAGCCCGTTTTGCCGAGATCTCGCCTCGCTCAAGCGAGATCTCGCCAAAGCGGGCTGGCCCGCTTTCCATGTGAATCAAATTTCAAAAACATATAGAAACAACTTAGGAAGCGGGATCTCGCCTCTAGCGAGTCAGCCCGGCAAAGCGGGCCAGCCCGGCTCATATGAACAGGGCCTTAGATATGTCTTTTTCTTAGCCAAATTTCTCGAGGATTGTCTTTCGTTACATCGTTTGCGGCGGTGTAAGCTTATTTATTAACCATAATTTTAGGTTGACTAACACTTCTTAATTTCTTAAAGAAATTTATGCCTACAATATTCAGATAATCAGATTCGTCGGACTAAACAGTTATTTTACAATACAAGTTTGATCTTCTCATTTATAATATAAGTTCTACATCGCACAGTTGGCCTAAGGTGACTCCATCCAATATGATGAATCCCACATTTTGCATCAGTCGTTACACTTGGACACTTTTCATGTTAGTTCCAACATAAAATTGAAATGTTCATCAAACCTATAAAAAATATACAGATACGGGTTACGTGTCGTTTAACGAGTGTAAATATGTCCTAAAAAGTTCGTTCTTGTCAAACGTCCTAGCCTTGACTAGCCTTGTGTTGGCAGTTCAGAGTTTGTGCATAATAAAAAAATATCATCAACATTTTTCTTAAAAACTAGGAAACAAATTACCAAGCTTATCTCCATGGCGCAACTGCAAGGGAAAAATATATACATCAGTTAACGGCCTACATGTAAACAGCGCCTGATCATAAGTTCAAAGTATGTGCGAAACTTGTTGTCTATGATATTTGCTAAATACAGCAGTTAATTTTGCTCGTATTTGGTCACCAACACGGTTCAATTATCTTCAACTGTCGTTATTATTGGTTATAAACGAGCTTCGTTTTCTTTATCAAATCATTACTACATGACGGTTTAATACGTGTTTAATAACTAATGTAAAAGCTGCTATAAGAAGGTTTAACGTCGTTGACGATTAGAGCTTCCCCGTAAATATCGGTCTTAAAGTGTCTATTGTTAATTTTACCTTCGTTTAACTGCTGAAAACTTCAATTTCTGATGGGGTGAATTCGTAACTGCCCGCCAACAGAGCATTGGTTTGTTGGACTCCAGGTTTAAATCCTGGAGGAGCTTGATATGTGTCACCAAGGTTGCTCATTGAATATTTGTTAGTGCTCGCATTGGAACTGATGAACAGATCACGGCCATCACCACTACCACCAAAGACTGCTCCAGAGTATGGATGGCACCTAATTGCTTTGTCATTTCGGCCTTCCTTGATCGGGCACTTGAATGGCCGCATATTCTCTTTGTTTTGAACGGAAAACAGAAATGATGCGTTGGAACATTTATACTCCCACAAAACTGAAGTAAAAGAAGACAGATTTACTTTTTTGATAAAAAGAATAGCTATACGTACAAAAAATATGACGTAATTTTGTCAAATACAAAATTCCCATCAGAAGAAGGAAATGTAGCCGTTTTCTAATCTTGGGATAACGATTATGAAATTATTTTAAACGAAAATACACGCCCGAAATGAAATTTTCCTTCAACCCCGTAAGAGACTGCGTTCGAAGAGAGTGTATACATCCTAAGAATTGGATATGTATTTTGACCAACGAATTTGAATCGTTCATGTACAATGTACGAAGGATCAATGCACAATTTTGGGGGGAATCTTCGTCACATTATCGATACTTATAGGGCTTTTGTCTATGTATAATTTGGTACCTGCATAGGCATTTCTGTTTCAGGGCTGGTATGAGCCTACAATACGGCACAAGGCATTGCAGTTTTATACCAAGTTTACCAGCAGAAAGAAAATCCTAAGTGTACCTGATGGTGATTCCTTTTTCCAACTTTGATCAGTAAAACCACCAAAGATGTTGGTTCCACATTTCACCAAGGTCACTGTAGGTCCAACATCGTCACAATTTCTATGAAAATCCTCTGCCCCCCAACCGTCAAGAGAAGCTCGATAACAAAGTTGCCAACCAAACTTCTTATCTTCCATCCACTCTACAAGTGGCTTCACATGTTCAATGTTACCTTCCAAGATGGTTGATTTGTCACATAAGGATTCTACTGGGTCAACTGAAACGATATACATATTATACTGTAGTGTGACCTCCACGAAGTACGACTATTAGTTTACCTATTCAGTCGTAATGTCTTGGTTTAGATATTTCAGCATCACATCAATTTTTAGTTCATTTTGAAATGTTTGGGGTCATGTATGTGCCTTGAGAACATGAAAATGGCCTGTAATATATCAATTTCGTGATATTTGCACGAAAGTAACAAAAAGTTTTAGATAATTTATTCTCAATGACGTGAATGATACTTTTACCTCGCTGGTCAATTTTTCAATGATCATATTAGAATGCTGCCAACGGGCAAATATAATAGAAATACAACTACTCAACTACTACAACTACTCGACATGCAGTCGAGTTAGTAGAAAAATTGAACTAGTATTGAACTCAATCAAAGCTCTTGGATCAGATTCCTATCGTTGTCAAACTTATTCAAGTATTTTTGGCTAACTTGCAAGATTGGTTTTATTCAACTGAGTTCATAGCACCCAAATCACAAACTGTATGCAACCGACATCTGCGGAACTTCAACTTTTATATATGTAGCTAATCCATTTATATTGTTGAATTTATATTGTACTTTGCTATACTATAGCTGAGCATCGTTCTGATCTCGATGGGGGGTAAAGAAAAACGATATTGTTTAGTTATTTTAGAATGAAAGAATAAATTATTGATGAAGATAATCTCTTCAGAAATATATTTTACATTCAGTAAACCTACCTACTATTCCTGGGTCGTTCAGGTTAATATTGCCAACAATAGTTTGGGTTGATTTTGCCTGGTATTCAATGACGCCATTGTGAATTGGCTCTGCAATCTTTGGACAATGCGTTTCGATACATTTAGCGTTAACCTGGATCTCTGTACCAAGCAAAAGGACTTCTTCACTACTTGCTTTTTCGATAATATTCTTTGCAAAATCCAGCGAACCATTTACCTTCTCATAATAGGCTTTAATCTCGTTATGTTGTTTCACAAGTTTATGTTCCACCCCGCTGTGTATCCTTTCGACTTCCTGAAGCAAGACTGCTGTGTTGTGTTTAACTTTCTTGGTGAACTCTTGCAAGATTTCTTTTTCTTGTTCCAGGATCATATCTTTAGCCCTTTTGGTTTTTGCTTGCAGATTTTTAGTAGCATGATCTATTTTTCGTAAGGTTACTTTAACTTCGTTAGACTTCCTGTGTAAGTCAGCGGAAGTTGTCTTCAAGGCTTTCTTGTGCTGCTTAGCCACTGTATCGACAGGTTGATAGTCGTGGTTAGCCTTGGAATGGTTTAAGACAACGCAGTTTATACAAGCCAGCTCCTCGCAGGTATTGCAATAAAACACGAGAGGTTTAATTCCGTGTCCTTCCTTCTTACAACGTGGCTTTCCTCTTGCTTTGCCTTGATTCTCAGGTTTTGCTAATTCTGCCAACGTCATCACATCATGTTGTTTGAAGTCTGGCCAGTTGTTGTGCGCTGTCAAGCAGTTCTTGCAGAGATAACGTTCGCATTCAATACATCTGTGTGTGACTGATGCTTCAGCTACTTTGCAAGATTCACAATGTAGCTTCTGTGTTTGTTGTTGTATGACCGGCAGAATATCTAACAAGGCGTTGATGAAGTAATTTGGCGGAATTCGTTCAACGCTATCGCCTTCTTTGAGTTCAAACTTGGTTCGGCACATAGGACAGTCGAACGAATGCTGGTCTTTCTTTTTGGCTTTCTCTCGTTCAACTTCAATATATCTCGCGAGACATTTCTTACAGAACGAATGAAAGCAGGGAAGCGTCTTCGGTTCATCCAATGTTTCTGTACAAATGCAGCACGTCAATAGTTCTTCTATCCCGTTCGTAGCAGAACGTTCTGGCGCTGTAGCCATAGTTGTTAGTCTATATTACCTTGTGTAACTCTTATACGTGTATCACATCACACACAAGTCTGTGATCAAAATACACCTTCCTACGCATTAGTATTGTTAAAATACCACAAAATGTTTTTGACTGTGAATGAGCTTGGAAACCCCACTAAGAATTCATTATACGCCCGATATTTCATTGGTTGAAGAAACAAAATTAGGTAAATTAACTATACTTTTCAACATTAGCATTTTAAGAGTTTGAGTTTATAGACAAAGACTTATTTTAAAGTATTTCAATCTTATCAGTTCAGCGTGCTTATTATTAAATACCTCTTGTTGGAATAATCAATAATAATTTAAGGGCTTTTGTAAACTTCTCTTTATTAACGCAGTTGTACAAATGAGATGTTTCCATGCATAAACCATTCAAACATATTAGTCAAGCTGTAAGTGTTGCATGGGTGAAACAAGGCCAAAACATTCCAAATCATATATGATATGAATACACGGTTTAATTACAGCATATTTGAAGATATTATACACAGGAAAAGAGGTTTTAATACATTCGATTATATTTTTTTCATTTTGAATATCGACATGACGAAGGAACCCTACAAAATTGACCGCAAAACAACTCGATGACTATTAATTCTAAAACACTTTACACGTTGACTAAATAAATACAGTTTGCATGGAAAGGAATATGTTCGTGTCGAAACGTTTCCAAACACTTAAAGAAGATCAAAATTACCTTAATACTGAAATGCCTTTAGTTAGCACCGCTTGATAAAAACCCATAAACTAACTAGAAGTCAGACGGATAGCGTCTAATTGCAACGGACCAACAAGGCACAACACTGCATGGTCTTTTGGTTAACCGTCCTGAAACTCTTGCTTAATGTGCCAGCCCATTTGGAAAACGCTCTCTAATTATTATACCACGTATAAATATAGCCAGTTTTGACAAATGAAATGTTTCCATGCATAAACCATTCAAACATATTAGTCAAGCTGTAAGTGTTGCATGGGTGAAACAAGGCCAAAATATTCCAAATCATATGAATACACGGTTTAATTACAGTATATTTGAAGATATTATACACAGGAAAAGAGGTTTTAATACATTCGATTCGAATATTTTTTATTTTAAATATGGTATGATAAACGAACTCCACAAAATCGACCGCAAAACAACTCGACGACCACTTATTCTAAAACACCTTAATTAAACCTCGACTCACTTGTATGCTCGCGACGAATCGTATCTGTGGTGAAAATGCTTCACATGCATTCAACGTTAGTTCTTTAAATATAGAGCTATTTGGATTAATTGTTTTTTAGAATGAACTTTTACTCATGACTTCAGTGTTCTGTCAGCTTCGCAAGATTGAAAATTCCGCAAACCTATAAGTAAGGTAGAATGATAGTGATTAGATGATACTGATAAATATACCAGGTTTGTTAGGTGAAGCTTTCGATTTTTAAAACATTCACTATAGATCACATTAGATCAATTTACTGTTTTATTTCATCACAAGCACTGACCAACTATCTTTAGCTGTCGTTTTTTATCACTTACATAGCTCAAATTAGTTTAATTTAAAGCCTATCTAGCTAGTTTTAAGGCCGTTATTGTTCGCTTTGATTGCCAAGCATCGTGGGTTTACAAATAGTACATAAGAACGGTTTCTAAATGTCGTGTAAACTTGACATTTTTTCTGCGTTTTTGTTCTTTTGACACATGTGTACGAGCGGATAAGCAACGGGTGTCCAACTAAGGGCTCTCGTACGTCGGAACATTAAGAACTGCAAGCTCGTTCACATATATCAAAACAGAAAATTGGCACTAGAAATCGCAGCAAAAATTGCAGATGTAACCGGGCCGTAATATTTTTTCACCTTCGCTTAACTGCGGAAAACTTCAATTTCTGATGGTTTGAAATAATAGCTGCCCGCCAATAGAGCTCTGGTTTGAGGGGTTCCAGGTTTATATCCTGGCGGAGGTTGATATGTGTAACCAAGGTTGCTGTATGAATCTTGGTTTCTGTTGGCATTGGAGCTGATGAACAGATCATAACCATTACCAAAGCTGGCTCCCGAGAAAGGTTCACGGTAGATTGCTTGGTAACTTTGACCATTAATGATCGGACACTTCATTGGATGCAGCTTCTCTTTATTTTTTACGGAAAATAGAAATGACTGGTTTGAATGGCAATATCTCAGAGAAGCTGAAACAAAAAGAAAAATATTTACATTTTAGGTAAGGAAGATATCGTACATGAACAATACTGATTTAAATGACGTCTTTTGTCGCTCGTACCTATTTTATGCTCTCCGAAAACTGAAACTAATAAGAAATATTTTAATTTTGGGTGGAATAAGAGTTATGTACATTAATGACGTAATTATATTAAACACAGTTTGCCATCTGGAAAGGACACGTAACGTCGTTACTTAAATCCTAATTTAATCAAGTCTATGATGTAGGTAAGACGTGTTGAAAAGCTAGATATGGCAAACTTGGAGTGACATAGGAAAGAACATAAACCTTTATCACGTGACATCCGGTTAGATCTCAGAAATAGAATATATAGCGCGCGATTTGTTAATTGCCTTTATTATATTCATTTTGAAATCAATGGTGTTTCTTGCAATCTGATTGGTTAAAATAGTGTGATTAATTCCCAAATCACATCATTTTTTAGCCAATAAGATTGAAGCTCTGCACCACAATAACCAATCAGATTTAGTATTTCAGTGTAATTACTGTACAGGGGAAAATGGCATTATTTTGAATTTTTAGATGCCCCGCGAAATTTCTTGACAGAAATAGATGAAAATTACCCACATTTTACACTGTTTACGGTTCTTTCAGCCAATAAATAGTTTTGAATTTGTTTAATTTTTTGTATGATCTCAAAATTAATATAATAAAGTAGAAATTGCACTTCCTGTCGTGCAATTTTGGTGTGAAGTCAAACTTGTGATTACAAATCGCTCTTCCGCGATTTTGTAATCACGCATTTCATTTCACACCAAATTGCACTCCAAGTGTAAAAAATATTTTAAACCTTCAGGGGCGTAACTATTTGTTAAATAAGGATTTACACTAAGTTTTCAACACCTTCCTCGTCCAATGCAGGGACCCAAGTTGTGCTTCTGAACACACATTTTAGCTTACTGGCAGACAGAAAATATAGTGTAATGTGTAGCTATACTCATGAATAATCCCTGTGCCCGTGGTCTTCCCCAACTTTTGTCAGTAAAACCACCAAAAACGTTGGTTCCGCATTTCACCAAGGTCACTGTAGGTCCAACATCATCACATCTGTCATGAAAATTCCATCCTCTCCAACCATCACGTGAAGCTCGATAACAAAGTTGCCAACTAAACTTCTTATCTTCAACCCACTCCACAAGTCGCTTCGCATGTTCAATGTTGCCCTCCAAAATGGTTGAACTTTCAAACAAGAACTGCACAGCAGGGTAAACTAAAATGATACACATATTATAGTTAGGAGGGTTAGGGGACCCCCACAATTATCGATGCTATAGCTACGCCACTAATACAACTCATTTACTATGTCGGGAAACGTGTACAGATTGATAGATGGATTGATAGATACAATTTATTTAACCACGGTAGAATCTTCAGTATATAAAAATTAAATTTATTTACAGAACTGATTTACAAGATTGCCGTGTGGGAAACAATATTACAAAAAAAATGAGTAATAGTAATTTTTCATAGCTTTTCTAAACTGTGGATAAAGTGGAAGACTCGTATAATTTGTTCGAGGCTTTGGTAAATTTAATCTATATTGGAAATTTCGAAAATTATACCCCGTGTATCGCGAAGAAAAAAGAAATTGTAGATATGGAGGCACATTTTCTTTCAATATATTAAACATTAACTGTGCCTTAATTTTTTCACGTCGTATGTAGAGGTTATCTAAGTGCAAGCCATTTAGGAGAACACTAACACCGACATCATAACTTGATCTTGTGATAACTCGAACCGCTCAGTTTTGTAATTTCTGTAGTTTTTTCGCAAGGGTATCTCCTAATTGGTCCCATACCTAGCAGCAATAGTCAAAATGAGGTTGTATTAAAGCGAAGTAAAGCTGCACTGCAGTTTTGCAAGTTATGAATGGCCTTACGCGTTTCAAATCCCCAATAGCAGAAGAAACCTTTTTAGAAATGTTGTCAATATGCTCTGCCCACAATAGGTGGCTTTCAATATGCACACCTAAGGATTTCACGACATCAACCCTTTTTATTTCATGATCGTGTATCATTAGCATACTTGCAATAGCTATATCATTCTGAATGCTATTCAACTGTTGTGCAGACGTTTGCTCCGCACGTACTAAACCTTTCATCTATGACTGATATAAAGAACTGAGAAATAAAGTCATCTTCTTAACATCAACCACGATCGACCCTATTTATCATTAACTCCGTTTTCACTATATTCAAGTTGAGCTTATTGGCCATTAGCCAATTGTTTAGATTTTATAACTCGGAGTTAACAACGTTTTGTATTTCATCTATTGAATTGGAGGCGTAAGTCAGGCTTGTATCGTCAACAAACATTCTGGGTTTGGCATGTCTAAGCAATTTTGCAGGTCGTTGATATAGATTTGAGACTATATATTTAGAGTAGTGGCTTACCTTTCGCCAGGCGCTTAGGCCTGTTTTGCAAATGTACGCCAGTGGCGTCGCCAGCATCGATAAATGGGATGGACATATTCATATATTCATGTTCACAGACCGTTAAAACAATCAATTTGAAAAGAAATGAATAATGTAAAACACGAATATATGAATAAGTCCCCCCCCCATTTATCAAGCTGGCGACGCCAGCTTGTTTTAAAGTCATAACTTCTAGCCGAGTGCCCAGAAAACAGCTGTAGCTACATGTAAACGATACATTGCGTCCAACGATAATTCTACTGAGTCGACCTGTTAGGCTTATTGGTTTTTTACATTAAATAAAATGCTTGCTTTCAAGGCAGTTCTGATATTATTTGAATTTTTAAAGTCTGCAATAGAAAATAAAAAAGCATGCGTGCTCACTAATAACTCCCAAAGTAAAAATATGTTATAATTGACGGAATATAAAATACACAAGTTTAGAACGAAACTCCTTTTCTCCTACAGTACATGAACAATGCAAAGTATATAATTACAATAATAAAACCTACAACTCTAGTATTTACACCTACCAATTTTTCCTAAGTCGTTGAACTTCAACTTCTTCATGATGTCTTCGGTTGGCTTTGCCTTTGGATGATATTCAAGAAGGCCGTCGTGGATTGGCTCCATAAATTTTGGTCGTTCATTCTCAATGCTCCCAGCTTTTTCAGCAACGAGTTCCTTAGCGTTTCCACGGGAAAGAATATTCCTGGTAAAATCCAACGAGCGTTTTGCCTTTTCAAAATATTCTTTCACGTCGGCTTGTTGTTTCAACAGCAGCGTGTTAGCTTCTCTGTATTTTATCCCAACTTGGTCAAGCAAGACTGTCGTTTCTTTCTCGAGTTTCTTGGTGAACGCATTCAGCATATTCTGTTGTTGCTGCTTAATGGCGTCTCTTGCTTTTGTTGCGTTGTTCTTTAGAATCGCCTTTGCCTCATCAATCTTGTAATAACTCTCAGCTGCATCGTTTTTTTCCTTCTCAAATATACCGGAAGATTTATTTAACGCCTCTTTGCGTTGTCTAACAACGTCTATCAAAGGGAACGACTTATGTTCAGGCCGAGGATGATCAAGTTCCATGCAGTATCGACATACAAGGACTTTGCATGTTTCACAATAATACTTTAGAACTTTCTCGTGCCTCTCACAACGAAGATTGCTGTTTGCAGGATCTGGTGCGTTAGCCATTGTACTTCAGGCTTTCGACGACGAACCCTAACCACACAACTTGTATTTATCGTGGAGTTATCAACTTTTTCATACAATGTCAGCTGTATAATTAAAAAATGTCTTTGTAATGCAAACACTCCTTAATATTTGCTATCAGTCTCATTGGCTAATCCATGAAATTTCACATGCTGTTGTTCCATTAAATTTTAGACTCCAGGGAAACGTATAATTGCTTTGATATATATGCTCTATCCTCTGATTAAATCATTCGATTCTTTGAAAGCTTAAAATTTGCCGTTCCACTTTAAACGATTCTTCTAAAATATTGACTTTTCACTGATTTCTTACTTTCCCAATCGAGTATCGACGTATTTAAATGAAGGAAACGGGTTTAAATGTAACTCTATAACATGTTATCTACTGAATATAACAGAAACAAAGAGTAGAAATTAATAAATTATTTTTACCTTTCCAATGAACAACACTCGTAATCAGAGATGCAAATTATGATGTTAAATATGCAGAAGTATCATATAATGAAGTAAAAGATACTTTTTATGCACAAAATATCAAGTTCACACTATTCATTAATATACTGATACTTATATAGCAATACAAATTCGTGGGGGGAAAATTACCATTTTCAAATGCCTTACTTGTAAATAATGTTTTTCTCTAAACAGTATAAAATTATAGTTAGTATAATACAAAGATACTATTATACAAAGACATGGGTACAAAACATGATTGTACATCATTAAATACAATTAATAGAAAGAGAAGACTGAGTGTAAGATATAATTATATAACTAAATACATTATAATTAACGACTAGAGTAAATAGAGAGTAAGAGTTAAAACTTCTCAGAACTTGTTCTGTATAAAATTTACTGTTTTGTTTCATCACCAGCACTGACCAACTATCTTCATAGCTCAAATTAGTTTAATCTAGTTATAGAAGGCCGTTATAGTTCGCTTTTATTGCCAAGCATGAGTTTACAAATAGACAAAACAGAAGTACGGTTTCTAAAGGCCGGTGTACACTTGCCATTTTTCTGCGATTTTCTTCTTTTGACAGGTATGAACGAGTGGATAAGCAACGGGTGTCCAACTAAGGCTCTGGTATGTCAGAACATTCAGGACTGCAAGCTCGTCCACATCAAAACAGAATGATCGTAGCAAAAAATGCAGATGTAAACAGAGCCGCAATATTTTTTTCACCTTTGTTTAACTGCGGAAGACTTCAATTTCTGATGGAGTAAAATAGTAGCTGCCCGCCAACAAAGCCCTGGTTTCTGGGGCTCCAGATTTGAATCCCGAAGGAGCTTGAAATGTGTAACCAAGGTTGCTGTATGAATATTTGTTGTTTTTGGCATCAGAGCTGATGAACAGATCATAACCATTACCAAAGATGGCTCCTGATGAAGGAACACGGTAGATTGCTGCGTAATTTAGACCATTAATGATCGGACACTTCATTGGACGCATATTCTCTTTATTTTTTACGGAAAACAGAAATGACTGGTTGGAAAGGTTATACCTAGGCAAAACTGAAACAAAAAGAAAAATATTTACATTTGTAAGATAGGAGAATCGATCCATATTTTGCGTCTCAGACGGAAATCCGTCTTCTAATATAAATTCGGCTACTGAATGATAGTACATTTCGACTTGTCAGCTACCCATATCTCCCAAAATGTTCTTTCAGAATTGAATTTATTAGCTTCTGAAAATGGAAATTTCGCGTCGCGTTAGCAAATCGCGTCTGTGTGTACATGAACATAATTTAAATGTCTTTTGTCCGTGGTCGTACATATTTAAGAATAAGAAAAATTTTTATTTTAGGTAAATTTTCAATGAGATTTATGTACATTAATAACGTAATTATATTAAACACAGGTTTGCCATCTGGAAAGGAACTTTTTTGTCATCGAAATTGATGATATTTGGGACGTAACGTCGTTAGTAAAATCCTAATTGAATCGAGTCTATGATGTATGACGTGTTGAAAAGATAGATTAAGCAAACTTTCAATGACATTGGAAACAACTCAGACCTTTATCACGTGACATCCGGTTAGATCTCGAAAATATGCATGGGGACCGGGTGAAACAGTAGCTGCCGCATGAACTTAAGCTAATGGAATCCATAAATTCCAAGACTAGTTATGCTTCTGAACGCACATATTAGCTTTCTTGCAAACAGAAAATATAGTGTAAAGTGTACCTATACTCATGAATGAATACGATGTTCCCCAGCTTCTGTCAGTAAAACCGCCAAAGACGTTGGTTCCACATTTTACCAAGGTCACAGTAGGTCCAACATCGTCACACTTTTTATGAAAATCTTGGGCTTTCCAACCATCACGCGAAGCTCGATAACAAAGTTGCCAACTAAATTTCTTATCTTCAACCCACTCCACAAGTTGCTTTGCATGTTCAATGTTGTCCTCCAAGATGGTTGAACTTTCAAACAAGGACTGCACAGCAGGGTAAACTAAAATGATACACGTATTATTATAGTTTAACATGAACAAGTGTTAGTTACTGATATTTTTCAATGGTAACAGTACAATATATAGTTTTATTGATAAAATTATATGTTCAGATATTTTCATTTTGGTCAAGTTGTAATAGAGTACTGTCTGAGTACATAGTTTGAAAACTAGATAGAAAGACAATGCAACTCATTACTATGTCAGAGAACGTGTATACATTATTTTGAGAGTATACATATAGAGAAGTGGCCAACCTTTCACCAGGCGCCTAAGCCTATTTTGCACTAGTACCAACCGTATCGTAGCCAAACGTAGCGTGTTTTAAAATAATTTCTAGCCGAGTGCCAATAAAACAACTGTAGCTGCATGTATACGTTACGCTGCTTCCAACTATAACTCTAGTTAATGGTATATGCTAAGTTAATTTAAATAGTTACTCCGCTATCATATCGACATCCACTTCTTACGCTTTTAACATACATGATAAAATGCTGCTTGCATGCAAGCTCACTAGACACTACTAACTCATACAGTAGAAATATATGTTGTAATTGAGGGAATATAAAATTTGCGGGTTTAAAACGAAACTCCTCTTCTCCTAGAGTATCTGAAAATAATCGCAACGCTATATATAATTACAATAATAAAACCTAGTATTTACACCTACCAATTTTTCCTAAGTCGTTGAACTTCAAATTCACCATGATATCTTCGGTTGGCTTTGCCTTTGGATGATATTCAAGAAGGCCATCGTGGACTGGCTCCATAAATTCTGGTCGTTCAGTCTTAATGCTTCCAGCTTTTTCCTCAAGCTCGTCTTTTAGAGCAAGGAGTACCTCAGCGTTTCCACTGGAAAGAATATTCCTGGTAAAATCCAACGAGCTTTTTGCCTTTTCAAAATATTCTTTCACGTCGGCTTGTTGTTTCGACAGCAGCGTGTTAGCTTCTCTGTATTTTATCTCAACTTGGTCAAGCAAGGATGTCGTTTCTTTCTCGAGTTTCTTGGTGAACGCATTCAGGATACTCTGTTGTTGCTGCATAATGGCGTCTCTTGCTTTTGTTGCGTTGTTCTTTAGAACTGTCTTTGCCTCTTCAATCTTACGATTACTCTCGGCTGCATCGTTTTTTTCCTTCTCCAATATACCGGAAGATATATTTAACGCTTCTTTGCGTTGTCTCACAACGTCTGTCAAAGGGAACCACGTATGTTCAGGCCGAGGATGATTAATATCCACGCAGTATCGACAAACAAGGACTTTGCATGTTTCGCAGTAGAATTTGAGTATTTTGTCGTGTTTTTCACAACGAGGATTGCTGTTTGCAGGATCTGGTGCGTTATCCATTGTACTTGAAGCTTTCGATGAAACCTAATACGACAGCTTGTTGTTTATCGTGGATTTATCAGCTCATACATACAATGCCTGTTTAACTCAAAAATATCTTTGTAATGCAACACTCGTTCGATTCTTTAATAGTTTAAAATATGCCGTTCAACTTTAATCGATTTTACTGTTGCAAATGCGTAAGTATATAATTTCTGATCAGCGCTGCTAATCTTTCTCAGAAGGGACCTGTTCAAATATAAACAATTAAACCCATCCTTTTATAAAACATACTTCACTTTGACCTTCTAACCTCGTGAAATATTAGCTTTTCATTCATTTGCTATACTTTCGCGATCGAGTATTGACGTCGTATTTAAACGGAGGAGACGTGTTTTTACTGCAACTCGAACATATATTGTCTACTGAATATTACAGAAACAAAGAGTATTTACTTAAATGCAAAACAATATATGTACTGGTGTAAAACATTGAAAAAAATTGTTTCTATATACCTTTCAAATGAACTGAACTCCGTACTCGTAATCAACGAGGCACCAGGGACACATTACCCCCCGAGATAAACTTTGTCTCGCCTCCAGGCTTTATATACTAGCGCGTGCGCAATATAGTGAATATAGAGCATTTCTTAAGAAGGCACTATCACTTGGGCGTTGCACCTGTCGCAGTTACGATAGTCACACCACGTCCATGGTTGAAAGGATTTGGAAACTCAACTGATCTGTACAATAACTAGTAAAAAAGCTGTTATATGTAGCTATATAACAGAAATGAAATACACAAATCGGTAGTTAAACTAGACTTGGCGTTTGCTGTAAACGTCGTGTTTAAGGTTTCTATTAATTTTACCTTCGTTTACCACCTGCATGCAAGTTCACAAAGATATTGCTCGTTTCAAAAAGACCTTCGGTGGTAGACGTAAGTAAAGTTTATATACGGTTGCACTATTCGAGTGCTTTTCTGTTATTTGGCGTCACTGATTTATAAGCGTTTTAGTCGCTTTCATTGTTGTTTCCTTTCATTTGAAGTTTAAGTTTAATTTATCCATTATACTAATTATGTCAAATTGCTACAAGCTTTCTTCAGACGCGCCTCAAGTGCCATGCACGTATTTGTCGGCAAAACATCGCCACGGTCTGATAGAAAGGATTTGGAAACTTAATCTGTATAATAATAGGTATAGGCTAAAGCTGTTAACAGAAGTGAAAAAAAAACAAATCGGTCGTTCAAGATTAGACGTTTTCCGTAAACGTCATTCCTATAAGGTCAGTAATAATGTCGTTTAACTGTGAAAAACTTCAATTTCTGATGGGGTGAGTTTGCAGCTGCCAGCCAACAGAGCTCTGGTTTCTGGGGCTCCAGGTTTATACCCTGGAGGAGGTTGATATGTGTCACCAAGTTTGCTGTATGAAGATTGGCATATATTGGCATGCGTGCTGATAAACAGATCATTACCACCACCAAAGACTGCTCCCCAGTCACGATGACAGCTGATTGCTCTGTCATTTTCACCATCCTTGATCGGACACTTGAATGGCCGCATATTCTCTTTATTTTTCAAAGAAAACAGAAATGACGAGTAGGAATGCTTATACTCCCCGTAAGCTGAATCTAAACAAGAAATATTTTCATTTTGGGTGAATAAGTTATACAAGAATAAGTCGAACATTAACAATGACGTAATTTTATTAAACACATGGTTACTATCAGAATAGAAAATGTATGGATAAAATGTAGGTCAGATAATGTCCTGAGAAAAATTCTTAATTATAAATAGAACTATTATACGTCAACTACATCCGCGACCAGGGGCCGGTTGTTCGAAAGGCGTTTAGCTTAAACGGTGGATAAGTTCAAAATAGAAAAAAAACAAAATTATCTATTTATTGAACAACTGAGCTGAAATATTTCGATGTAAATAGTTCAATTTTCAATGAAAGTACATATTAAATTCATAAGATGCAGGTCAGTCATTCACAAGATGTATGGGAATATTTTTAAACTTTGGCTTATTCACCGTTTAAGCTAAACGCCTTTCGAACAACCGGCCCCATGTGTGCGTATTTTCCGTATGTCACGTTTAGGAGTGACACGACGGATTTTAAAATTAAAAGTTATTATTTTGAAAAAAAAAATAGTTTTTGGTTTGTATTTAAAGAAATTAACGTTGGAAATACAAATGAAAACACTTAAAAGACATCTTTAGATAAATAAAAATTTACTCTACTTTAATAATTACGCTATAATTTGAAAGTGTTCGCTTTAAAATGGTCTTTCGCGGCTCATTGATTTGTCGTCTTTGTTTTTTCACTATGAATTTAGTCCATTATTAGTCAGAACATTAAGCGGTTGCGAGTGGATTTGGATTTTTGTCGGACTGTGGTTCGTATATTCCGCATCTTTTTGAGTATCGCGGATGTCTCATACAGTTCAATCATACTTAACATCAGTTAATTCCCAAACCAGATTATCGCGTCTAGTTTCGGCACTGATGGCACCCTCCCACAAAATTCGTCATATTCGTAGCGTTTTGGAGACAAGAATTATCTTGTATCTTGACCCTCAGCGCCACCTGATTCGTTATTACTGGACTTCATCCCGCTGCATTTCTGCTTTTCACACGCACCTACGCCTTTGTCCCCCCCCCCTGCCCATCCTTTTGCCATTTGCACAACTTCGTCAATCACATCCCCCTCGGCGGATGAATATTGAATGACATTACCGTTTATTAATGAGACGATGAGGGAATAAAGTGTACTCACGCGTTGTCTGTTTCCAACTTTGATCAGTAAAACCACCAAAGATGTTGGTTCCATATTTCACCAAAGTCACCGTAGGTCCAACATCGTCACACTTTCTATGAAAATCATCTGCCCCCCAACCATCACGTGAAGCTCGATAACAAAGTTGCCAATTAAACTTCTTGTCTTCCATCCACTCTACAAGTTGCTTCGCATGTTCAATGTTTCGCTCTAAGATGGTTGATCTTGCTACTATATCAAGGGCAACTGAAAAAATATAAATACATAGTTTGACACTTTTCACAACAAAGTTTAATTATATTTTTATGGTAGTAACAGCATTAAAAGTTGTAGTTCTATTGATAAAGTTGGGTTCAGTTTTTTTCAATTGGTAAAGTAACACTAGAATACATGTTTTGAAGAAAACAACATTACAACTTATTAACTTATGTTGGAGAAGGTGCAAAAATGTCCCTATCTTGTCACCTATCTATTGTATTTTGAACTAATGATTATGTTTGAACTATCAGGTTTTTAAACACTGTCGAGGATTGTTCATTTAGAAACGTAGCCACTAGCCAACCTAATTAGTGTTAGATATTGAGCGACCACATCGTAATATAAAGAGTATAGAAGCTCAATACGGACGTCACTTCCACTTTAAACTTTCCATTATCCACTGTTTTGTAAACTCCTTTCGAACAACCGGCCCTTGTTTTGAGTGATTTTTTATATATTTTTGCTATATCTTTTATTTACGATAATTAAAAGGGCAATATGAGGCGGCGGGGGGGGGGGAGATTAAGCCTGAAAAAAAGCGACGCTTTAAAGTCAGTAAACTTTATGACAGAACCAATTGGTATTATTTTGTGTTAACTCTATAAATTTATTGGGCGAGCGATCTATTATCAAATATCATTGAGCGTTATAACGTACTTATACGCGGCACACCTTAACTAACATTGCCGAAATAATTCATTAGCTACTATATACTTACTATTCCTTCTTAAAGGACCACAGGCTGTAAAAAATAAAAACTGTTTAAGTTTTTTTTGACAATAACGTTCCTGTCAACGTGCACTGTTGGTACCGTTCGCAACGTTGTGTAAAGTACGTGAAGATCATTTAAATGTCTCAATTGTCAATCTTACACAAAATACTACCTAACTAAGAAATTGCTTGATTGACTTGACGAGCCTGCACTATATCTGAAAATTTAATATTATTGCTATCAGTGCACTGTTTCTTTCTCTTCTTCGCATGTTTTCTATTTCTATTTAAATAGAACAGATTTCGGAATAGTGTTTACATTCAACCTACCAAAATTTCCTAGTTTGTCAAGTTTCATTTTACCAACAATAGTTTCGGATGATTTTGCTTGGTATTTCATGCTCCCATCATGAATTGGTTCCATCATCTCTGGACCTTCTTTCTTGATGTCTTTGGCGTTAATCTGGATTTCTGGGCTAAGCAGGACGATTTCATCATTGCTGGCTTTTTCGATAATATTCTTTGCAAAATCGAGTGAACCGTTCACCTTCTCAAGATAGTTTTTCATCTCGTTACGTTGTTGTCCCAGTTGTTGATTCACTATGTTGTTCGCTCTGTCGACTTCCCCAAGCAAGATTTCTGTGTTGTGTTTGACTTTTTGGGTTAACTCTTCCAAGATAACCTTTTCTTGTTGCAGAATTGTATCTTTAGCTCTTTTGGTGTTGACTTGTAGATTTTTAGTGGCCTGCTTTATTTTCTGTAAGGCTGCTTTAACTTCGTTAGACACTCTCTGTAAGTTAGCGGAAGTTATTTCCAAAGCTTTCTTGTGGTGCTTAGCCACTGTCTCGATAGGATGATAGTCGTGGTTAGCTTTGGAATGGTTTAAGACAACGCAATTAATACAAGCCAGTTCCTGGCAGGTATTGCAATAAAACACGAGAGGTTTATTTCCGTGTCCTTCCTTCTCACAACGTGGCTTTCCTCTTGCTTTGCCTTGATTCTCAGGTTTTGATAATTCTGCCAAGGTCATCACGTCATGTTGTTTGAAATCTGGCCAGTTGTTGTGCGTTGTCAAGCAGTTCTTGCAGAGATAACGTTCGCATTCAATACATCTGTGTGTGACTGATGCTTCGGCTACTTTGCAAGATTCACAATGAATCTTTCGTGTTTGTTGTTGTATGACTGGCAGTATTTCTAACAAGTTGTTGATGAAATAATTTGGCGGAATTCGTTCCACGCTATCGCCTTGCCTGAGTTGAAATTTTGTTCTGCACGTAGGACAGTCGAACGAATGCTGCACCCTTCGTTCCTTTTGGGCTTTTTCGCGTTGAACTTCAATATATTTCGCGAGACATTTCCTACAAAACGAATGAAAGCAGGGAAGCGACTTTGGTTTATCCAAAGTTCCCTTACAAATACAGCACGACAGAAGTTCTTCTATTTGTTTGGCAGGAGCAGGATCTGGCAATGTAGCCATACCTGGTCAGTGTTGCCTGGCGGAGTGATTTTAGACTCTCACATACAACACTGTGATCAAAATCAAAGTTATTTCGCAATGTCGCGTTACTGTTTAAATACCAAGAATTGCCTTTCTCAGTAAGCTGATCAAAAGGCCTGCATCATAATACGCATGTTGTTCTCATTGGTTGAATTCAGAAAATAAATTAAGGTTACTTAGCAACATTTTATTTTAGCATTTCAAAGAAAAAATGTCTCCTTTTAGTTAAGATAAACACACCTGCTTCAATATGATCAGTTTAGTACGCTGATCAGTAGTATGGCTTCGTATTTAAATTCTCTCAGAGGATTCTCTTCTGTACCAGCGATGTTGCAGAGACGAGATGTTTCTACAAACCATCTAACCAAATTACAGAACTTGTACATTATAAACAAGGAGCAGCGTGGCAGCGTCTTCAAACAACTTAGCTTCAAACAACTGAGCATCAAATTATACTACATTTGATGCTAACTTGTATATTATATCATGAATTAAACCGCAGTTTTCAATTTAATTTTTTAGTCTATCCGAGTGAAATTAGGCTTAACCAAAACATTCCAGCGGCAATTTCATTGAAAATACTAAGAAATTCTATCGGTTCCTCGTATCGATCTAAGAAATACCTAATTAACATCTCAAGAGATCCCCGTCAGTTCAGACAAAGACAAGTATCATAATATTTTGATAGTTTTGTATTATGCATGCTGTTCATGCATGCTTTGGCTTAGCGATCACCAAATATAGAATATCGTTTGATATTCTATATTTTACTGAGTGATTGCAGCAGAAATTCTGTATATATATCCAGACTTGGTAAACAAAAGAGACACCTTCTGGAGACTGTCGAGGTCTCGATTTTCAAATTATTTGTTTCGGCAACATACTTACGGCAGACAATCATTTAAGATGATACAAATTTAGGGGAAAACCATTAAAATAATTTACGTGAAGAACGACGCTACCCAAAAAAGAAGACTTTTAGAACAGTAATATCTTCGTTTCAGAAATGGTCTCAACATACAAATTATGCTTTGTACATTGTGGCCAGCAACTCAAAACGTTATCACGAGTTTGATACGTGTTTAAATATATTTTATAACTGGTGTAAAAGCTGTTGCAATTGAGGTTAACAATTAACATGGATCCTAAGGTGTCTAATATTAATTTTTTTATTAATTCTAACTGCAGAAAACTTTAATTTCCGATATGGTGTATTTGTAGCTGCCCGCCAACAAAGCATTGATTGGTTTGGAGGGCTCCAGGTTCTGTTGATATGTGTTGCCAAGGTCGCTGGATGAATTTTAATTTACTGATGGTTTATACACTTCCCTCAAACTGAAAAAAAGAAATATTTTCGTTTTGGGTAAAAATATACAAAACAATAACGTAATTTATCAATCACAGTGTTGACATCAGAGAAGAAAATGTAGGTAAAAATTTCACGTCAAGACTCTACGAGTATAATTCTAACTTTTAATCCTAAACCTGAACCTAACCCTTCCCAACTACTTACACTAAAGGATTAGAATCAAGGATTATATTCATGGATTCTGGACATGAAATTATTACCAAAATGTAAGCGCTTTGTCATCGAAATTGATAGTGTTTAGGAGAAACCGTCCTGAGAAAAAACCTTGAAGACTTGTTGAAAGGATAGATACATTTAGCACTTACCTTACACTACGAAAAACGTTTGAAACATTTTAGCTAAAGCTGTTAAATTTTTTTAAATTGCATTTTTACTGGCAAAAATTCTATTTTTTTTTATTAAAAATGTGCTCGGAGCTTACCCGAAGGGAATCAGGTGTAAACGCTTACTAGCGCATGCGTAGTAAAAAAGTGGGGACGCGTGGAGCCGCGAGTCGACCCTCTGTCCATATCTCATCTGTGCTCAGTATTTACAAATCAGGCATTCGGGCTGAATTCAGACATTCGAGTATAATTCTGTTTGGATATAGCTTTTTGGAATAATACTAACACTGCACTTGAAACCAACCTAGTTTCCAAGACATTACTTGAAAATAGAAAATCACTGTGTATACAGTAATATACTATATACTATATGAAGGTAAATCAATTATGATTTTGAAAATATGATAATATGATAGGGTCTTAATTTCGAGTGAAAATATACACACTTCAAATTCAAGCCAGGAACAGTTGAGGAGAACTTGCTTTCTTGGCCGTTGATCTCAATATACTAGAATCACGCGAATTTCTTCCCCCGAATTGCCTGCATGTGTACTAGAGTAACAAGACTGCATATAATCATGGTGTCAGATTTGCTGTAAATAGTTAGCAACCGCCATTTGCAGCTTTTATTCTGTCGGTGTTTTGGCCTTTTGTTCTCCTTTCAATACAAAGGAGAAAATGCATGCGATTTGATTCTATTGTGTTTATTCTGCCATGGGATCTGGAAGGTGCTCAGCTATTTAAATTATGATAATAAGGCAAATTACAACACAGTCTCCCTTCTTAATCCCCTCTGTACTGTACAGACTGCTTGCCATGCAGTTGTAAGGACTTTAATGTCGTTTATCTCATCAAAACTAGAAGTTCTATCGATGGCTTTGCGAAGTTTGTTCACTGATGTTGTTGGAAGAGGCTTGTCACTAGGCTAGTTGAAACAAAAGCTGAAAAAGCGGTGTATTCGTGGGTTTACAAAGAGCCAGAAATGATGTTATTCTTACCCTTTTGCCTGTCCGTTGAAAGAAGCCAATGTGAGTACCTTTATAATGAAAATAAAGTTTGACGATTGGACCTTTTATACTTTGCAAGTACACAACGATATTGCTCATATTAAAGAGAACTTCGGTTGGAGACGAAGTGTCTGTGCACGAAACGTGAAAGTTTTTACGGTTGCATTCTTTGCGTACTTTACTATAGTTTGACGCCACTGCATGACTTACAACCGATTAACCTTTTAATCGCTTTCATTGATTTTCTCAATCATTTGAAGTTTTAAGTTCAAACATGGCTCAATTTTGAAAGTTACTCTTAATTTGTTATCATTTTTGAAAGCATACGATGAATGAACAATACGCTGGCGTGTGGTTTGAGCGTGTTGTGAACTTGTATGTACACTAAACGAGATATTGTTTGTTTTAAGAAGAGAATTTCTGCAGTATATGAAGGTTCTTTGCTCGAGTACTTTACTGTAGTTTGACATTATAGTGACTCGCACGTTTTTGATGAATCGACCAGGCGTATACAAAATATGGGTTGCTGGTTTATAATATATAATTATAAAGGTATCAAATATTGATGACTTTCGATAGTGAGTGAGTGTTTTACAAATCACTGACAGCGAATTGTCGATTTTAAATGTGGAAGATTTTAAAGGCGGTAGAATACACACATAATGCAGGAAACTGACATGCACTTGCGCCATGTTTTGATATATCAGTATAATTGCTGAAATAGCTGTTATAATGGAGGTGTTAAAACATTCGTAAATAAAGGCTTGACGTTTGCTGTAAACGTCATTCTTAAGCTCTATACTAATTTTCCTTTTCCAAAAACTCCCAGTTTTCAAATAGTATTTTTTTACAACTTTTTGCAAAGGCCATGCCCCAAAAACTACCAGTGTTTTTCTACTTCAGGGGAGAAGAGAAAGGCGTACTGTTCGCGACTTATTTAGGTCGCGGCTTATATTTTTTACTGAGCCGGTATGAATCGCCCTAATTCTTGCATTAGACGCGCTTCAAGTACCCCGTGTTCGTCGGTAAAACGCAGGTTTTGCACCCCCACCCACTTAAGATAGTCACACTACGCCCCTGGTTGAAAGGATTTGGAAACTTGTTTTGTATTATGACTGGTAAAAAGCTTTTATAACAGAAATGAAAAACAACAAATCACTTATTAAAGGTTTGAAATTTGCCGTAAACGTCATTATAAAGGTGTCTATTATATTCACCTTCGTTTTAACTGTGAAAAACTTCAATTTCTGATGGGGTGAAGTCGATGCTGCCAGCTAACAGAGCTTTGGTTTGAGGGGCTCCGGGTTCATATCCTGGAGGAGGTTGATATGTGTAACCAAGGTTGCTAAATGAATTTTGGTTTCTGTTGGCATTGGAGCCGATGACCAGATCACTACCACCAAAGGCTGCTCCCCAGAGAAGCGAACAGCGGATTGCTTTGTCATTTTGACCATCCTTGATCGGATACTTAAATGGCCGCATATTCTCTTTATTTTTCAAGGAAAACAGAAATGACGAGTTGGAACGTTTATACTGCACAACTAAAAATAAAATATTTTGATAAAATGTAGGTCACATAACGTCCCGAAAAAACGTGCCTAAAAAGAGTCAGATGTAGGTAACATATATGTTGACAGGATACATTTTATTAGCAAACTCGGAGAGATATGCATTTGAAAGAACTCAAAACTTTAGGTTAAAACCTCTCAAAATTGCTGTTTCCCGTCAAAGAAATACAAAAAATAATAAAGGGGGTTGGTGACAATTGCTTCTGCACGCGCATCGGTTATGCTCGTATATAAAAAATGAGTAGTCTACTTGTTTTAAAATTGCTCTAATTTCGCCTGCTTCGTATATCTTTGAACATAAACTCTCTTTCTCATATTCATTAAGAAGAATAGCGAACTAAAAGCGTGTCAAATATTCTGAAAATTCTTGATATTTTGGCAAATATACCAATTCAAAATGTAAACAAGTTCTAAACGAGTTCTTCTACCCTGGCGAAACTAGTGATTGAAATTCATTTTTTAGCTAAAAAAGTTTATCGCAAGTGGAATGTAGCGACAGACGAGATGTGATATGAGAACAAGAAACTGTCACATATTTTTTAACTGAAATAGCATACGCACTGAAACGTATTAATTCCCTTCCTTGGTCGGTACGACCGCGATCTGTTCAGATCAAAATATAGCCATCATCCCCCTGTATTTCTTCGTTTCATACGCACCTACGCCTTTGTCCCCCCTGCAAATATTTTTGCATCCGGTCGCCATTTCCACAACTTCTTCAACCACATGCTCCCCGCCTAATGCGTGGATAAATATTGAACGACATCGCCATTTTCTCTTGAGACAATCAGGAAATAAAGTATAAAATACATATACTCACATGCTTTATTATTCCAACTTTGATCAGTAAAACCACCAAAGATGTTGGTTCCACATTTCACCAGGGTCACTGTAGGTCCAACATCATCACACTTTGCATGAAACTCGCTTGCGCCCCAACCATCACGTGAAGCTCGATAACAAAGTTGCCAACTAAACTTCTTATCTTCCATCCACTCTACAAGTTGCTTCGCATGTTCAATGTTTCCCTCCAAGATGGTTGATCTCTCAGATAAGGACCGCTGCACAGTGTCAACTGAAATGATATTCATTTGATGAAACTTCTTAAGAACAAGGTTTAGTTATATTTTTTCGGTAGTACCAGTACAAGATTCAGTTGTATTCATAGGAATAGGTTCAGTTATTTTCAAATATTTCGAAATAGATCTAGTACATGGTCTGAAAACAATAGACATTGTATTTTGAACAAGGAACCAAAAATTAGTGATGTTTGAATTGGGAGCTAGTCTAAACTATATCTTTTAGTTAGTCAGATTGTCTAAGAATACAATAAATACGTCTCTATACATCATAGGCTTAAATTATACATGGGGGTTCAGGAGCTGGATTCCTACAAGAAATCCCACTGGCTGGTTTGCCTACGTAGATATTTTGGAACTTAAATTTTTTGTCATACTCATACGGTATAAATCCAAAGATATAATATTGGTATGTTACGCCCAGCCGTTTCAAAGAGATTGAGAAAAACTAAAACATCAGTTCTCAAGACAAGAATTATGGAGATTAACCTCTTGTTTTCTTTAAAGCGCCAGAAACTATATAAAGGAAGAGCGAAAATCTGTTTCAAAATAAAAAAAAGGCTTGAATGAATATTTGTGAAATTTACATTTGTTAGATTGAGATCAGCATCGACTTGTTGCGCTTTTCACAGTAAATGAAATACTTTCTTTCAATGCTTATATTTTTTGAATTTCAAAAATACAGGGTTAAAAGCGAAACTCTCCTTGTGTACCTAAAAATAATCGCAGCCCTGTAATTATATTAATATAATAATCATGAAACTCTAATATTTACACCTACCAAATTTTCCTAAGTCGTTTAACTTCAAATTCTCCATGATGTCTTTGGTTGGTTTTGGATGATATTCAAGAAGGCCGTCGTGGACTGGCTCCATATTTTCTGGCCGTTCATTCTCAATGCTCCCAGCTTTTTCCTCAATCTCGTGTTTAAGAGCAAGGAGTACCTCGTCGCTTCCACTGGAGAGAATATTGCTGGTAAAATCCAACGAGCTTTTTGCCTTTTGGAAATAAGCTTTCACGTTACCCTGTTGTTTCAACAAGGGCTTGTTGGCTTCTCTTTACTTTATCTCAACTTGGTCAAGCAAGGCTGTCGTTTCTTTCTCGAGTTTCTTGGTAAACGCATTCAGAATATCCTGTTGTTGCTGCTTAATGGCGTCTCTTGCTTTTGTTGCGTTGTTCTTCAGGATCGCCATTACCTCCTTAATCCTACGATTACTCTCGGCTGCATCATTTTTTTGCTTCTCGAATATATCGGAAGATGCTTTCAAAGCTTCCTTGTGCTGTACAACAACGTCTGTCAAATGGAACCACGTATGTTCAGGCCGAGTGTGATTAACATCCACGCAGTATCGACAAACAAGGACTTTGCATGTTTCGCAGTAGAATTTGAGTATTTTGTCGTGTTTCTCGCAACGAGGTTTGCCCTTTACCTTCGCTCGGTTTTCAGGCTTCGCTAATTCTTCCAACGTAAACACGACATGATCCTCAAAGTCTGTCCAGTTGTTGTGGGTTTCCAGACACTTTCCACACAGAAATTTCTCACACGATATGCATCTGCTGGCTGCAGGAGCGTTCGCTTTACACGACTGGCATTTTACATGATGGGCTTGTTGCTGTATGTTGAGCAATTCCAACAGGTTGTTAATAAAGTGGTTTGCTGGTATTTTCTCCCCAATATTTTCACCTTCTTTGACTGAAAACTCCGTGCGGCATAATGGACATTCGAAGATTTCTGGTACTTTCGCTTTAGCTTCAACTGCCTTCTCGCGATGAGCGGCGACATAATTCTCCAAGCAGTGTTTACAAAACAAATGATAGCATGACAATGTCCGTGGCTGAGTTAATGTCTCCATACAAACAGAACACTCTAACAGAGTTTCCATTTGCTTCACAGGAGCAGGATCTGGTGCAGTATCCATACTGCTTTAGTTTTATTCAACGAACGTCTTTCGTTCCTTCTCCAGACAGATTGTGGAGGTAAAAAATATAGTACGTCGTGACACGACACTAACTACATGCATTAGTGGTACTAAGATTAGCATGTGAAAACATATACTCCTATGTTACCAAGAAACGCCTTTCTACTACAAACATTTATTAAATAACCGATATTTCATTGGCTGATTCATAAAATCTCGCATCCTGTTTCATTCTCACTGAACATAGATGCACTGAATGTTATATTGGGTCAAGTTTCTCGAGGTTTTTTTTAAAAAGCATTAAAAACCATATCTATTTTGCTACGGTATATATAATACATTTTTATAGCTATTTTGACATCTGCCTCAGACTCTTTAGGTTAATTGATCTCTTTTGGAATGTGGACTTCAAAACATTGGACAAATGAGCTAGTTTTTATATCAACATATCACTTGACTTGACTTGTTTCTCAGAACGACGTTCGCTGTTTGCAGGATCTGGTGCGTTGGCCATTGTGCTTTAGGCTTTCGACGCACCCTAACCCTTTTTTCGGTATATTCGCCCATGGTCGATGGTATATTCGAAAATGGAATACCAAAATATGGTATATTCGACCATGGTCAAATATACCGGAAAATGATAAAACGGTACAGTCGAGTATAGCATATTCCTATATATCCGACCATGTCCATGGTGATGATGCTTTTTTCTTTTTTCATCTTAAGCAGTTGTTACATCACATTTGATGCAACGTCACCACAGGTTTGACAACGTGTTTGAATATATTTTAAAACTGGTGAAAAATCAAAAACAACCTTAAAGGTTTCACGTTTGTCATAAACGTCATTCTTAAGTCTTAAAACCACCTTCAGTGTTCATATGAACTTTTTCAGTTCTTTATGAATTTTGATATAAATACAAGTTGGACCTTTTAGTCGTGTTTGATCACAGCAATGGGCTACCTCAACTGTCATCATCCTTCATTTAGGTGGCTCAAATTAATTTTTCTTTGAATGTGACTCTATAGCTACAGTACTACTGTCCAGACTCCAGAAATGACCTAACAAAAACTGCGGTTAACCTGTAGGACAAACCTCGGTCTGATCGGGGTTGAACCAAGGTCAGACGGAGGTCAAACCACGGTGAGACGGAGATTAAACCTCGGCCTAACTCGGTCTAACAGACATTTCTTAAGATTTTTCGATTTGGTTATTGTGCTGTCGTTCTCAGCTGTTGATAACATTTCGTTCGGAAGCGAACGGCCACTGCGAAGGTATTTTTTCCCTTGCGGTCGTCTGCGGTTTTTATCGGTCGACCGCAACGGAAACGCAATGTTAGGTTATTTCTGGACAGTACGCTATAGTCGTCAGTTTGCTTCCGTAAATCATTGCATTAAATATTTAATACTTGTTTAATGTATTTTATAACTGTTAAAAAAGCTGTCATAATAATAATGAAAAAACTAAATCGGTCGTTAAAGTTTTGACGTTTGCCGCATAAACGTCATATGGCTTAAAGTCTTCAAATTCTGACGAAAAACTTCAATTTCTGATGGGGTGAATTTGTAGCTGCCCGCCAACAGAGCTTTGGTTTCTGGTGCTCCATGTTCATATCCTGCAGGAGATTGATATGTGTCACCAAGGTTGCTGTATGAATATGGGATTGTGTTGGCATTGGAGCTGATGTACAGATCATAACAACTACCAAATATTGCTCCACAGAATGGAGAATAGCTGATTGCTTTGTCATTTTCACCATCCTTGATCGGACACTTAAATGGCCGCATATTCTTTTTATTTTTCAAGGAAAACAGAAATGACGAGTGGAAACGTTTATACTCTCCGAAAACTGAAACGAAAAAAGAAATATTTTCATTTCGGGTGACATCTGATGCACGATATATGCGAGTGAAATCTGGACAGGAAATTTGTGACCGATCACTCGGGTCACACGTCACACGCATATCGAGGTCTGACTATTCAGTTGTGTTTTCTGTTGGATTTAAATAACAATTAGGCAGGAGTGAAAGGAAGTCTGCCTACTCGGGCTAAATAACAATGGATTAAAATATAACGCAAGGTTAGCGCTAAACTAGCTCCGGATTGGACGACTTGCGCTTTAGACTAAATTTTTAAGGAAATAAATCACCACAGCTAGAAAGATCTTACTTATATTAGTGCAAATGCAAAGTTTGGCTGCGGAATTTTGTAAAATACGGAAAATATAGCCATGGGAAGTTGGCATATTTTTTGTATACTGTTGTATTACGGCCGGACGTTTGTAATCCTCAACTTAAATGCCATATGAAAGCGTATTATCTTCCCTTGCCTGGTCTGTACGACCGCAGTCTGTTAAGGTCAAAGTCAGATTAACTATACATCCAGAATTAATAAAGCCCAAGGGCCGGTTCACTGGACAGGCGTTTAGCTTAAAAGGCGAATAAGATCGTTTAATAATAAGTATATTTCGCGCCAAAACACACTTGCGACGACGAAAAGGGGTCAGTTGTTCAAAGATAACCCTGGTTTAAATGGCCTTTTTTGGGCTTATTTACTTTTCGTGTTTACGTGTATTTTTGTCACTCACTTTTATTTAGTCCATATAATAAACCGAACATTAAGCCCAGATGCTATATGTATGCCCCCCCCCTCCTCGCACACAATTTTCGCATCTAGTTTCAGCACTGATAAAATCCTGATGTTGTAAAGTACGTTGCAAATTCATGGCGTTTTCGAGACAAGAACTATCATGACCCTCAGTGTCCCCTAATTGGTTATGCGGGACTTCATCCCCCTGCATTTCTTCTTTTCATACGCACCTACGCCTTTGTTCCCCCCTGCAAATATTTTTGCATCCGGTCGCCATTTGCACAACTTCTTCACCCTCCCCGTCTAATGCGTGGATAAATATTGAACGACATTGCCGTTTTCTGATGAGAGGATGAGAAAACAAAGTATAAAATGTACTCACATTCTGTATAATTCCAACTTTGATCAGTAAAACCTCCAAAGATGTTGGTTCCACATTTCACCAAGGTCAATGTAGGTCCAACATCGTCACACTTTGTATGAAAATCTCTTCCTTCCCAACCATCACGTGAAGCTCGATAACAAAGTTGCCAACCAAACTTCGTATCTTCCATCCACTCTACAAGTTGCTTCGCATATTGATTGCTCCAAGATGATTGATCTCTCAGATAAGGACCGCTGCACAGGGTTGACTGAAATGATATTCATTTGATAACACTTCTTAAAAACAAGGTTTAGTTATACTTTTTCGGTAGTAACAGTACAAGATTCAGTTGTATTCATAGGATTAGGTTCAGTTATTTTCATATATTTCGAAATAGATCTAGTACATGGTCTGAAAACAATAGACATTGTATTTTGAACATGGAGCCAAAAATTAGTAATGTTTGAATTGGAAGCTAATCTAAACTACACTGGCGCTCAAATGTTGCTATTATCGTATGTAACAGGAATCGTAACAATCAATCTTTTATTGTACACTAGCAGTCAAAAAGAACTGTTTAGATACAAATTCATAAAGAAGAAGCGAATATAGGAGAGAGCCTCATAAGCATTTTGGATAATTCTCTTAGTCCAAGCAATGTTTCAATAATGTAATGCAACCTGCCGCACTTCCAAGATAGTCAAACAATGGTTTCATGGGAAGAAGGAGTGACAGAAATGGATTGGCCTGCACAGTCAAAAGACCTTAACCCTAATGAAAATCTGTGGGACAATGTCAAGGGGATAGTGCAAGAAAGGAATTAATTCATAAAGGGTCCATGATTTATGGGTTGCTGTAAAGACTGTCCATAGGATGAATTTCTTTTGACCGTTAAGATTACCACCTTAACAAAAGGTATGCCACGCCGGTGTAAGGCCATCATCCATTATAAGGCCAAAGGCGGGTCAACAAAATATTAATATTTCATATAGCTTAGCATGTAATCTAGTCTATATTTACTCGTATATATTGTGGAACAGTTACATTCATTTGAGAGCATTTTAACTTGTTTTGAGCAGTTCTTTTTGACCGCCAGTGTATATATTTTTTAGTTAGTCAGATTTTGTAAGAATACAATAAATACGTCTCGATACATCACAGGCTAAAAGGGGTTCAATTTCAAACATACAGGGTTAAAAGCGAAACTCTCCTTGTGTGCCTAAAAAAATCGCAGCCCTGTAATTATGGTAATATAATAATCATAAAACTCTAGTATTTACACTTACCAATTTTTCCTAAGTTGTTTAACTTCAAATTCTCCATGATGTCTTTGGTTGGTTTTGGATGATATTCAAATAGGTTGTCGTGGATTGGCTCCATATTTTCTGGTCGTTCATTCTCAATGCTCCCAGCTTTTTCCTCAATCTCGTGTTTGAGAGCAAGGAGTACCTCGTCGCTTCCACTGGAGAGAATATTGCTGGTAAAATCTAACGAGCTTTTTGCCTTTTCGAAATAAGCTTTTACGTTAGCTTGTTGTTTCAACAGGTGTTCGTTGGCTTCTCTGTATTTCATCTCAACTTGGTCAAGCAAGGCTGTCGTTTCTTTCTCGAGTTTCTTGGTAAACGCATTCAGGATATTCTGTTGTTGCTGCTTAATGGTGTCTCTTGCTTTTGTTGCGTTGTTCTTCAGGATCGCCATTGCCTCTTCAATCTTACGATTACTCTCGGCTGCATCATTTTTTTGCTTCTCGAATATACCGGAAGATGCGTTTAACGCTTCCTTGTGCTGTACAACAACGTCTTTCAAAGGGAACCACGTATGTTCAGGCCGAGTGTGATTAAGATCCATGCAGTATCGACAAACAAGGACTTTGCATGTTTCGCAGTAGAATTTGAGTATTTTGTCGTGTTTCTCACAACGAGGTTTGCCCTTTGCCCTCGCTCGATTTTCTGGCTTCGCTAATTCTTCCAACGCCAACACGACATGATCCTCAAAGTCTGCCCAGTTGTTGTGGATTTCCAGACACTTTCCACACAGATATTTCTCACACGATATGTATCTGCTGGCTGCAGGAGCGTTCTTTTACACGACTGGCATTTTACATGATGGGCTTGTTGATGTATGCTGAGCAATTCCAACAGGTTATTAATAAAGTGGTTTGCTGGCATTTTCTCGCCAATATTTTCCCCTTCTTTGACTGAAAACTCCGTGCGGCATAATGGGCATTCGAAGATTTCTGGCACTAGTCTGCTCCAGCTTCGACTGCTTCCTCGCGCTGAGCGGCAACATAATTCTCCAAGCAGTGTTTACAAAATGAATGATAGCATGACAATGTCCGTGGTTGAGTCAATATCTCCTTACAAACAGAACACTCTAACAGAGTTTCCATTTGCTTTACAGGAGCAAGATCTGGTGCAGTAGCCATACAGCTGCAGGCTTAATTCGACCAGATTCGACGAACGCTTTCGTTTTTTGTCCAGACAGTCGAGACAGATCATGTAGGTAATATAATGTAGTGAGTTGTGAATTCGACACCAACTTTACCAAGAAACTTGTTTCTAATCCACTTATTAATCACCTGATATTTCATTAGCTAATCCATGAAATTTGACACCCTTTTTCAATTGAACACTGATACATGTAGTATTTTGAGGAGTTTCTCGAATTTCAAAGCACAATTTTTAACCGGATTATAATTAATCTCCAGGAATTACAAGAGGTCTTCAATTAATATTAAAAACTTACCAAAGTGGCTACACGGTAAATTCTTATTTTACTATCGCACACTACTTTCTTTATACTATTATTATTATTATTATTATTATTATTATTATTATTATTATTATTATTATTATTATTATTATTATTATTATTATTATTATTATTATTATTTTATTATTATTATTATTATTATTATATTATTATAAGTGGGTTTATAAAAACGTTCAATAGCTTAAGCTAAATTACAACGTTTTACAATAAAAATTTAAGCTATACTATGTACATCTAAAATTACCTATCTAAAAATGAATTATACAAGTCTATAGCATGGATTATTGGACGTTCTACAATAAAAATTTAAGCTATACTATGTACATCTAAAATTACCTATCTAAAAATGAGTTATATAAGTCTATAGCATGGACTATTGGACTATGTCTGCAACGTTCTGTCCTACAGAAGTAATTATATAATTTATCTTTGTTAAATCTCGTTTCTTTTTCACTAACGTTTTTCACCTGTTTTGGCAACAATTCGTAAAGCTGATGATTCGGGTCAATCAAATCTTTAATCAACAATACACATGCTTTATTTCTACGTTCTTCCAGGGTTTCCAATTTACTCACAATTAATTTGCTGCTATAATCCTTATAACCAGTATGCTCCGGAGAAATAATGTTAAGAGCCCTTCTTTGAACTCTCTCTATATTATCCCTTTGCATCTTTGTAAGTCCACCACTCCATATCTGCATACCGTACTCCAGAACAGATCGAATAACTGTACAGTAGAACATCAAATTTCTCTAGATTCTACCATTCTTCCTTGCTGATACAGTTTGTCTCTCTTGATTATCATGCTCTTGATTCTTCCTGATATGAAGGGTTTATCGTTTTCATGACGTTTGAACGTTTTGATGGGAAAACACTTTGTAATCAATTCATTGGTGATATTTAGAAACGCTTCCACTTTGGAATTTACACTGCACGAGTCGTACACCGAAGACCAACTTTGTCGAGTTATGAGTTCATGAAACAGATGAACACTATATAGACTCCTGGATTGGGCGACAGGTGACTTTTCTAATTTGATTACCTTTGGGGATATAGTCTTTAGACTTCAACTCAATCATGCAATGATCGGGATTACCAAGTGGGGCTAAAACAGTTGGCTTCTCATAAGATTGATGTATGTTGGTAAATACAAGGTCTAGTGTTGCATTCTCTCGTGTAGGATCTTTAACTAGTTGTTTTAATTGGCATTGCTTCCTGATTATTCTTTCTTGAAAGCCATTTCCTGTTGGGTTAAAGTCCCCAGAGACGATTATCGCTATATTTGGACTTTCCGAAGTTAGGGTGTCATAGCAATGACAAAAATAGTCATAGAATTTGTTAATTTCATCGGAGTTTAACGATGGAGGAAGATATACACATGCTAATGCTATCTTTGACATTGTTCGTGGTAGCCATTTAGGGCGAATTACGATCCATAAACATTCATGATCCACGCTAGAAAGATCATATCGAACTTTTGTTGGGATAGAGTCTTTTATAAAAAAGGCTACGCCGCCACCTCTACCATATTCTTTATCATTCCTAAGCACATTGAATTGTGGTAATCCAGGAAGGTGCACAGCTTCATCTGGTACGTCATTGGATAACCACGTTTCTGAAATCATCACAATGTCAGTTTTTCTATTGTTGATAACATGCGAAAGTTCATCAGTTTTCTTCAAAATTGATCGAGCATTTAGACTCAAAATATTAGGTAAATTACGATTGGGTTTAAAGTTCTCGATCGTGCGTATTTTAACCAAATTTGAAGTATTTCTTGAATTGTCGGCATTCGAAGTATTTCTTGTATTACATCGGGTAGTAATTCGGACAGGAATCTTGCTAATAATTTTATCATGACAATCAGATGCGTTCTGGGAGTTTAGACAAGAGTTCCCATTGGTGGTTGTAGGGAGAGATCGTATCTACTTATCTCTTTTTGGTGAAAAGGGCATATTGTGTTTACGAGTTTGACCTTTTTTAGGGTGCTTGAAATCACAACAATTACCTTTTAGACACCGACCGCGACGTTTGAGGAATGGGCAGTAAGTGTTGGCTTTTAAAGGGAAATCATATCCGCCATTCTTCGTCTCTGTAGTTCTCTGTGGTGGGCCTGTAGTGGCGATCTGCTTAGGTTGCTGTTGGTCCTTAGTTAGCAGGTGTTATTTATTTTGCTGCTTGCTTCGATAGTCGTTAATTTGTTTATCAATATCTTCTACCATCATCACTCCAGCTTCGTCATTCTCTGTTTCTATATTAATTGTCTGTTCGTATTGGGTTTGCTCCTCAAATTCTGAATGATATTTAGTGTACTGCTTAGTACGGTAATCATGAATTTGTTTATCAGTCTGATCTACCAACCCAATTCCGGCTTCTGTATCATTACGTGATTCACTTGTTAAATCAACACTATTAGGTGTGTTTTCAATACTGTCATGTCCATGCTTTGATTTAGTAAGTTCAGTGGAGCGTGTCGTGGCATTGTATAGAGATTTGATTATGCAAATTTCTTCGGGAAGGTGTTTGATTTCAAGTTCTAATTTCGCATTTTTCAGCTTTTCTTCCTCGAAATCAAGTTGTAATAGCTTCATTTCGTTACTTAAATGCGATGCTGACAAATGTAAAATTCTTCATGCATGGAGAGGCTTGCCGTCAACAAATGAAGTTTGTTTCGAATAACATGTTTCTTTATTTGACATTTTAGCTTATTGATTGCACACTTGGTTTAAAGTGGTTCGTTCGATTCAGTATTTACAAATCAGGTATTCGGGCACAAGTGCCATTCCTGTTTTAGGTGTTTCTTGTATCTTCAGCTTATCTTAATGGAGTAACGGTGGTCGCAAGTGTACGCTTCTCACAACTGGCAATTACTCCATTACTGAGTAGTCTAGTTAAGTTGTTTTTGTAAATAGTCTGTAGAACTATTATACTTAGTTTTAATGCATGATTGATTATTGTAAATTTCCCTAGTACTAATAATGTGAATAAATTATACGAGTTTAAAAAAAAAAAAAAATTACTCCATTTAAACCAGTTGTATAATTCTCTTTGGATATAACTTTTTGGAATAGTATACTATACTATATGAGAAGAACTCGCCCCCTTGGCCGTTGATCTTAATATACTACCATCACGCGATTTTCCCCCCGAATTGCCTGGGTACTAGAGTAACAAGACTGCATATAATCAAGGTGTCAGATTTGCTAAATAATTACCAACCGCCATTTGCAGCTTTTATTCTCTCGGTGTTTTTATTCTCTCGGTGTTTTGGCCTTTTGTTTTCTTTTCAATACAAGGGAGAAAATGCATGCGATTTGATTCTATTGTGTTTATTCTGCCATGGGATCTGGAAGGTGCTCAGCTATTCAAATTATGATAATAAGGCAAATTACTAAACAGTCTCCCTTCTTAATCCCCTCTGTACTGCACAGACTGCTTGCCATGCAGTTGTAAACTTGTATGGACTTTAATGTCGTTTACTTCGGCAAACCTAGAAGTTCTATCGATGGATTTTTACCAAATTAATATTTAATTGAAAGCTTTGCGGAGTTTGTTCACTGACGTTGTTGGACGAGGCTTGTCACTGGGCTAGTTGAAACAAAAGATGGATATAAGCTGTGTATTTGTGGGTTTACAAAGAGCCAGAAATTATGTATATCTTGCACTTTGCCTGTCCGTTGAAAGAAGTCAATGTGAGTACCTCTATAATGAAAATAAAGTTTGAAGATTGGACAGATCTTGATACCAACACATTATTTATAGCTACTCGTAATCGTTTAAGCAAGCATAAGCGGCCAACAGACAACTGCGATATGAATAAACGATGTGCTGGTGTGTGCTTTGAGTCTTTTTTATGCTTCTGCAAGTACACAACGATATTGTTTATATTAAAGAGAACTTCGGTTGAAGACGAAGTGTCTTAATTTGCACGAAACATGAAAGTTTTTACGGTTGCATTCTTTGCGTACTTTACTATATCGTTTGACGCCACTGCATGACTTACAACCGAGTAACGTTTTAGTCGCTTTCGTTGATTTTCTCAACATTTCAAGTTTTAAGTTGAAACATGGCTCAATTTTGAAATTTACTTTTTGTTATCATTTTTGAAAGCATATGATGAATGAACGATACGCTGGCGTGTGGTTTGAGCGTGTTGTGAACTTGCACGTACCCTAAACGAGATATTGTTTGTTTTGAGAAGAGAATTTCTGCAGTATATGAAGGTTCTTTGCTCGAGTACTTTATTGTAGTTTGACACTACTGACTCGCACGTTTTAGACGAATCGACCAGGCATATACAAAATTTAATATAGATTACTGGTATATAATATTATTAAGGTATCAAATATTGATGACTTGCGATAGTGAGTGAGTGTTTTACAAATCACTGACTGCGAATTGTCGATTTTAAATGTGGAAAGGCGATAAAATACACAGATAACGCAGGAAACTGACATTCACTTGCGCCATGTTTTAATATATCAGTATAATTGCTGGATCTTATGCCCCCAAAACTACCTTCAGTGTTTGCCTACTTCAGGGAAGAAGAGAAAGGCGTTTTCTTAGCTTCGCGACTTATTTTGGTCGCGGCTTAAATTTTTTCGCCGGTATAAATCACCCTAACTCTTGCTTTAGACGCGCTTCAAGTGCCACGTGTTCGTCGGTAAAACGCAGGGGTTGCACCCCCTCCCAGTTAAGATAGTCACACTACCCCCCTGGTTGAAAGGATTTGGAAACTTGTTTTGTATAATCACTGGTAAAAAGCTGTTATAACAGAAATAAAAAAAAAGCAAATCACTCGTTAAAGGTTTGAAATTTGCCTTAAACGTCATTATAAAGGTCTCTATTAATTTCACCTTCGTTTTAACTGTATTTTTACGTCGTAAAAACTTCAATTTCTGATGGGGTAAATTCGTAGCTGCCAGCCAACAGAGCATTGGTTTGAGGCGCTCCAGGTTCATATCCTGGAGGAGGTTGATATGTGTTGCCAAGGACGCTGTATGAATTTTGGTTTGTGTTGATGTTGAAGTTGATGACCAGATCACCACGACCAAAGGCTACTTGGCCTACTCCCCAGTTATGACAACAGCAGAGGGCTCTGTTATTTTTACCATCCTTGATCGGACACTTAAATGGCCGCATATTCTCTTTATTTTTCAATGAAAACAGAAATGACGAACGTATAAACTCCATAACTAAAAATAAAATATTTTCATAAAATGCAGGTCACATAACGTCCTAACAAAAACGTCCTTAAAAAGAGTCAGATGTAGGTAACATATATGTTAAAAGGATACATTTTATTAGCAAACTTGGAGAGACATGCAACTGAAAGAACTCGAAACTTTAGGTTAAAACCTCTCTAAATTGCCTTTTCCCGGGGGGGGAGGGGGTGACAGTCGCTTCTGCACGCGCATCGGTTATGCTCGTATATAAAAAATGAGTAGTCTACCTGTTTTAAAATTGCTCAAATTTCGCCTGTTTCGTATATCTCTGAACATAAACTCTCTCTCTCTCGTATTCATTAAGGAGAAAAGCGTGTCAAATATTCTGAAAACTCTTGATATTTTAGCAAATATACCAATTCAAAATGAAAACAAGTTCTAAACGAGTTCTTCTACCCTGGCGAAACAAGCGATTGAAATTCATTTTTTAGCTAAGAAAGTTTCTCGCAAGTGGAATGTAGCGAAGCGACGTGATGTGATATGCGAACAAGAAACTCACAAATATTTTTTAACTGAAATAGCATCCACACTGAAACGTATAAATTCCCTTCCTTGGTCTGTACGACCGCGACCTATTCAGATCAAAATAGCCAACTATTAATTAACACACCATAGTCAGGCTATTTATTAATTAGCACGTGAAGACCGAGCGGTCAGTGTTCAAAAGCTAACCCAGCTTTGAATGGTCCTTTTTGGGCTCAAAATTGTCTTTTTTGGGCTTATTCACTTTTCGTCTTTGCGTGTATTTTTGTCACTCACTTTTGATTTAGTCCATATAATAAACCGAACATTTAACCAAGATCCTATATATACGACCCCCCCCCTCGCACACAATTATCGCATCTAGTTCGGCACTGATTAAATCCTCATGTTGTAAAGTACGTTGCAAATTCATGGCGTTTTCGAGACAAGAATTATCATGACCCTCAGTGCCCCTAATTTGTTATGCGGGACTTCATCCCGCCGCATTTCTTCTTTTCATTTCTGCCTTTGTTCCCCCCTGCAAATATTTTTGCATCCGGTCGCCATTTGCACAACTTCTTCAGCCTCCCCGCCTAATGCGTTGATAAATATTGAACGACATTGCCGTTTTCTGATGAGACAAAGAGGAAATAAAGTATAAAATGTACTCACATTTTGTAAGCCTTTGTTCAGTAAAACCACCAAAGATGTTGGTTCCACATTTCACCAAGGTCACTGAACGTCCAGCAAATTCAGACCTTCTATGAAATTCGTTTGCGTCCCAACCATCACGTGAAGCTCGATAACAAAGTTGCCAACTAAACTTCTTGTCTTCCATCCACTCTACAAGTTGCTTCGCATGTTCAATGTTGCCCTCCAAGATGGTTGATCTTGCACATAACTGTACGTACTACATCTGCAGGGGCAACTGAAATGATATACATATAATTTGACCATTTTCACAACAAGGTTTAATTATATCTTTTTAGTGGCAACAACAGTGTACAAGATTTAGCTGTATTTATAAAGTTAGGTTAAGTTATTCTCAATTGGTATAGTAACAATAGAATACATGTTTTGAAGACAAGTTGGAAGTACAATAAAACACATTAACTTATGTTGAAGAACGGCCGTGCAAATTTTATTTCGCTTGTAATTAGACAAAACATAAATGTTATGTTTTGTGATTGATCATATTAGTGAAGTATTCTACAGTTTTTTTTTCTAGGTTTTTTTTTGTAGGTAATAAACTAAAATATTTAATAATAATCTTTTAAAAGTCGGTCATTTTTTCGATATACAATTTGCATTAAAACTTCGCTCAGAACGATGAAAATCGCATTTCCGAGGTTTTAATTTCAAAATTTCCCAGGGGAGAATGCCGATTTTGGGTTTTCGTTCATTCGCATCAGTCAGCAAAATACCTGCATCCGCCCCTGAAAGTAATAATAGATTACATCTTTTGAAGACAAGTTGGAAGTACAATATATACAAGACATTAACTTATGCTGGAGAGGGTTAGTGCAAATTTCTTATGAACTACCTTGTATTTTAAATAAATAAACTAAGTAATTAGGTTTGAACAAGAGGGTTTTCAAGTACTGTCGAGGGTTGAGCGAAGGGCTATTGGGTTTATCCACCGTTTAAGCTAAACGCCTTTCGAACAACCGGCTCTTGTTTTGAGTAATTTTTTTTATATATTTTTGCTTATTTCTCTTATTTACCACAATTACAAGGGCAATATGAGAAAAAAATATTAAGCTTGGAGAACAGCGATGCTTTAGAGAGTCCGTATAGTTTGCATTGACAAACTGCATGAACTATATTATGACTGAACCATTTTACCGCAAGATTCGGCAAACTAATAAACAAAACCTCAAGGTGTGTACCCACACAACCCACATATGAAGCCACACAAAGATGAAGTTTTACAATTTTAGGTGTTGACAAGTGAGTTTTACTAAAATTACTAAAAAGATTATTTAGCTATTATAATTATATACTTACTATCCCGCCTTAAACGACCAAAGTCTGTAAAAAACAAAAAAGTTAAAGTTACTTCAGAGTCACAACTGCTACACAAAATATTACCTAACTATAAGAAATTGCTAGCGCTTAACAGTCTGCAATATATCTGAATATTTATTACTCTGCTATAGCAAAGCATTGTCTTCATTTTTTCTTGGCGCAGCAGGGGCGAAGATAAGGTTTACTCTTCCAAATTTGTGCAAGTAAATTATGATTTGTAGCCATTAATAGAACAGGTTTAAAAATAGATTTTGCTTTCAACCTACCACAATTTCCTGGTTTCTCAAGTTTTATTTTACCAACAATAGTTTCGGATGAATTTGCTTGGTATTTCATGCCCCCATCATAAATTGGTTCCAAAATCTTTGGACATTCCTTCTTTATGTCACTGGCGTTAGTCTGGACTTTTGTGCTAAGCAAGAGGATTTCATCATTGCTGGCTTTCTCGATGATATTCTTTGCAAAATCCAGTGAACCGTTCACCTTCTCAAGATAGGCTTTCATCTCGTTATGTTGTTTCACCAGTTGTTGGTTGAACATGTTGTGCGCTCTGTCGACTTCCTCAAGCAAGACTGCTGTGTTGTGTTTTACTTTCTGCGTTAACTTTTGCAAGATTTCTTTTTCTTGTTGCAGAATCATATCTTTAGCTCTTTTAGTGTCGACTTGTAGATTTTGAGTAGCCCGATCTATTTTCTGTAAGGTTGTTTTAACTTCGTTAGACGACCTCTGTAACTTAGCGGAAGTTGTTTCCAAAGATTTCTTGTGCTGCTTAACCACTGTCTCGATAGGATGATAGTCATGGTTAGCTTTGGAATGGTTTAAGACAACGCAATTAATACAAGCCAGTTCCTGGCAGGTATTGCAATAAAACTCGAAATGTTTATTTCCGTGTCCTTCCTTTTTACAACGTGGCTTTCCTCTTGCTTTGCCTTGATTCTCAGGTTTTGCTAATTCTGCCAACGTCATCACGTCATGATTTTTGAAGTCTGGCCAGTTGTTGTGCACTGTCAAACAATTCTTGCAGAGATAACGTTCGCATTCAATACATCTGCTTGTGACTGATGCTTCAGCTACTTTGCAAGATTCGCAATGTAGCTTCTGTGTTTGTTGTTGTATGACTGGCAGTATTTCTAACAAGTTGTTGATGAAATAATTTGGCGGAATTCGTTCCACGCTATCACCTTGCTTGAGTTCAAACTGGGTTCTGCACATGGGACAGTGGAACAGAAGCTGAACCCGTCGTTCCCTTTCAGCTTTCTCGCGTTGAACCTCAATATATCTCGCGAGACATTTCTTGCAGAACGAATGAAAGCAGGGAAGCGACTTTGGTTCATTCAAAGTTTCCTTACAAATACAGCATTTCAGGAGTTCTTCTATTTGTTTTGTAGGAGCAGAATCAGGTGCTGTAGCCATACCTGGTCAATATTGCCTGGCGGAGTGATGGTAGACTATCGCATATAACACTGTTATCAAAATGAAAGTTAATTCGAAATTTTGTTATTGTGTAATTACGAAGAATTGTTTTTCTCAGTAAGCTGATCAAGAGGCCCCGCTGAGATTCCATCATACGCATGTTGTTCTCATTGGCTGAAGAAAATAAATTTAGGTCACTTAGGTCACAGTAGGTTAATCAACATTTTATTTTAGCATTTCAAAGGCAAAAGGTCTCCTGCTAGTTAAGATAAACTCTAGTGCTTGGATATCATCAGTTCAATATGCTTATCAATAATATGACCTCGTATTTAAAGTTTCTCAGAGGATTCTTGTGTACCAACGAGACTGTACAAACGCGTTGTTTCTATATTAAACCATCCAACCAAATTAGTCAAGTTGTATAATATAAGATGTCATAAATTGAACCTCAATTTTCAATTTCAATAATTAGTCTATAAGAGTGAAATGAAGCTTAACCACAACATTCCAGAGAACGTAAACATGGCTACTTTTTTGGTGCCCTAACATTGGTAATAATTCTTTGAAAATGTGTCGATATCTTTCACCGTAAGCATGATGGGGAATCCAGCATACTTGCCAGTGTTCTGTTATAGCTGCGTAAAGCCCCGCGTGCAGTCGGGCAGGTTTTCCTTCACAAAATTCCAATTTTTATTTGCTCGTGTGTACACGAAAAAATGTTTTCCTTGACAAGGAGCCTTGTTCAAAAGTTAGTCATGCCAGCTTTTTAACAAGGAAAAATGCTCGTGTCTTCGGCCGTCAAGGAAACTTGATAAGGAATTGCGTAGTAGGAAGCCGCGCAACAATATCTTCGAGCCAATTGAGCGGTTTTTGGAAATTTTATCATGTTTGTTTGTTTTGAGATTCGGTGGTATACTCATTCTATCATATTGTCGTAAAATATACTTGACATATATATTATCGTAAAACTTGCCAAGAAAAATTTGTCAAATTTTTCGCGTACACACGAGCAAATAAAACTTGGCAAGGAAAACTTGTTCCCCACACACACCAGCAAGTACGGAGCTTAAGATTCATAATTCAACAAACCTGTAATAAATCTAGATACTGATTAGATGTCGTTAAACGATTAAAAAATATACCCATGCAGGAAAGTAATAGTGCATGCATGCCGGACACAGGTGTATAAATCATTATATAATAACTATAGTGAAACACGCAATGTGATTGGTCAATAGCCGTGCAGAATCAGACAATCCTGCACGCGTTTTAGACAATCCTGCACGCGAAATTTAATTTTAATAAAGTTAACCGTTGTTTCACTACAGTTATTTTATAAAACAATTACCAAATGATTTTCCGTGCAGGATTGCGTGATCCATGCACTTGGGATGTTGCTCGACTTTCGGAAAGCGTGAAAATACACTCGCCTACGGCTCGTGTATTTTCACGCTTTCCGAAAGTCTCGCAACATCCCGCGTGCATGGATCACGCAATCCTGCACGGAAAATCATTTGGTATTCCTTTATTCGTAAATCACTGCTAAGCATCACGGGCTTAACTTGTTTTCCGATATATATTTTATTACTGGTAAAAAGCTGTTGTAACAGAAATGAGAAAACCTTTTCGGTCGTTATAGATTTGACTTTTGCCGTAAACGTCATTCCTAAGGTCTCTATTAATTTCACCTCCGTTTAACTATGAAAAACTTCAATTTCTGATGGGGTGAATTCGTAGCTGCCCGCCAAGAGAGCTTTGGTTTGAGGGGCTCCAGGTTCATATCCTGGAGGAGGTTGATATGTGTCACCAAGGTCGCTGTATGAATAATGGTTTGTGTTGGCATCAGAGCTGATGAGCAGATCATAACCATCACCAAAGGCTGCTCCCCAGTAACGACGACAGCATATTGCTCTGTTATTTTCACCATCCTTGATCGGACACTTAAATGGCCGCATACTCTCTTTATTTTTCAAGGAAAAGAGAAATGACGAGTTGGAACGTTTATACTCCCCGAAAACTGCAACTAAATAAGAAATATTTCCATTTTGGGTGAATAAGTTTGCGTGAACATTGACAATAACGTATTGCTTGGAATGAGAGAATTGTCAAAAATGCCTATGAAGCCCTCTCTTACATTTGCTTCTTTTTATGAATTTTTTTTCAAACAGTTCTTTTTTACCGCTAGTGTATATTAAAAGATTGATCGTCACGATTTCTGTTACATACTATAATAGCAACATTTAGCAGTTCTTTTTTACTGCCATATTGTAGAAACGAAAACACTTAAAAGACATTTTTAGATAAGTAAAAGTTTCTCTACTTTTATGTTTACGCTAAAATTTAAAAAATATTCGCTTTTATAATAGTCTTTCGCCTATACTTTTGTCATCGATCGTAAATGTAGTGTTTAATATAATAAAGAGAACGTTAAACGGTTGCGAGAAGATATGGATTTTTGTCATAAAATCCATATATTTTCGTAACCGTATAATATGCTACGTTTTCAAGACAAGAATTATCATGATTTTCGCCTTTGTTCCCCACCTGCCCAAATATTTTTGCATCCGGTTGCCATTTGCACAACTTTTTTAACCACATGAATGCTCCTCGCCCAATGGTGGATAAATATTGAACGACATTGCCGTTTTTCCGATAAGACGACGAGGAAATAAAGTATAAAGTGTACTCACATGTTGTCTGTTTCCAACTTTGATTAGTAAAACCACCAAAGATGTTTGTTCCACATTTTACTAAGGTCACTGTAGGTCCAACATCGTCACACTTTCTATGAAAATCGTCTGCCCCCCAACCATCATTTGAAGCTCGATAACAAAGTTGCCAACCAAACTTCTTATCTTTCACCCACTCTACAAGTTGCTTCGTATGTTCAATGTTACCCTCCAAGATGGTTGATCTTACACATAACTGTACAAAATCACGGGCAACTGAAATGATATACAGAACATATAGTTTGACCATTTTCACAACCGCAAGATTCGGTAAACTGGTAAAGCTCAAGGTGTGTACGCACACAGCCCACACATGAAGCGACACAAACATGAAGTTTTACAATTTGAGGTGTTGACAAGTGAAGTTACTAAAATTACTAAAAAGATTATTTAGCTACTATAATTATATACTTACTATTCCGCCTTAAATCACCAAAGTCTTTAAAAAACAAAAAAATTAAAGTTACTTCAGAGTCACAACTGCTACACAAAATATTACCTATTTAAGAAATTGCTGGCGCTTAACAGTCTGCAATATTGATCATGCAAAGACTCAGGTACAAGGTCAAAACGGCTCGAGTAGTTGATATTTCGGAACAACTACTCGAACCGTCTTGACCTTGTAGCTCACTTGGAAGAGCATTGGAGTAGCAACCAAAGGTCGCGGGTTCGATTCCCACCATGGTCAAGCTAATTTTTCAGCTTTTCCGGTTGGTGACTCAGAGTGGTAACATCACATATACATTTAGTCTGCAATATATCTGAATATTTATTACTCTGCAATAGCAAAGCACTGTCTTCATTTCTTCTTGGCGCAGCAGGGGCGAAGGTAAGGTTTACTCCTCCAAATTTGTGCAAGTAAATTATGATTAGTATAGGCATTAATAGAACAGATTTAAAAATAAATTTTGCATTCAACCTACCAAAATTTCCTGGTTTTTCAAGTTTTATTTTACCAACAATAATTCCGGATGAATCTGCTTGGTATTTCTTGTTCCCATCATGAATTGGTTCCAAAATCTTTGGACATTCCTTCTTTATGTCTCTGGCGTTAGTCTGGACTTTTGTACTAAGTAAGAGGATTTCATCATTGCTGGCTTTCTCGATGATATTCTTTGCGAAATCGAGTGAACCATTCACCTTCTCAAGATATGCTTTCATCTCGTTACGTTGTTGCCCCAGTTGTTGGTTCACTATGTTGTTCGCTCTGTCAACTTCCCCAAGCAAGATTGTTGTGTTGTGTTTTACTTTTTGGGTTAACTTTTGCAAGATTTCTTTTTCTTGTTGCAGAATTGTATCTTTAGCTCTTTTGGTGTTGACATGTAGATTTTTAGCGGCCTGATCTATTTTCTGTAAGGCTGCTTTGACTTCGTTAGACGACCTTGTGCTGCTTAGCCACTGTCTCGATAGGATGATATTCATGGTTAGCTTTGGAATGGATTAAGACAACGCAATTAATACAAGTCAGTTCCTGGCAGGTATTGCAATAAAACTCGAAAGGTTTATTTCCGTGTCCTTCCTTCTTACAACGTGGCTTTCCTCTTGCTTTGTCTTGATTCTCAGGTTTTGCTAATTCTGCCAAGGTCATCACAAGGTGCTGGACGAAGTCGAGCCAGTTGTTGTGTGTTGTCAAGCAATTCTCGCACAAATAACGTTCGCATTCAATACATCTGCATGTTCCTGAAATACCAGGAAATATTACCCTAATAGCTATTTAAGAATCCCCGCTAAGAATGCAAAATAGATTTAGATCAATTGGCATTTTGGCATTTCAAAGACAAAAGGTCTCCTGCTAAAGTTAAGATAACACCAGTGCTTCAGTATGATCAGTTTAGTACGCTGATCAATACATGGCCTTGTATTTCCTTGTACCAACGAGGTTGTACAAACGAGATGTTTCTATAAACATCCAACCAAATTAGTCAAGCTTTATATTATATGATAAATTTTCAATCTTATTTTTCAGTCTATTAGATTGAAATGAGGCTTACCCAAAACATTCCAGGGAGCAATTTAGACATACATGCCGAATCAGAAACGTAAACATTAGTTTGAAGGTGCAATACGAATATATTTTAGGCTACTGCAAATCTTTTGGTTAATTCCTTAGCACGTGCCTTCTTCAATTATCATACTTGATTTGTGCGGTTATTTGTGCACAAAATTGATAAGAATCATGAAGAGATTCAACACGAAGAAACATCTAATAAATCACCGCAAAGCTCCTGAGAATGGCATCTCATTTATGTTACACAGGACACAGGTATATATAGTCAGTGGTTGGGTGATGTGAACAGAGCAAACCTGTAACCGCTGTATATCATCAAAGACAAATCTGTTCAGTGGCAACAAAAAATGTACAAAAAAACTTCTTGATTTTAGACTGAGAGGACCTCGTTTGAATTGTTTATGCACTAGATTTATTGCTAGATTTTTGTGTTTCTTTGTGATTCTACTTTCGATATGTATTTCTTGTGAAAATACCAAGAAATTCTTATCGGTTCCTCGTATCGATCCAAAAATTACATAATTTACATTTCAATTCATGTCAGTTCAGACAAAGACAAGTATTATAATATTATAAGAGTTTTGTATTATGCATGCTGTTCAGTGTTCATGCCTTGTTTTCGCGATCATAAAAGAGAATATCCATAAATTTTGTGTTCAACTTCATTTGCAATTTAACCATTGCAACGAAAATTCTGCATATCAAGACCTGGTAAACAATTTCTTTCCAGAGATTATCGAAGTTTCGATTTGCAAATCATTTGTTTAGCAACATAATTAAGGCAGACAATCTTCAAGATAATACAAGCGTAAAGAAGAAGCCGTCAAAATAATTTAGTGACCATGAAAGTTTATCAATTCAAGGCCGAAGCTGCCTAGATAAGAAGACGTTTTGAACAATAATGCATTCGTTTTAGAAAATGTCTCAACATAGAGTTTATATATGCTTTGTTCATCGTGGCAACCAACTCAATGGTCTTTGTCTTTGCCCTTTTCATCTAACTCTAGAATTATATTGAAAATATATTATATATTATAGATAACCATAAAAAATTGCGGTTATTTTGTTGTCTATGAGGAAACGGGGACAAAGTACACAAAATTTGTATTTTCCATTCAAAACCTTTACAGAAATTTTTGCATTTGGTAACTTCCTGTTGCGCATGACTGTTTATGCTAGCAAATAATTATATAACGTCCATCAGGAAATCACAGCACTTAAAATTTGAGTCAATCAAGGCTTGACATACGAAAATGGCCAGCGAATTGTCCAGGAGTTATTTTCTTTTGGGTAAGAATTTTGACGTTTGTTTGGTGAATTGGTGTTTAAGGTGTATCTTGTGTGTTATTACTGGTTGGAAAATGTTCTCTTGTTAATGCAATTAATGGAAGACGCGATGTATTTAATGAATATCCTTGCATCCTCATAGTTTTGATAACGTTGAAAGTAATAATTTATCCGCAGCTTTGTAAAACCCAGTGTTACATTCAGGCATATAGGTGCATGCCGAAACAACATTTCAAACTGTCAAACAGATAGCGAGGCAAGGTTTTCAAAAGCAAAAGTTAAATTATGTAGCCTAGACACTAATTATATACACAAGAGCTGATTCAATTATTTTGCTGCAGTGCAGCTCGTTTGAAACAAAAAAATGTTGTTATGAAAATATTGTTATTTACCGCTATCGCTAATATAGATTCGCCACTACTTTATGGATTCGACTTACACTGCATGCGATCAAAAATTCAGCATATTCGCGACTTTTTAAAACGCGCCTGGCGTAAAATGGGTTAATGTATATATCTCCACTGCGGCGTAAAACTAATGTATATGTGTTTTCTGCAAGATTGTAATTTTCTACTAATTTTCTAATAATACTTCTCGAATCGAGCAACAATTGCCTCTCGGATGGCATCTTGTGAATACATACGCAGTGTAACGCTCAAGTGTAGACGCAGAACATTTCAAAACAGATAGCATGCAGGGAAAACTTTTAAAAGCGAAAGCGATATAATGTAGTCTAGATACTAATTGGATACAAAAATTAGGTACCTATATTCGGCCAAATATGCGTGGGATTTTGTAAATACTTCTTGAACCGTGCAATTTTCTATATAAATTTGTATATGTTTTAGACTTCTAACGATAAAATGGCTGCGCCAGGCTGCTTTGGCGATCTTGCTTATCAAAAGCTGCGAGCTAGCCAGCTTTGCCGAGACCAAATTCTTCATGTAATTGTTTCATCTCGGCAAGGTGAGCTTGAAAGATGGCTAAAAACTAATTTTAATTTGTAAACAAATCACCTTGAAAGAACCCTAAAGTTGATTAACATCAGACTGATGCATGTTATTGCCTATACTGCCTATATAGTAAGTAAATGCTTAACGAATTGGCTTATTTGTATCATTCCTTAATGGAATTATAGCAATTCGGAAACAACTCTTTATACTACAGTCAAAAAGACTTCAATTGCACTGCATACAAATAAAATTTAAATAATATGGAGATATCATTGTTCAAATATCTATCACAGCGCCCCACTAAGGTGCAATGATAACCAATTTGTGATGTGATAAAATACGAAATTTATTATTTTATATACAGTATATGCACGAATTATTTTGTGTGTATAGCATTTGTCAATTACGTCAGAAAATCTTAAGGGCTGCTTTCCACTGTCACGTTTGCACGTACGCGTAAAATTTTAAAACCACTGAAATGATACTTATGAAATCTACGATTAACAAGATGAATAGAGTTGGATTCTGTTAAAGATTCAGTATGTTATTTCTGCAACAAAATTAATTATAAAACAACTCAAAAGGTTTTAAACGTTTACGTACGTGTTACGTATACCTAGAGTTGGACTCATAGGGTTGGATTCTGTTGCTGATTTGATGCGTTTTTTCAGGCGTAAAATTAATTACATAACAATTTACTTAGAAAGTTTCGAGTTTTTACTCACGTACGTGCAAAAAACGCGACAGCGAAAGCAGCATCTAATTTGCAGAATCAGTACACGTACATATGTTGAAGCAAGGTAGCCAGAGTTTTTCTTAATAGACAACGTTGTATTTACATAAATTTTACAACTTTGCAGTGATAAGGTGTCCTTTGAATAATAATCTCTGATGCCAGATTAACCTGACTTTACTTGGCAAAAATGTATGCATCGCCCTAACTTACTACCTTGAATATGTTTCGTTTTGTTGATATTGACAGGTGTTGTCATTATACTTCATTGCTGTGGAAAAGTTGCTTGCTCTCACAGTAAGTAAACGGCCAATCAATTCAAGATTTACTTTACTGCATAGGATATCGTGATAAAACATACGTTACTCCAAGCAGGAATATATTCCATGCATAACATCATCGCTTGTTGAGTGCTTTTTAGGAAAGCTTTGTAAATTCTGAAAACGTGATCAGAAAAATCTAGATAACTGATCCATAACGTGAAAAATATCATTTTATATACGTAAGAAACCTCCGTTCGCCGATGCAAGTAGGGCGCTCAAATTACTTTATACAAATGCATATAAGCCTCCGTGCAATAGATTTACCGATCTTTTGTTGTATAAAGTTTAATCAAAAACTATATTCTATTTGGTTATTCATATATTCAGGTTCATATTTATTCTATATCAGGTTGCTCATATTCGAATATCAGAAGCCCTGGTTACCCCGGCAAGTATCCAGAAAACCTGGATTGCACTTGGACTAAATCGTCAAGCTTAGACATAGTAAGGTTGGACATCAGCTCTCTTGATCTTGAGCAATGCTCACGATGCACATGTGATTATGTCGAGGTTTTTGACGGAGACAGTAAAAGCAGTAAAAGCCTCGGAAAGTACTGCACCGGCTCGGTTTACTTGGTGTCCACAGGCCGCTACCTAACGGTAGCGTTTCACACTGATCACACCAAAGGTCAAAGAGCCAACACCGGATTTCAAGCAAATTCCTACTCCATATCCCGAAGCGATGGTGAGTACATTATAGGCCGCATAAAGATTGCCTAATTTCGCCTTACAAGTCGAACAAAAGAACAAGGAGGAATTCCGTTTCGAACCATAATCGGCCAATCTGCTTACATTTTCTAGGCTATAAGCCAATCAGAATTGCCTAAATGTTTCATACTTCATGTAGAATGGAAAATAATGTACCTTTTCATCGGTGCATTTTAAATCCCGCTAAACCCTATTTTTTGTGATCAATTTTAACTTAAAGTGTGCAAAAAGGACTCCTACACCATCAGCACGGCCTATTCGAATTATGGAAATGTGGATTGCTCCTGGACGTTGACTACGCATTATACGGGATATGTCGTGGTACTGGATGTGTCTTCGCTGAGCTTTGGAACTTGTTCAAGCTCCTGCAGTTGTGGCCAGCTTGAGGTTTATAATACTTTACATGGCATTCAAACAAAGATCGGCTCGTGGTGCTCAAGACCACAAAAAAGTATCATTTCTCGCGGGAGGAACATGCTTGTGAAATTTGTTTCCACACCGAAGTCAACAACACAAAGTTTTCGGGCTGAATATAAGTTTGTAAGAGAGATAGGAGGTAATGCTGCATTACAACTCCCATAGTTTTGCAATGTGTTCGAATAGAGTAACGGAGCCCGCTTTTAATGTCTGGAAAAATTATTGGATGCTTAGTTTCAATAAAATGATCACATTCAAAGTAAATGAAATAATTTCTTCTTAAAAAATATTAACTTCCTCTAACCTAAAACACCCTTTACTTAAGTTATGCAACATGTGGGCGACTTTTTTTACTAAAAGTGATAGTAGGCCAGTATGCATGATATTGTTCGATGGAATTATCCCTCCTCTCTCAAATCTCTTCCAGTTTGAAAAAAGCTTAACTCTTTTAAGATATAAATATAAAGAGCATTTTATTCTAGTTTGCAAGCAAGCAGATACACTGGAAGCGAATGAGTATTCACAAACTCTGAAAAGTTACAACCAACCGTCTCCCTACATTAGACTTGTCGACTGCGCGTGGACGATTAAAGGAAGGGATGGTCAACTGATCCGTTTGACTGTAAGTGAACTGGACTTGGGTGGCTGCATTTCTTGCGGCTTTCTGCAAATATACGACGGGGAGACGGAATTGGTTGGCAAAAATCTTGGAAAATGGCGATCGAGCAAACCAGACATTGTTTCCACTGGCAAGTATATGAAGGTGAAGTTTAAGACAAGCAAGTTTGATACGAATAAAGGACTCATCGCAACATACCGTACAGTTCCTAAAAATAATGGTGAGTTCATGAAAAGAGCTAGCAATAACGTTAGCAGCCTTCGGTTTAGGAATAATGTTAGGAACAATTAAAAATTCGACGAGGCGCAGTTGATAGAAAGTAAACGTCGGAGTTTCGGTGGTAGTAAGATAGCTGGACATATAAGGCCTAACATATAGGCATCTAAGCAAAATACTACAGATTTAAAGCCAACAGTTGTTAAAGAGTACCCCAATCTCAGAATACTAAGGTTTATGAATAAGTTAAAAATATCACATTTCATCACTACACTTCTTAATATATAATCACTGCAAAAATTGATAATCACTGCAACTTTCTGAAAGGAATGCTACTATAGCTTCCAGCCTAATTTTTTGGTATTTTTATCCAAATTTTTTCATCGTTTGCGAGGACTCTTGTAGTCACTTCGTTACTGCTCTGACCTTAATTGTAAACCAAAACCCGTTTAAGCTGGATGACGAATAATTCAAAAATATTAATCGAGTTCAAACATTCACCAAATCATCAAAACTTAACCAGTTCGGGAATGTTTTTGAAAGTAATAGAGACCTTAAGCTAATAATGAGATAATTATTCATTCAGTTTGTGCAATACCCAATGGAGACAGCGGCACTATTGAAAGCATGAACTACCCTTTTTCCTATCCTGGCAATATCAACTGTTTCTGGAAACTTCATGCACCAGGGAGTTACCTCGTACGGTTCTACACCGTAGGAATGAATATTTCTACAATCAATTGTAAGAGCAGTTGCAAATCACTGGCGGTGTATGATGGACCTTCTATTATTGACAGCAAGTTGGGCACCTATGAAAATGAGGATGTTAGCCTCGTTTCCAGTACTTCGCAACTGTCGTTGGTCTTCAAAACATATCAGGGAGGATCCGGTGGATTTCGAGGAAAATATCAGTTTGTTCATAAAAGCGAAGGTAAACATTACCTTTTGACCTCTATGATCTTACTCATCAACATGTTTTTGTTTGAACTTCAATTATCTTTCTTGCTATACAAAAGCATGCTTTGTACTCTCATTGATGGTTAGCCGACTGACTATAAGGCAGCTCATAGAAGCCATACATACTTTTCAAATATCATCATGTCTAATTACAGGCATGATGTGTTTCCCTAACTCAAAGTAACATTCTTTTTGACAATTTCTCGTGCAGTTTGCAAAGACAGCCTTAACCTTCAAGCAAACGCATTTGGCGGAGCAATTAATAGCCGAAATTTCCCGGAACACTATTGGGGAAATATGCATTGTTTCTGGCGCATTCAAGCAGGACCTGACCACAAGATTCGACTGATCGTTCAGACAATAGATTTTGAAGACCTTTCCCATTTTGATGGCTCCTCCCAATGCCGTGATTACATTGACATCTTTGATGGAGCAAATAGAAATAGCAAATCACTCGGACGCTGGTGCAAAACTCGAGCTGATCTCGTATCAAGCGGCACTTACCTTTATATTGAAATGCACACCAGCGCAAGAGTGTCACATCGAGGCTTCAAAGCAAAATACTTCGCTATTCACACGAATAACGGTGAGTTAGCCCCAGTTGCATGGTCTGAAATGGCGGGAAAGAAATCTATTTCTCGGGTCTGAAATAGCGGGAAAGAAATCTATTTCTCGGTTGAAACAACTTTTAAAATGTCTCGCTTCTGAGCCTATATAATTCATTTCGGTGTTAAATTTTTATCAAAGCTAACGTTTTTTAAACTGAACATAATTATAAAATCTCAACTAGTTTCATAAAGAAGTAACAAAAACTATAATCGATCAAATACTGCAGAATGGATTTCTATATTTCAAAAACCCTTTTGAGCGCGGTGATCATGCATGTATTTTTTTCAAAATGGAGGTCAGAGCTTTAGTAAAGCCAACATCGATTTGAATCAGAATTACCTGATCATGATTAATTTTGTCAAAGTAACAGATAAGAAAGAAAGCGATTTAAAAAAACTTATGCTTTACCTAGAAACGCGAAGTTTCGTTTCCTTAAAAAAAGCCTAATTTCCGTTTGTAAAAGTTCTTAAATATAATTGTCTTAGTCTGTCCTGGAAGTGGCGTTCTCATCGCTGAATCAGGGACGATAAAGAGTCCAAGTTTCCCACAACATTATTACGGGGGGATTTCATGTGATTGGACGATAACTGTATCATTCGGCAAGCGCATTCGCATCAAGTCCAGGTCTCTCAACTTGGAGCAATGTCATCCGTGTGGTTCTGATTGTGATCATATTGAAATATCCGACGTTGATTTCTCGTCCGGAAGACGTATTGTTGGAAAATGGTGCATAGAGAGCTTCGATGTCATTTCGCGTGGTAATACGGTGAATATAAGATTCAAAAGTAATCTTAATAACGCTGGCGAGAGCTTTGTCATAGAATATAAGTCAGTTCAAGAAGAAGAAGGTAAACGCATAAAAAATCTGAGTATTATGGGAACGAAATACAAAGTCTTAAACAGCATTTCTAGGCATAATTGGTACATGATGACCACTCATAGTAGCCTAACCTCGCATTTCCATGCACTATTGACAATCGGTCAGAGAGAAGTACTTTCAACAGTGAAATTTAGGTTGGATTAGCTTTCAAAACCGTTGAGAGTTAAAGAATTGTGCGTTCTGTGATCACATCAAGCCGACCAGTGTAATTGCATGGTTAGGTATATATTTTCCAGTAAACATTGGTATCAAGAATTATATATCAAGAATTTTTACACAAATTACTAGTGCCTGTGCGTCAAACGGGGAGTATAGATTATATGGACTACATTCGTAGTGTGATAGTTGTGACAAGAAAAAAACAGGCTTGAGCGATAGAGTCCCGTTGATGGTAGATAAACTAACCTTACAATGAAATAATTGCTTAAAAATTATTTTGGTATATAGTTTGTCCAATCAATCAAATTTCACATTCAAGTGGAACAGTAACAAGCATGGGTTATCCCAATGATAATTATCCAGGGAATCTAAAGTGCCAGTATCAAATGAAGGCACCATATGACAACCAAGTTATTCGCCTCGAATTCACCTACTTCCAACTGGCAGCTTGTGGGTTTAATTCGGGGTCATGTAAATTTTGTGGGGACACTCTTCAAGCCGTTGAATGGATAAAAATTGCTAATAGAATTAAGATGGCTAACTTTAGTCGCTGGTGCTCGACCTGGAATAATCCCCACTCGACGCACATATTTTCATCTGGAAAAAACTTGTTTCTCAACTTCGACACAGATGCTACATCACAAGATACGGGATTCAGAGCAACGTATCGGAGTGTTTCAAAGAATTTAGGTAACGTGTTGGGCTACCTTACCCAAATAGCAATCGTATTCTTTTCACGAAGAAATGCTCTGTACCAAAAAATTGTTAAAACAACTAGCTGAATATAAAATTGTTGTCTTCTTGACCAATTCATCTTTTCTTGAGCAATTTTATTTTGGACACCCCAACGAAAAATTGGTGGTCTCACTACGTTTTTAGTTGTTTTAACCAAAAGAAATTGTATAAGGTTTGCCTGACGAAGGGTTGCTTGAAATGTCGCAAATAAAGAAAGTTCAATCTTTGAAAAAACGCAGAACTGACTTCCAGTTATTAAAAATTGAATTAAAGTATATGCGAATGTGAAAATTTTAGAAAAACGAATAGAAAATTGGTCCAATAAATGATTTTAAGGTAGCTAGATTTGATTCGCTCACGTGTTTACATGCAGAGTTATACATATCATTGTTTGCAATAGAAAAACTCTTCTCAAGAGCCTCCGTCAGAAGAGTTGAGAGTGTGCCGGCATACAGCCTTTAAAACTACATGTTAATACCAGATTCTATGCGAATATATAAAATCTGCCTCATTAAAGTTATTCTAACATCAAAATCGGATCGCTGCTTCAAAAAGGATACCGAATCCAGTCAGCATGCAGCCTATGTTCTGTTTTCGCTTAATCAATATTCAATACTAGTACGTGTGAGATAACGATCTTGCCTTCTACCAATTTGTCTCCTAATCTTTATGGTCTAGGATGTCTCCATACTGGCACCTTATCAAAGAATTCAGGCAATTTCAGTGGTCCTCGATCACCCTTTAACTCGGAGACATTGTGTACATGGTTCATAAAAGTAGCTTCTGAGAAAAAGATTGAACTGAAATTCAAGTATACCAGCGTTACCCAAAGGGACTGTAGCTTTGCTTACGTTAAAGTATATGATGGTTTCTCTCCCACCAGCTCTTCATTTGGTCGTTTTTGCGAGCATTACTGGTGGAAAAAGATAAAATCTACAGGCCCCTCGTTGTACGTTACATTGTGGGTGGACTCTACATCTCGATCGCACGGAGTGCCTTACTTTTACGCAGAATACATTGCAGTTGACAACGCAGGTGAGGTGCATTTAACTTTTCAAAATCTGATTGTGTTTATTCACTTCATCGACAAAAAAACAATGCATATTTACCGGGTGTATGAATTTTCATAGGCGGGTTTCCATTACCAAAGTGTGTCCCCCAAATTAAAGAGTTTTTAATTCTCATATCTGAAAACTTGTATTTCCTCAATCAGATCAACACATCACATGAATATCATTCTTTTTCTACGAGTACAGGACTAATTCGTCATTTTCGCGCCAAACGCTGTGCTTCGGCCTACGGCTACGCTATCTGGAAAAACTTGAGGTGTGGAGCTTTTGAATACTTAATTAATTAACAAACTTCAAAAGCTCGACGACTACGAATTTCAGGCTGATGGCGTAAGCAAACAACACAGGAGAATGACGAAGTTTGTACTCGTAGACGTACTCGTAGTCACTGCTGGAGCTTTCTATTATACTCTAATGATGCATGATTTATAATCTAGCTTAGCTCAATTAATCATACAGGGTGTCTCAAAATAACGACATTCAAATTTTAACACTGAGTGATTTCAATAGTTTTCGGGTTTTTTGAGACACCCTGTAGAAGGGAAAAGTATATTTAGCTTTTGGTCCATCTCGATTATCTCCATTTCAATGTTCTTAATTGAGGCAAAACGTGAAGTAAAACCTTGTTTCCAATACTATACCAATGTGGACAATCCTGTTGTTCTCATGTCTTCAGCAGTAGCGTATCCACCCTGACGATTTGTCCTGCTATGCTAATATTTTGGTGTTCATTGAATGTTAAAACAATAAATTTCTAAAGAAATGAATAATCATAATAAGTCGAAATTTACATAGCGGGACGAAATCGTCAGTCTGGCTACGCCACTGATCTTCAGTCAAATCATATAGCATAAGATTTGACTGCATGTCAACAACAGGATAGTCTCCACGTAAATAGGACGAAATCCCCCCTCCTCAACCAGCGTCATTATCTCATTATCTACACTTTTAGGCAAACCTGAAAAGTGTGAAAATCTTATTATTGGAATCATTCTTTTTTGGTCGATGCTGCTGCCCATGTTTTAGAGTGTGTAGCCAGTTGAGTAATTCCATGCACTTGCACGAAATAAATTTTGAAACTTTTATTGACTATATTTAACTGAAAACTAAAGAAAAGAAGAAAAAGCATTACTACTGCATCACCTGCATGATAAATTGCACCGTCGGCGTCGGAAACAATGCCGACTTCAAAAGTAATCTTCCACTCAACATTTTTGGGAGGAAATTGTGATTTTAGAATACTAAGTATTGGTACAGTTACGAGACACCGTTCTACGAAAGAAATTTTCTAATCATCCTTTCGTGTTTAAACGGTCGGTGTGAATCACGTCGTAAATCATAGAAAATGATGCCCGGATAGGTCTGTGGATACTTTACTCGATCTTGCTAGGCAAATTAACAGCGAAACAATCTCCTTTATTTTATATGCATTCGCTTAAACAACTCGGAACTGACATTCAGACCGTATGAATACCGAAAAACTTCATCAAAACCTTTGTTTTGAACCCTTGTGCGACCCTTCACTGCACATTGCGCGTAGAATTTACAGAAACGCTGCGCTGGTGTTTTCACTAAAGCACGCTATGCCCATTTTACTCGTTTTAAGGCCCGTTTACACTTGCGATTTTTGCTGCGATTTTACGTGCGATTTACTTCGTTTGATAGATGTGAACGAGTAGCTAATTAGCTACGAATGTTTTGCTCATATTTGAACTGATCAGTAACTATATATAGCATAAATGGGCCTTTTTGCAGTTTTTATGAGTGGTACTCATCTTTATGATTGCTTACTCATCTCATGACAGCATAGACGGCGGACGATGCTTAAGACTTTATACAGCGCTCTTTTATTCTACGCTGGTAAGAAAAACTGAGAAAAGCTAAAACAGGAGCTGCTAGCTCTTTTACGCTGGACCTGGCTGAATATGCCAGCAATGTCGCTTTAATGCTTAAATACATGGCCTAAATATCGAAATACTATATAGCATCACGCGAATTTCTTCCCCCGAATTGCCTGTGTACTACAGGGTGTCCCAAAAAACCGAAAACTATTGAAATCACCCATAACAATGCAATTGTTAGAGTTTGAATGCCTAAGCACTCTGTTGGGACCCACAGGTGTATAAATGTTTACCATACTCATTTTTATGCATGCATATGATGCAGTAAAATTTGCTTGTTCGCAAAAATGATATTTATTAACAATATTTACAATTTACCAATATGGATAACAATATTTAAATGTGCATATCTCAAGGACCATGACCTTCGACATGTCCCCTTTCTCTAGCAACACAAAGCATTTAGCATTTTATAAGTTGCATTAAATCCCCACGTAAACACGCCATTCAAATTTTAACAATGAGTGATTTCAATAGTTTTCGGTTTTTTTTGGGACACCCTGTAGAGTAACAAGACTGCATACAGGGTGTCTCAAAAAAAAGCAACCACTTAAATATGCAAGAATATTAATATTGTTCGGGTTTGCACCATAATTCAGCTAAAATGACTTTTAGCATTTTAAATGAAGGATTAAGAGCCATTTCAATTCCCAGAGGTGCTTATCTATTGCGCTTTAGAGCTGTGTTAATGTTCTGCATATTTAAGTGGTTGCGTTTTTTTGGGACACCCTGTATAATAAGGCAAATTACAAAACAGTCTCCTTTCTTAATCCCCTCTGTACTGTACTGACTGCTTGCCATGGAGTTGTATGGACTTTAATGTCGTTTACTTCAGCAAAACTAGAAGTTCCATCGATGGCTTTGCGAAGTTTGTTCACTGATGCTGTTGGACGAGGCTTGTCACTGGGCTAGTTGAAACAAAAGATTGATATAAGCGGTGTATTCGTGGGTTTACAAAGAGGCAGAAATGATGTTATTCTTACCTTTTTGCCTGTCCGTTGAAAGAAGCCAATGTGAGTACCTTTATAATGAAAATAAAGTTTGAAGATTGGACAAATCTTGATTCCAACACATTATTTATACTCGTAATCGTTTAAGCAAACATAAGCGGCCAACGGACAACTGCGATATTAATGAACGATGCGCTGGTGTGTGCTTTGAGTCTTTTTTATGCCTTTGCAAGTACACAACGATATTGCTCATATCAAAGAGAACTTCGTTTGGAGACGAAGTGTCTTTGCACGAAACGTGAAAGTTTTTACGGTTGCATTCTTTGCGTACTTTACTATAGTTTGACGCCACTGCATGACTTACAACCGATTAACCTTTTAATCGCTTTCATTGATTTTCTCAATCGTTTGAAGTTTTAAGTTCAAACACGGCTCAATTTTGAAATTTACTCTTTGTTATCATTTTCGAAAGCATAAGCGGTCTCGCCGTAGAAAACAATTGCGATGAATAAACGATACGCTGACGTGTGATTTGAGTGTGTTGTGAACTTGCACGTACACTAAACAAGGTATATTTTGTTTTAAGAAGAGAATTTCTGCGGTATATGAAGGTTCTTTGCTCTAGTACTTCACTGCAGTTTGATATTACTGACTCGCATGCACGTTATAGACGAATCGACCAGGCATATACAAAGTATGGGTTGCTGGTCTATCATATAATTATTAAGGTATCAAATATATTGATGACTTGCGATAGTGAGTGAGTTTTTTACAAATCACTGACAGCGAATTGCCGATTTTAAATCAGGTCCAGTCCGGTGTTCACACATGCCCAGTGTTCTACAACAATATATGTGTTTCTCTAGCTCTAAATCAACCCTGAAGCTTGCTGTTTTGTTTGTATTCCGCGGTTCGTTCATATTAAAAACCAAAGTCAGCCATCTCTAAATATTCAAGTTGCTTAGCTTGAGGTTATAAATGTGGAAAGGCGGTAAAATACACACATAATTCAGCAAACATTGACTTGCGCCGTGTTTTAATATATCAGTATAATTGCTGAAAGAGCTTTTATATTGCAGGTGTAAAAACATTTATAAATAAAGACTTGACGTTTGCTGTAAACGTCATTCTTAAGGTCTCTATTAATTTTCCTTTTGCCAAAACTTCCATTTCTGATGTTTTCAAATAGTAATTTTTATTTAGGCCATGCCCCCAAAACTATACCTTCAGTGTTTGCCTACCTCAGGGGAGAAGAGAAAGGCATACTGTTCGCGACTTATTTTGGTCGCGGCTTATTTTTTTCGCCGGTATAAATCACCCTAAAGCCTGTTTTCCACTAGCGATATTTTTCGCGCGAAGCGACTTTATTCCATTGTATTCGAGCAATTTGTTCCAGATGGTTGCAGTTGAGAGCTCTGAAACAAAAGTAAAATGTCGATTCGTGCGAAAAATTTCGCTAGTGGAAAACCGGCTTAATGCTTGCTTTATGCCGGTTTTCCACTAGCGATATTTTTCGTGCGAAGCGACTTTATTCCTTTGTATTTGAGCAATTTGTTCCAGATGGTTGCATTTGAGAGCTCTGGAACAAAAGTAAAATGTCGATTCGCGCGAATAATATCGCTAGTGGAAAACCGGCTTTAGACGCGCTTCAAGTGCCACGTGTTCGTCGGTAAAACGCAGGTGTTGCAACCCCTCCTAGTTAAGATGGTCACACTACTCCCCTGGTTGAAAGGATTTGCAAACTTGTTTTGTATAATAACTGGTAAAAAGCTGTTATAACAGAAATGAAAAAAAAATCACTGTATGTATGTATGTAAAACCTTATTTAATGACGCTAGCCTTATCAACAAAAGTTGGTTTCCATAAGGGGCGTCCATAACACAATAGAACATTTACAAAGAGATAATAATATATCTACATAGCTATTTACAAAAGAGAAATATATAAGAAAGAAAATAGATTAAGTTGGTGTGATCCGGCCGTATGCTAAGATCTATACATGATTGAATCTTAATTCTATTTAACAATTCATTTGCTTTACAATATTTTTGAAAGAATAAATAGATTGCGCTTCCTTAGCTTCTTGCGAAAGATTATTCCAAAGTTTAGCACCACTGTACTTAAAACTTTTTTTCAGAAATTCGCGTCTCGGTTTTGGAAGAGCCAAATCAATGTGACAGTTTCTGAGGTCATAATTATTTTGCAAAAGATTCCTCCTGATGAATAATTCTTTCAAATTAGGTGCGGTATAATCATTCAAAATTTTATATAATAATGATGCCTTGGTCATATTTCGCCTGGAATCTAAATTTTCCCAGTCAAGTGCCCGAAGAATATCTGCAGACCTAATTTCATTGCTAGCGCCAGCTATTATTCGAGCTGCCCGATTTTGAAATTTTTGCAGCTTATCTTTCAATGTCTTGTTGCAGGTATCCCAAAGGGGAGAGCAATAATCGAAATAGGGTCGTATCAAAGCTTTATAAATCGATTGCAACATTTTTCCAGGAACATAGAGCTTGACGCGTTTTAACGTTCCTATACCTGCCCCAACTTTTTTGCAAATCGTTTCAATGTGTTCTTCCCAACTTAATGTTTCGTCAAGGGTAACGCCCAGACAAGAGATTGAATATACTCTGGGGATAGGTTTGCTATTTAGCATTACAGGAATATCATCATTGATCTTAAGAAGATTATGCTTTGATCCAACGTACATAAATTTAGTTTTGGTTGAATGGTGCAGTAATTTGTTACTTTTTAGCCACTGGCTGATTTTATTCAAATCGCTATTTAACTTGGAGATAAGTTCTGCTGAATCCTTTGCTGTTGAAAACATCTGCGTATCATCAGCATATAAGCACGGGGTGGTGTTATCGAGACAATCTGGGAGATCGTTAATGTAAAGTAAAAACAATAATGGTCCTAAGATGGATCCCTGAGGAACCCCACAGACTATCTTTTTTGGCGTTGATATCGTGCCGTTGACAAAACATACTTGTTCCCTATCAGAAATATAAGATTCAAACCACTTCAATTCAATATTTGAAACTCCAAATTGTTCTTTCATTTTGTGCAATAAGATATTGTGATTAATTGAATCAAACGCTTTCCTAATATCACTCGTTAAAGGTTTGAAATTTGCCGTAAACGTCATTATAAAGGTCTCTATTAATTTCACCTTCGTTTTAACTGTGAAAAACTTCGATTTCTGATGGGGTGAAAGTGCAGCTGCCCGCCAACAGAGCTTTAGTTTGAGGTGCTCCAGGTTCATATCCTGGGGGTGGTTGATACCTGTCACCAAGGTTGCTGGATGAAGTTTGGTTTCTGTTGGCATTCGAGCCGATGAGCAGATCATAAACACCAAAGATTGCTCCCCAGTTAGGATGACACCAGATTGCTGTGTCATTTTTACCATCCTTGATCGGACACTTGAATGGCCGCATGTTCTCTTTATTTTTCAATGAAAACAGAAATGACGAGTTGGAACTTTTAAACTCCATCACTAAAAATAAAATATTTTCATAAAATGTAGGTCACATAACGTCTTGAGAAAAACGTCCTTATAAAGAGTCAGATGTAGGTAACATATATGTTGAAAGGATAAATTTTTTATCAAACTTGTAGAGACATGCATTTGAAAGAACTCAAAACTTTTAGTTAAAACCTCTCTAAATTGCTTATTCCCGTCAAAGAAATACAAAAAAAATCATAAAGTGGGGAGGCGGTGACAGTCGCTTCTGCACGCGCATCGGTTATGCTCGTATATAAAAAATGAGTAGTCTACTTGTTTTAAAATTGCTCAAATTTCGCATGTTTCGTAGGCTATATCTCTGAACATAAACTCTCTCTTATATTCATTAAGAAGAATAGCGAACTAAAAGCGTGTCAAATATACTAAAATTCTTGATATTTTAGCAAATATACCAATTCAAAATGAAAACAAGTTCTAAACGAGTTCTTCTACCCTGGCGAAACAAGCGATTGAAATTCGTTTTTTAGCTAAGAAAGTTTATCGCAAGTGGAATGTAGCGAAGCGACGTGATGTGATATGCGAACAAGAAACTGCCAAATATTTTTTAACTGAAATAGCATACGCACTGAAAGTATTAATTCCCTTCCTTGGTCTCTACGACCGCGATTTGTTCAGATCAAAATAGCCATCTATTAATTAACGCGCCATAGTCAGGCTATTTATTAATTAGCACGTGAAGACCGAGGGGTTAGTTGTTCAAAGCTAACCCTGGTTTAAATTGTCTTTTTTGGGCTTATTTACTTTTCGTGTTTGCGCGTATTTTTGTCACTCACTTTTGATTTAGTCCATATAATAAACCAAACATTTAACCAAGATCCTATATTGATCTTAACGGTACTTGGAAATCACCGGGAGACGAGCGAAAATCCTACAGCAATGGCCAAACGACAATAATGTGGTGGAGAAAACAGAAGAAGCTCCAACTCAGTGGCAGAGAAGCCAATAGAATCAAAAAGCAGTTTTGTAACATCCTAATGGGCGAAGCAACGCTTGGCCTTGGCCTACCACGCTTGAATGACGAGAGCGGAGCAAGTAGCGAGCCACCCAAAAAACTTTCTGATCAGTGTTCATGTACTCAAATCACAACTGATCTCGACGGTATTAGACTCGATATCGAGATATTACAATCAAAAACCGATGCCCTACAATCTTTAGCAAACGTACAAGAAGGTCGTTCATTCCCTGGCCACAACATTAACAAATTTGAATTGCAAATGCAAGAATTCTCAAAGGAAACAGGAAAAATAAAACAGATGGAAAGAGACCTAATTGAAATCAAACGTATGGTCAATAAAGGAACAGGCGAACGACAGCTAAATCCGGATAAAGATCAAATTCCTAACATCATATTACTCGAAGATACGATACCCTCAACTTGCAAGCCTAACGAGGCCGAGGAAAATCCGGCAATTACCGCCCCCACAAATCCAAATGTCAAACAGGCTAATGATAACGACCATATGCACAAAGAACCCACCCCTCTTTCATATAAAAACAAAGGCAATACTCGAGCGATTAAAGATCAAAAGATGCAAATCAGGTCATATAGACAACAACAAAGCAAAGAATACACCCACTACCATCTGAACGAACAGCTACGTTCATATAAAGCGAAACACAGAGATATACATAAGAACACATATCCAAAAGAAACCAAAGTATCCAGTAACTACACTCAAACCAATCGGCCCCACATTTCTACAAAAAACCCAAAATCCCAAAAGTCCTCCTTTGGCTCGAGTAGACAGGACAACCGGCGGACTTTCCCACCAAAAGCCAACACTAATAACAGCGCTAACCGCCGGAAATCTGATCGCAGAAACAGGCCTCCTTTTCACCGGAGATTGACAAACCATACACCGGCCAAATATCGGACACGTGTAAACAGCCCACCACCATATCAGGTAAAACACCTAAGGAAGTTACCATCGTACCAATCACATTGCCTAAACAAACCACTTACCTACCAGTCATTGGGCCAGAACCAATTCCCGCCTTTCCATGTACACCACCCACAGCAGTCAACTCTGAGCCAACGTCCCCAATCACCCATTTACAAACAATACTTCCGCCAAGCCTACCAACCCATCAATCGTACTGTAGACCAGAATGGAACATGGGTCTAGATAACGATGCATGCCACGTCGATCCCTCACGAAATCCTGATAAAGTCTATCCGATACCTGTGAGGATTACGAATCACAATGTTAAATTAATTAACAAACGAAATACCAAGCAAAACAAGCTTTTACGAAATCCCAATATGATCGACATTCCTACCACTGAAGGCAGGTCTTGGAATGAACACTCGACCCTGAAAGACCTTAGTATAGAACGGGACACTCCGCAAAATTATAACATTTCAAAGTCCCCCCATTTCCGTCTGGTACACTTAAATATAAGGTCTCTACGAAATACCTCCCATTGGATCCAATTCGCCGAATTTGTTTCAAAGACAAGGATTGAGGCAATAACATTATCAGAGACTTGGTTAAACACAACCATACCAAATGCCGAGATCAACTTGGAGGGCTATAAAATTTATCGCCAAGACCGCCTCCACAAAAGAGGAGGAGGGGTAGCTGCGTACATTCGGAGTGATATTAAGGTCACCGTACTGAAGGAAATATCATCAGTTTCCACCGATTACTTCCAGCAGCTTTGGCTCAAACTTCAGACTAAAAAGTTAAGATCTATCCTGCTCTGTGTATCATATAGACCACCAGACTGCCCGCCGTCCTGCCTAGAAAACAACCTAAAAGCAAGTTATATGCAAGCCGCCATGCAGGACAAACCCATATTTATTTTGGGAGACCTCAATTGCAACACCATGAAGGTCACCGCTGAGACCACAGCATTGGAAAACTTCATGTACGAGATGAACTTAAAGCAATTGATCACTTCACCAACCAGGATCACAAACACTTGTGAATCACTAATCGACGTAATCATAACTTCATCACCCAACCTTGTCCATCAAAGTGGTGTTATGGACACACTCATAAGCGACCACCTACCAGTATACACCGCGTTAAACATGAAACTTCCTAAGCCATCAGTACAGAGCATCCTGACGCGAAGCTATAAAAGCTATGATAGTTCAAAGTTCATTACCCATCTTGGTACAAGATCACAAGAACTCATTTCTATCTTTTTCGATTCCAATGTCAATTCAAAACTCAGAAAACTTAATGATGTCCTCTCTACTACTTTGGCTGTCCATGCTCCAATTAAAGAGGTCAAGATTCGACGTCGATCCTGTCCATTTGTTACTGCTGACATCAAAAAACAAATGATCTACAGAGACCAGCTACATCGTCGATACAAACAGACACGAGAAATGGAGGACTGGAAGAACTTTAAAACAGTCCAAAAATCAATCAAATCCACCTTAAAAGTCGCAGAGAAAGACTACGTCCGCACTGAAGTTAATACACATAAAGACAAACCTGGGTCACTTTGGAAAGTAATTCATAGCCGCATTCCGTCTAGAGACAAAACAACCCCAATATACAGCAAAAACCAGGAAGAGGTTGCCAACGATTTTAACAGTTTTTTCCAGTCAGTAGGGATAACAGCCGCCGAAACAGCTACGCAACTGGCCTTAGATAATAACATCAATATATCTTCCATGTCTGCCTGTGAAATCAAGAACCTACAATGTCCGATCGAAGAGTCATTCCACTTCATACCTGTTACCTGTGCGGAAATTGAACGCATACTAACATCTATGCCATCAAATAAATCACCAGGTCCCGACAAAATCAGTATGAGAACTATTAAAGACTGCCTCCAAGTAATCTTAGGCCCCCTGACGGATATCATCAACAGTTCATTTACAACTAATACGTTTCCAGAAGCCTGGAAAATAGCAGAAATCATACCAATATTAAAAGAAGGGGATCACGAAATAGCCTCCAACAACCGTCCCCTCTCAATGCTCAATGTAATCTCGAAGGTATGTGAGAAAGCGGCCTTAAATCAATTCACGAGTTTTTTAAACCGGACCGGCCACCTTACGGCACACCAGAGTGGAAACAGAAAGTACCATTCAACGGAAACCCTCAATATATTAGTAAACGATTTTTTCCTGAACGCAATGGATAACAAAGAGCTATCTGCCCTTATTCTGTTAGATCTGTCCAAAGCCTTCGATAGCATCGACCACACAATATTGCTTCAAAAACTAAGCAATATTGGAGTATCTCGTAAGGCTCTAAATTGGTTTAGAAGCTACCTTTCAGACAGAAAGCAATACGTACGCATTGGCTCTCAGTATCAGAAACTCTTTCAATCACTCATGGCGTCCCACAAGGGGCAATATTGTCACCTCTGTTATTTTGCATCTATATAAACGACCTTCCAACAGCACCAAAAACAGCTAAGTTAGAATCATTTGTGGATGATTCGAAAATATTCATGTCCTTTCCAATCACGAATATAATCGATGCAAAAAGTAACATAGAAGAGGATCTTAAGAGGATTGCAACATGGTGTTTCGCAAATAAGCTGTTAATTAACCCTGAAAAGACAAAATTAATGCTAATAGGCACTCGACAGTTAATCGGAAACCTTACTGAAGGACTGGTTATCTCGTTCCTAGGAAAAGAGATCACACCTTCCTCTTACGCCAAAGACCTAGGGCTATTCATGGACAGTTATTTAAGTTATGATCATCATATACGACACGTCATATCATCTTCAATGGCAAAACTGTACCAAATAAATAGAGTAAAGGACAGCTTCGATAGCGAAACCCTCCACACGATTGTCAATGCCCTAGTGATGAGCAGATTGTATTACTGCTCTACGGTGTGGTCGAATACATCGGCAACAAACATAAAAAAACTCGAAAAAGTACAAAATTTTGCTTGTAGGATCATAACAAATACAAGGAAATACGACCACATAACACCAGTACTACAGGCGATCGGTTGGCTCCCAGTCAAGGAACATTTACAGTACAGAGATACACTAATGGCTTATAAATGCATGAACGAACTTGCACCGCCGTACTTATGTGACCAGTTTTTAAAACGAAATGCAGTTCACAACAAGAACACCCGGAATAAAGACGACCTTGACATTCCCCCATGCAAAACAACATCAGGTCAAAGAAGTTTTTGCTATAGAGCAATAAAAATCTGGAACATTTTAGATAAAGATTTTAAAAAACTACCTTTTAAAACATTTAAGAAGCACTTAAAGAAAAATATGTTAACAAATAACGTTAACGGAAACCTATCTTAGTTAAAGTATTAAGATCTTAGTATAACTATATAACTAGGATTTCTCTTAATTGTAAACATATTTTATAAACATAGCATAGTCAATAACGTAATTGTAGATAGAAATATACCTATTTTTAGCCTTGTTAGTACATACTGAAAAGCCCTATTGGGAGTATGTTTTATGTATAATAATAATAATAATAATAATAATAATATTTAAGACCCCCATCCCCCCTCGCACACAATTATCGCATCTAGTTTCAGCACTGATAAAATCCTCATGTTGTAAAGTACGTTGCAAATTCATGGCGTTTTCGAGACAAGAATTATCATGACCCTCAGTGATCCCTAATTTGTTATGAGGGACTTCATCCCGCCGCATTTCTTCTTTTCATTTCTGCCTTTGTTCCCCCCCTGCAAATATTTTTGCATCCGGTCGCCATTTGCGCAACTTCTTCAGCCTCCCCGCCTAATGCATGGATAAATATTGAACGACATTGCCGTTTTCTGATGAGACAATGAGGAAATAAAGTATAAAATGTACTCACAGTGAACTGATGTCTGTCTCCAACTTTGATCACTAAAACCACCAAAGATGTTGGTTCCACATTTCACCAAGGTCAACGTAGGTGCAACATCGTCACACTTTCTATGAAAAACGTTTGCGTTCCAACCATCGCGTGAAGCTCGATAACAAAGTTGCCAACCAAACTTCGTATCTTCCATCCACTCTACAAGTTGCTTTGCATATTTAATGTTACCCTCCAAGATGGTTGATCTCTCACATAAGGACTGCTGCACAGGGTTGGCTGAAATGATATTCATTTGATAACACTTCTTAAGAACAAGGTTTGGTTATATTTTTCGGTAGTACCAGTACACGGGATTCAGTTGTATTCATAGGATTTGGTTCAGTTATTTTCAACTATTTCGAAATAGATTTAGTACATGGTCTGAAAACAATAGACATTGTATTTTAAACAAGGAACCAAAAATTAGTGATATTTGAATTGGGAGCTAATCTAAACTATATCCTTTAGTTATTCAGATTGTCTACGAATACAATAAATACGTCTCTACATCATAGGCTTAAATACATGGGGGTTCAGGAGCTGGATTCCTACGAGAAATCTCACTAGCTGGTCTGCCTACGTAGATATTTTGGAACTTAAATTTTTTGTCATACTCATACGGTATAAATCCAAAGATATAACATTGGTATGTTACGCCCAGGCGTTTCAAAGAGATTAAGAAAAAATAAAACATCAGTTCTCAAGACAATAATTATGGAGATTAACCTCTTGTTTTCTTTAAAGCACTAGAAAATATAAAACGGAAGAACGAAAATCTGTTTCAAAATAAAAAAGGCTTGAATGAATATTTGTGAAGTTTATATTTGTTGGATTGAGATCAGCATCGACTTGTTGCGCACAGTAAATAAAATACTTTCTTTCAATGCTGATATCATTTGAATTTCAAATATACACGGTTAAAAGCGAAACTCTTCTTTTGTACCTAAAAATAATCGCAGCGCTGTAATTATAGTAATATAATAATCATAAACTTTAATATTTACACCTACCAATTATTCCTAAGTCGTTTAATTTCAAATTCTCCATGATGTTTTCGGTTAGCTTTGGATGATATTCAAGAAGGCCATCGTGGATTGGGTCCATATTTTCTGGTCGTTCATTCTCAATGCTCCCAGCTTTTTCCTCAATCTCGTGTTTGAGAGCAAGGAGTACCTCGTCGCTTCCACTGGAGAGAATACTCCTGGTAAAATACAACGAGCTTTTCGCCTTTTGGAAATAAGCTTTCACGTTAGCTTGTTGTTTCAACAGGGGCTCGTTAGCTACTCTGTATTTCATCTCAACTTGGTCAAGCAAGGCTGTTGTTTCTTTCTCGAGTTTCTTGGTAAACGCATTCAGAATATTCTGTTGTTGCTGCTTGATGGCGTCACTTGCTTTTGTTGCGTTGTTCTTCAGGGTCGCCATTGCGTCTGCAATCTTACGATTACTCTCGGCTGCATCATTTTTTTGCTTCTCGAATATACCGGAAAATGCTTTCAAAGCTTCCTTGTGCTGTACAACAACGTCTGTCAAAGGGAACCACGTATGTTCAGGCCGAGTGTGATTAAGTTCCATGCAGTATCGACAAACAAGGACTTTGCATGTTTCGCAGTAGAATTTGAGTATTTTGTCGTGTTTCTCACAACGAGATTTGCCCTTTACCTTCGCTCGATTTTCTGGCTTCGCTAATTCTTCCAACGTAAACACGACATGATTCTCAAAGTCTGTCCAGTTGTTGTGGGTTTCCAGACACTTTCCACACAGAAATTTCTCACACGATATGCATCTGCTGGCTGCAGAAGCGTTCGACTTACACGACTGGCATTTTACATGATGGGCTTGTTGCTGTATGCTGAGCAATTCCAACAGGTTGTTAATAAAGTGGTTTGCTGGCATTTTCTCGCCAATATTTTCCCCTTCTTTGACTGAAAACTCCGTGCGGCATAATGGACATTCAAAGATTTCTGGTACTTTCGCTTTAGCTTCAACGGCCTTCTCGCGCTGAGCGGCAACATAATTCTCCAAGCAGTGTTTACAAAACGAATGGTAGCATGACAATGTCCGTGGTTGAGTCAATGTCTCCATACAAACAGAACACTGTAACAAAGTTTCCATTTGCTTCACGGAAGCAAGATCTGATGCAGTAGCCATACTGATTTGGTCTTAATTCGACAAACGTGTTTCGTTCCTTGTCGGTATATTGCACGTCGTGAACTCGACGCTAACTACATGCAAGAGTGGTACTAAGATTATCATGTGGAAACGCATACTCATATGTTACCAAATACCCGATATTTCATTGGCTGATTTATAAGATCTCACATCCTGTTTTCACTGAACATAAATGCACGGAATTTTATATTAGGTCAAGTTTCTCGAATTTCTGCCAAGCACAATCTTTTTATTCGATTCGTTTTCTCGGAATCACTAATAAGAGGTTCTTCTTGTATCAATTTTGCTACGGTTATAACTTATAATAATGCATATTTATAGCTATCATGATATCTGCATGCTTGAGACTCTTTTGGTTGATTCATATTGAGCTGCAGACTTCTAGAACATCAACAAATGACTTGACCTTTTTCCTTATTGCACAATGGCTTGAAGCGCGTCTTCGAGTACACAGAACGAGATTTTGCTCGTTCCAAGAAGAGACTTTTGCTTGTAGAGGAAGCTTAAGGTTCTTCAGTGTTGTAGAGTACTTTGCTGTAGTTTGACCTAACTCACTTGCAAAAGACAACCGTCTTAGTCGTTTTCTTTATATACCTTTTAGTTTGATGACTCAGTCCCACTAAAAACAGTTACACGTTTGAACGTTTCAGACGAATCGACCAGGCATAAACAAAGTATATGTTGCTAGTCTATCATATAAAGGTGTTAAGTACTGATGACTTGCAAAACAGAGTGAGTGCTTTACAAATTACCGACCGCGAATTGTCGTTTCTGCATGAAATCAGGTATTTACATGTATTTCCAGCGTTCTACAACATGTGTTTCCTGAATCAAACCTGAAGCCTTTTGTTTATATTCAATTTGGTTCATATTGAAAAAAAAACCAGCAAGTCAGTCATCCTCTAAATATTCAGGGTGCTTAACTCATGGTTATAAATTTGGAATGGCTGTAAAATATACACATAATGCAGAAAACACTGTGTGTCCTGTGTCGCGAAGTTCTGTAACGTCATCATCTCAGATTCGTTTTCTACACTACGAGAAAGTTTTAACCTTCAAGTTTTGCCTTTAATTACATTTTTTTAATTCGCCTGAATTTTTTATCTGACCCCAGTCAAAAAGTGCGTGCTTCATGTACGCTTAGAGAAGATAACATGCATCTGACCAATAATATCTATTACTGCACGAGGTCTGCACGGATGGGTTCACCCCACTGGTTCACCCTTATTATTGCTCAAAGTAGTTATTGTGCATATGATAGAGAAATAATAGCGAATATTGAATCCAGTAAACTTGGGTAAAAAGAATCTGTAGAGAAAAAATGAGCAGGGAAGGTGGAAATATTTACAATTGACTTGTTGACAAGTTAACTTGTTGAGGATTGGTGTTTGGAATAAAATGAGGAAAATTTTAATTTCTTTAACAACAAGAATGGCGAAGAACCAAAATCGAATACCTTTCAATTGGAATGAAATATTGTTGGATCATGAGCTATTCCAACTTTAGATAATAATTAAGTATTCTGTTCAAGATGATAGTTTGAAACATATTACACGTGATATGTTATTGTCCCACACGCCCCTGCTTAAATTATCATGCAACTGACATTTCTGGAAAACTGTGCAATCATGCATTCTTAGTTGTATTACATTTTGCAATTTATAAACACGTTATACACCTCACTAATCAGTTTTTGTAAGACCCTGTCCACACGTGTGCATTTTCAAATGTATTTCTTTTCGCATAACCGAAAACTCGTCGTTTAAAATCACATTAAGACTCTCGCAAACAATAACTTACTAACGTAAAACTAACTAACGTAAAAACGGCAATTTACCCATGCTTTGTGATATAAATTAGCAATCATGCCTGATTTTTGTCATCTTCTGATGTTTTTAATGGCGCAACAGTTTATGAATTCTATTTTTTAAACGCAGTCGAAATATACACACTTCAAATTCAAGCCAGGAACAGTTGAGGAGAACTCGCTTTCTTGACCGTTGATCTCAATATACTAGCATCACGCAAATTTCTTCCCCCGAATGGACGATTTGCGCCTTAGACGAATTTCTTACCTCGGCTTTAAAAAGGACATTTTCTGAAAGAGCATACTAAAATTAGTAAAAATGCCAAGTTTGGCTGCAAATTGTTGTAAATCACGTAAGATATAGCCATGCGAAGTTGTAGATTTTTGTATACTTTTGTATTACGACCGGAAGTGTGTAACTAAATTAGTTACACATTTCCGCACGTAGTACAAAAGTATACAAAATTTGCCAATTTCGCATGGCTATATTTTCCGCATTTTACAAGATTTCGCAGCCAAACTTTGCATTTGCACTAATTTAAGTACGCTCTTTTCAGCTGTGGTGATTTATTTTCTTCTTATTATTTCGATCAAAAGTTAGTCTAAAGCGCAAGTGGTCCATTGCCTGAATGTGTACCAGAGAAACAAGACTGCATATAATCATGGTGTCAGATTTGCTAAATAGTTAGCAACCGTTATTTGCAGCTTTTATTCTCTTGGTGTTTTGGCCTTTTGTTTTCCTTTCAATACAAAGGAGAAAATGCATGCGATTTGATTCTATTGTGTTTATTCTGGCATTGGATCTGGAAGGTGCTCAGCTATTTAAATTAAAATAATAAGGCAAATTACAAAACAGTCTCCCTTCTTAATCCCTTCTTTACTGTACAGACTGCTTGCCATGCAGTTGTATGGACTTTAATGTCGTTTACTTCATCAAAATTAGAAGTTCTATCGATGGCTTTGCGAAGTTTGTTCACTGATGTTGTTGGAAGAGGCTTGCCACTGGGCTAGTTGAAACAAAAGCTAAAAAAGCGGTGTATTCGTGGGTTTACAAAGAGCCAGAAATGATGTTATTTTTACATTTTTGCCTGTCCGTTAAAAGAAGCCAATGTGAGTACCTTTATAATGAAAATAAAGTTTGAAGATTGGACAAATCTTGATTCCAACACATTATTTATACTCGTAATCGTTTAAGCAAACATAAGCGGCCAACGGACAACTGCGATATTAATTAACGATGCGCTGGTGTGTGCTTTGAGTCTTTTTTATGCCTTTGCAAGTACACAACCATACTAGTAGTTCATATCAAAGAGAACTTGGGTTGGGGACGAAGTGTCTTTGCACGAAACGTGAAAATTTTTACGGTTGCATTCTTTGCGTACTTTACTATGGTTTGATGCCACTGCATGACTTACAACCGATTAACCTTTTAATCGCTTTCATTGATTTTCTCAATCATTTGAAGTTTTAAATTCAAACATGGCTCAATTTTGAAATTTACTCTTTGTTATCATTTTTGAAAGCATATGACGAATGAACGATACGCTGGCGTGTGGTTTGAGCGTGCTGTGAACTTGCACGTACACTAAACGAGATATTGTTTGTTTTAAGAAGAGAATTTCTGCAGTATATGAAGGTTCTTTGCACGTTTTAGACGAATCGACCAGGCATATACAAAATATGGGTTGCTGGTGTATTGGTATCAAATATATTGATGACTTGCGTTAGTGAATGAGTGTTTTACAAATCATTGACAGCGAATTGTTGATTTAAATCAGGTCCAGTCTGGTGTTCACACATGCCCAGCGTTCTACAATAATATATGTGTTTCTCTAAATCAACCCTGAAGCTTGCTGTTTTGTTTGTATTCCGCGGTTCGTTCATATTGAAAACCAAAGTCAGCCATCTCTAAATATTCAAGTTGCTTAGCTAGAGGTTATAAATGTGGAAAGGCGGTAAAATACACACATAATTCAGCAAACATGGACTTGCGCCATGTTTTAATGTATCAGTATAATTGCTGAAAGAGCTTTTATTATGGAGGTGTAAAAACATTCGTGAATAAAGGCTTGGCGTTTGCTGTAAACGTCATTCTTAAGCTCTCTATTAATTTTCCTTTTGCGAAAGCTACCATTTCTGATGTTTTTAAATAGTAATTTTTACAATTTTTTGCAAAGGCCATGCCCCCAAAACTACCTTCAGTGTTTGCCTACTTCAGGGGAGAAGAGAAAGGCGTACTGTTCGCGACTTATTTTGGTCGCGGCTTATCTTTTTCGCCGGTATAAATCACCCTAATGCTTGCTTTAGACGCGCTTCAAGTGCCACGTGTTCGTCCGTAAAACGCAGGGGTTGCACCCCCTCCTAGCTAAGGTAGTCACACTACCCCCTCGGATTAAAAGGATTTGGAACCTTTTTTTGTACAATGACTAGTAAAAAGCTTTTATAACAGAAATGAAAAAAAAAACAAATCACTCATTAAAGGTTTGAAATTTGCTGTCAACGTCATTTTAAAGGTCTCTATTAATTTCACCTTCGTTTTAACTGTGAAAAACTTCAATTTCTGATGGAGTGAAAGTGCAGCTGCCCGCCAACAGAGCATTCGTTTGACGGACTCCAGGTTCATATCCTGGAGGAGGTTGATATGTGCCACCAAGGTTGCTGGATGAATTTTGGTTTGTGTTGGCATTGGAGCTGATGAACAGATCACGAACACCAAAGGCTGCTACCCAGATGTTCGAACAGCTGATTGCTCTGTTATTTTTACCATCCTTGATCGGACACTTAAATGGCCGCATATTCTCTTTATTTTTCAATGAAAACAAGAATGACGAGTAGGAACGTTTATACTCCCCGAAAACTGAAACTAAATAAGAAATATTTCTATTTATTGAATAAGTTTGCGTGAACATTGACAATGACGTATTGCTTGGAATGAGAGACTTGTCAAAAATGCCTATGAAGCCCTCTCTTACATTTGCTTCTTTTTATGAATTTGTGTTTAAGCAGTTCTTTTTTACCGCTAGTGTACAATAAAAGATTGATTGTCACGATTCCTATATTACATACGATAATAGCAACATTTGAGCAATTCTTTTTGACTGGCATTCTACAAACGAAAACACTTAAAAGACATTTTTGGATAAGTAAAAGTTATTCTACTTTTATCTTTACGCTACAATTTAAAAAATATTCGCTTTTATAATAGTCTTTCGCGTATACTTTTGCAATCGTGAATGTAGTGTTTTATATAATAAACAGAACGTTAAACGGTTGCGAGAAGATATGGATTTTTGTCTTCAAATCCATATATTTTCGTAACCGTATAATATGCTACGTTTTCAAGACAAGAATTATCATGACCCTCAACTCCACCACTAAAAATAAAATACTTTCATAAAATGTAGGTCACATAACGTCCTGAGAAAAACGTCCTTAAAAAGATTCAGATGTAGGTAACATATATGTTGAAAGGATACATTTTATTAGCAAACTTGGAGAGACAGGCATTTGAAAGAACTCAAAACTTAAGGTTAAAACCTCTCAAAATTGCTTATTCCCGTCAAGGAAATACAAAAAAATCATAAAGGGGGGGGGGGTGACAGCCGCTTCTGCACGCGCATCGGTTATGCTCGTATATATAAAATGAGTAGTCTGCTTGTTTAAAATTGCTCAAATTTCACATGTTTCGTATATCTCTGAACATAAACTCTCTCTCATATTCATTAAGAAGAATAACGAACTAAAAGCGTGTTAAATATTCTGAAAATTCTTGATATTTTAGCAAATATACCAATTCAAAATGTAAACAAGTTCTAAACGAGTTTTTCTACCCTGGCGAAACAAGCGATTGAAATTCGTTTTTTAGCTTAGAAAGTTTATCGCGAGTGGAATGTAGCGACTGACGTGATGTGATATGCGAACAAGAAACTGTCAAATATTTTTTAACTGAAATAGCATACGCACTTAAACGTATTAATTCCCTTCCTTGGTCTGTACGACCGCGATCTGTTCAGATCAAAATAGCCATCTATTAAATAACACGCCATAGTCAGGCTATTTATTAACTAGCACGTGAAGACCGAGGGGTCAGTTGTTCAAAGTCAGATTAGCGCTAACCCTGGTTTAAATGGTCTTTTTTGGGCTTATTAACTTTTCGTCTTTGCGTGTATTTTTGTCACTCACTTTTGATTTAGTCCATATAATAAACCGAACATTTAACCAAGATCCTATATTTATGACCCCACTCGCACACAGTTGTCGCATCTAGTTTCAGCACTGATAAAATCTTCATGTTGTAAAGTACGTTGCAAATTCATGGCGTTTTCGAGACAAGAATTATCATGACCCTCAGTGCCCCTAATTTGTTATGTGGGACTTCATCCCGCCGCATTTCTTCTTATCACTTCTTTCTTTGTCCCCCCCCCCTGCAAATATTTTTGCATCCGGTCGCCATTTGCACAACTTGTTCAGCCTTCTCGCCTAATGCATGGATAAATATTGAACGACATTGCCGTTTTCTGATGAGACGATGAGGAAATAAAGTATAAAGTGTACTCACATGTTGTCTGTCTCCAACTTTGATCAGTAAAACCACCAAAAACGTTGGTTCCACATTTCACCAAGGTCACTGTAGGTCCAACATCGTCACACTTTCTATGAAAATTGTTTGCGTCCCAACCATCACGTGAAGCTCGATAACAAAGTTGCCAACTAAACTTCTTATATTCCATCCACTCTACAAGTTGCTTCGCATATTCAATGTTACCCTCGAAGATGGTTGATCTCTCAGATAAGGACTGCTGCACAGGGTTGACTAAAATGATATTCATTTGATGAAACTTCTTAAGAACAAGGTTTAGTTATATTTTTCGGTAGTACCATTACAAGATTCAGAGGTATTCATAGGATTAGGTTCAGTTATTTTCAAATATTTCGAAATAGATCTAGTACACGGTCTGAAAACAATAGACATTGTATTTTGAACAAGGAACCAAAAATTAGTGATGTTTGAATTGGGAGCTAATCTAAACTATATCTTTTAGTTAGTCAGATTGTCTAAGAATACAATAAATACGTCTCTATACATCATAGGCTTAAAGTATACATGGGGGTTCAGGAGCTGGATTCCTACAAGAAATCCCACTGGCTGGTTTGCCTACGTAGATATTTTGGAACTTAAATTATTTGTCATACTCATACGGTATAAATCCAAAGATATAATATTAGTATGTTACGCCAAGGCGTTTCAAAGAGATTGAGAAAAACTAAAATATCAGTTCTCAAGACAAGAATTATGGAGATTAACCTCTTGTTTTCTTTAAAGCACCAGAAACTATATAAAGGAAGAGCGAAAATCTGTTTCAAAATAAAAAAAGTCTTGAATGAATATTTGTGAAGTTTACATTTGCTGAATTGAGATCAGCATCGACTTGTTGCGCCTTTCACAGTAAATGAAATACTTGCTTTCAATGCTGATATCATTTGAATTTCAAAAATACAGGGTTAAAAGCGAAACTCTCCTTGTGTACCTAAAAATAATCGCAGCTCTGTAATTATAGTAATATAATAATCATGAAACTCTAATATTTACACCTACCAAGTTTTCCTAAGTCGTTTAACTTCAAATTCTCCATGATGTCTTTGGTTGGTTTTGGATGATATTCAAAAAGGCCGTCGTGGACTGGCTCCATATTTTCTGGCCGTTCATTCTCAATGCTCCCAGCTTTTTCCTCAATCTCGTGTTTAAGAGCAAGGAGTACCTCGTCGCTTCCACTGGAGAGAATATTGCTGGTAAAATCCAACGAGCTTTTTGCCTTTTGGAAATAAGCTTTCACGTTAGCCTGTTGTTTCAACAAGGGCTCATTGGCTTCTCTGTATTTCATCTCAACTTGGTCAAGCAAGGCTGTCGTTTCTTTCTCGAGTTTCTTGGTAAACGCATTCAGAATATTCTGTTGTTGCTGCTTAATGGCGTCTCTTGCTTTTGTTGCGTTGTTCTTCAGGGTCTCCATTGCCTCTTCAATCTTACGATTACTCTCAGCTGCATCGTTTTTTTGCTTCTCAAATATACCGGAAGATGCGTTCAAAGCTTCCTTGTGCTGTACAACAACGTCTGTCAAAGGGAACCACGTATGTTCAGGCCGAGTGTGATTAAGATCCATGCAGTATCGACAAACAAGGACTTTGCATGTTTCGCAGTAGAATTTGAGTATTTTGTCGTGTTTCTCACAACGAGGTTTGCCCTTTACCTTCGCTCGATTTTCTGGCTTCGCTAATTCTTCCAACGTAAACACGACATGATCCTCAAAGTCTGTCCAGTTGTTGTGGGTTTCCAGACACTTTCCACACAGAAATTTCTCACACGATATGCATCTGCTGGCTGCAGGAGCGTTCGATTTACACGACTGGCATTTTACATGATGGGCTTGTTGCTGTATGCTGAGCAATTCCAACAGGTTGTTAATAAAGTGGTTTGCTGGCATTTTCTCGGCAATATTTTCCCCTTCTTTGACTGAAAACTCCGTGCGGCATAATGGACATTCGAAGATTTCTGGTACTTTCGCTTTAGCTTCAACTGCCTTCTCGCGCTGAGCGGCAACATAATTCTCCAAGCAGTGTTTACAAAATGAATGATAGCATGACAATGTCCGTGGTTGAGTCAATGTCTCCATACAAACAGAACACTCTAAAAGAGTTTCCATTTGCGTCACAGGAGCAGGATCTGGTGCAGTAGCCATACTGCTTTAGTCTTAATTCAACGAACGTCTTTCGTTCCTTGTCCAGACATATTGTGCAAGTAAAAAATATAAAACGTCGTGAACCCGACGCCAACTACATGCATGAGTGCTACTAAGATTACTAAGATTAGCATGTGAAAACGTATACTCCTATTTTACCCAGAAACCTCTTTCTATTACAAACACTTATTAAATACCCGATATTTCATTGGGCGATTCATAAGATCTCACATCCTGTTTCATTCTCACTGAACATAGATGCACTGAATTTTATATTAGGTCAAGTCTCTCGAATTTCTACCAAGCACAATCTTTTTATTCGATTCCCTTTCTCGGAATCACTAATAAGAGGTTCTTAAAAAGTGTTGAAAACCGTATCAATTTTGCTACGGTTATAATAATGCATATCTATCATGATATCTGCATGCTTGAGACTCTTTTGGTTGATTCATATTGAACTGCAGACTTCCAAAACATCAACAAATGAACTATATTTTTATGTTAACATATTACTTGACTTGACCTTTTAGCTTATTGCACAATGGCTTGAAGCGCGTCTTCAAGTACACAGAACGAGATTTTGCTCGTTTCAAGAAGAGACTTTCGCTTGTAGACGAAGCTTAAGGTTCTTCAGGATTATAAAGTACTTTGCTGTAGTTTGACCTAACTCACTTGCAAAAGACAACCGTCTTGGTCGTTTTTTTTTATATACCTTTTAGTTTGATGACTCAGTCCCACTAAAAACAGTTACACGTTTCAATGTTTCAGACGAATCGACTAGGCATATATACAAAGTATATGTTGCTGGTCTATAAAGGTGTTGATGACTTGCAGAAGAGAGTGAGTGCTTTACAAATTACCGACCGCGAATTGTCGTTTCTTAAATCAGGTGTTTACACATGCCCAGCGTTCTACAACATGTGTTTCCGGAATCAAACCTGAAGCCTTTTGTTTATATTCAATTTGGTTCATATTAAAAACCCAGCAAGTCAGTCATCCTCTAAATATTCAGGGTGCTTAGCTCATGGTTATAAATTTGGAAAGGCTGTAAAATATACACATAATGCAGGAAACACTGTGTGTCCTGTGTCGCGAAGTCCTGTAACGTCATCATCTCAGATTCGTTTTCTGCACTGCGAGAAAGTTTTAACCTTCAAGTTTTGCCTTTAATCAAATTTTTTAATTTGCCTGAATTTTTTAATCTGACGCATTAAAAAATTGCGTGCTTCATGTACGCTTAGAGAAGATAACATGCATCTGACCGATAATATTTATTATTGCACGAGGTCTGCACGGATAGGTTCGCCCCACTGGTTCATCCTTATTATTGTTAAAAGTAGTTATAGAAGACTACATGCAGTCATAGCAAAATCCATAGGGAAAATAATGTAAAGCCTTGATTAACGATCGCAACGTTTTGTCCCAACGTCATGCAATACGGTTGTCATATTTCGCGAGTTGTAGTAATTATTTTCGACCAGACTGATCAAAACGTACCAACTTTGTCATCTTTAACATGTTTCCAACCTGCAAATCTGTCCGCAATCTTTTATTCAAATTTCATACCAGGAACAAAACCGATACCGCTTATTGATCACGTGACAAAAATAAAAGTTGTTCCCAAATTTCTCGTCCTTTGAAGTTTGCCGGCTATCCTAACCATCCCACCCCCGTTAACTGTGGTGGCACTTGACTTCAAGTATTTATCGCATCGAATTACAGCATAGACTAAAATACACGAGCCGAGAAGAGGAATCAAATAGCAAACGATGCCTTCAACTTGGATAATACTTGAAATAGGAATTAGGTAAAATATAGTAATATTATATATATTTTTAACACTTTTCAAACATTCGTATTTAGCCAATAATATAGTTATAGCTATTTACTGTATGACCGCAGTATGGGAAAGTTATTGGTATATTGGTATTTTTTAATATTTTTTAGATAGGCAAATAGAATGTGAGGCCTTACATAATATAGTTGCATAGTTATTTCAAATCCAACTTCGTTTAAAACTACATGCACTCATAGCAAAATCCATAGGGAAAATAATGTTAAGCCTTAGTTTACGGTCGCAACGTTTTGTCCCAACGTCATGCAATACGGTTGTCATATTAATTTCGCGAGTTGTAGTAATTATTTTCGACCAGACTGATCAAAGCGTACCAACTTTGTTATCTTTAACATGTTTCCAACCCGCAAATCTGACCGCAATCTTTTATTCAAATTTCATACCAGGAACGTCAGTCTGACGCGTATGCCAAGGACAAAATGAAATTGTGACAAAATATTTAATGTTGAAGTTCTGACAAATCGCTTTTCTCGTCAGAGTATATGCGCGCTTTTCTCGTTCTATTTTTTTACTATTCGCCATGATCACACTTGCTACATTTGAGTGTCGTCGTTGGGGGCAGGAACAGAGAAATCACGGCAATGTATGCCGAGGGGATTTTTTCAGCCCTGTAGACTAAGAACACGTATCGGTCATAATTTTCACGAGTGGCGTGTGTGCGTGTAAAGCTCACCGCGCTTTAAGCCTGAAGCACACGAGAGCTATCATCAACTGAGCTAGGGGTTACTCGTACATGTTAGCTCAGGCGACAGCTCACCGTGTGCGGATAGATTTTTTTAAGTTTTCTGCCACCTGCGACCTTTTCCCGCATATCAAACATTTTTGATGTTTTGGATGCGGCAGGCGAAAGTCGCGCTGTTTGCATTGAATGTCAACTCGTTGTCAACCAATAACTACGCGTTTTTTTGTCACATGACTGAACAGCAAATATTAGAGTACTAAATGAAACCCATGGCACTTAAACTACACGAGCCGAGAGGAGGACTTAAATAGCAAACGATGCGATCAACTTGGATAATACTTGAAATTGGAATTAGGTAAAATATAGTATATTATATATTTTTAACACTGTTTTTAAACATTCGTATTTAGCTAATAATATAGTTATAGCTATTCACTGTATGACCGCAGTTTGGGTAATGGCTAAAGCTCAAGCCATAAGTCTCGCAACATCTTTCGTGCCTGGATCACGCAATTCTTCACGAAAAATCATTTGCTATTTTTTGATTATTTTTAAACATGATAGTAAAAAATGAACAGATAGGCAAATACAATGTGAGGCCTTAGGTAATATAGTTGCATAGTTATTTCAAATCCAACTCCATTTGAAGACTACATGCAGTCTACATGCAGGAAATCCGTAGGGAAAATAATGTTAAGCCTTGGTTAACGGTCGCAACGTGTTGTCCCAACGTCATGCAATACGGTTGTCATATTTCGCGAGTTGTAGTAATGATATATATATATTCGACCAGACTGATCAAAACGTACCAACTTTGTCATCTTTAACATGTTTCCAACCCGCAAATCTGTCCGCAATTTTTTACTCAAATTTCATACCAGGAACGTTTGACGCGTTGCCAACGACAGCATGAAATTCTGACAAAATTTTGAAGTTCTGACAAATACTTTTCTCATCCGAATATATGCACCATTTTTCTATTCACCATGATCACACTTCCTACATTTGAGTTTCGTGGGTTGGGGGCAGGAACAGAGAAATCACGACAATGTATGCCGATGGAATTTTTTCCAGCCCTGTAGACTAGGAACACGTATATACTGTAGGTCATAATTGTCACGAGTGGCGTGTGTGCGTGCAAAGCTCACCGGGCTTTAAAGAATAGGTCTGTGCCTGAACCTGAACTGAATTAAAAGAACATTCGCACTTGTGTAATTCAGTTTTATTTATAGAGCTTTCGCGTATAATACATGATGTGGTAAGAATAATAAACCACCTGAGTTAGTTCAATTCATGTTGAAATGTGGACCCATTACCTTTCTGGTTTGCACTTTTTTCGCCGAATTCTGTCGCTAAAAAGCTAAAATCGGATCCGTACTTTTTACAGCGGCTATGAGTTTGACTCATTGGTTTGAGTTTTGGCTTTTGAATGAAAAAACCGCACTGAAGTTCGATATTATCATTGTCTTGTTTTCATTGCCGTCCAAATTCGTCCAGACGCATTTTTCGCCCCTCTATAGGAACACTAATGAATTGTTGTTCAGGTATACCTGAAAAACTACAGCCGGATTGGCCTTGTGATAAGGAAACACTTCACACTAACCCATAGTTATACCCTTTACCAAGCCGACTTTAATCGTTTACTGATAATTTTGTAATGTAAAAAAATGAAACAGGAGTAGGACCAGGTCTCTATTACGCTTATTATCTAGACCTATTTATTGGCAATTTAGATGCGTTCACCCCTTCCCCCCTAAACAAAAACATCCTTTAGTAACCCTTGTATCAGCTGTATATTGATATTGATAGTGTATATACTTAACTTAGCCCTATTTTAAACAACAGCACATATTCAATATTCATCGGGGATTCCCCCTTTTTGTAACATGCAAAATAATACATCTACTTTTATCAGGCCGTTCTATCTATCAGTCTATCTATTATCAAACTTTAATCGTTAAATGTTATTGTCCCTACAATAGTAATATTGCAATGCTAACTTTTCTTAATTAAAATAAGTTCGTGGTTTTCTAATAACGGGCTGTGGGCATGATACGTTTATGTCTTACTCATGAAATAGAAATACGTTTTGAACCTGATAGCTTACAAACTGTTTGAATATTCTCACTTTGGTTCGCATGATTCTATTTGATTCAACTAATTTGATTTGCATCGACAGTGATTGAGTTAATGATTAAGTAATTGCCATACATGCATCACGTCGACTATTGAGGCTGCTGATGATCTTGATCAATCGTATTTGAAGGAACTCTTGTATTGTCATACTTCGCCGCGTTTACTTCGAGCATGCAAATAACTGTGAACTGCTCCAGATTCCCTGCATGTTCTAGACTGAAGATATTTGGAGTTAGATCGGTTTGTGTCGCTGGACCACGAATGTGGAATGAATTACCTGTTAATCTTCGGATGTGTAAATCAATCACCATTTTTAAGAAAGATCTTAAAACATATCTTTTTAACTTGTTTTTAAATAATGTATGATGTACTTGGTCTTAACACTTTTTTAATATTTGACATTATTTCATATCGTAT